CTACATGGTAATGGCGACATAATGACGCACATTTGAGGTTCCCAACCTCAACCGTTAGGGAATAACAAATAAATTAAGATTTTTCAAAAACATTTGTAGTTGTTATGAAAAAGGTTATATTACTCTGTTAAAAATGCAATAATTGTTAGTTTAAATATCATTTTCAGAATCCTCACAAAATTTTAAATAGATATAACACATAATCACTGGGGTACGGAAAAATATTCTACTTAAATTTCTTCGTTAAACAATTATTTTTAATACTGACGAAAATGTAAATAACATTCAGCGATTTATTTCTCGGTTACCGAGATCCGCTGAGTTTAACAAATATCACTAAAAACTTCCTTATTTAAAGGGCTTTCCAATGGTGTGTAATAGTTTTTACCAAGCTTAAAATTTCCTAATGTAATTAAATCATTGTTGTGAAGAAACATGGTAGGGCAAAGAAAAGCTATTGTGAAGAATAATACATTTAACTGCAGGCAACGAATAATTTGTATTTTTTCTCGCATGCAACGCTTTTTTATAACTATTAAGCTAAGAAAATTTCGCTGGGTTACGGCAAAATATTCTACTTAAATTTCTTCGTTAAACAATTATTTTTAATATCGACGAAAATTTAAATAACATTCAGCAATTTATTTCTCGGGTACCGAGTTCCGCTGAGTTAAACAAATATTACTAAAAACTTCCTCATTTAAAGGGCTTTACAATTATGTATAACTACAATTATCTACTGTCAAATCTATGGTGAATTTTACGTAGGCCTACTATTGTGAAAAATCACTGTTAAATCAAAACAGATATTGTAAAAAATAATGAGTTTTTCTTTCTTTTTATGAGCTTACCACTGATGATATGGGTTTGTGTAATTTATGATTGACCAGACTACACTTTTATCAAACTAAAGACTTTTTGTTTAGACTTTGGAAAATTTGTTATTAAAAAAACACAATACATTAGTAAAAAAATACAATACAAATCAAATCTATGACATACTTCGTCCGAAGCTCAACATTAAGGTGAAATCACAGTTTGGGTGTAAAGTGCCCTCCGTTTTCCCGCAAGCGGGCTTTCCCAGCACCCTCAAAGATTCTCTACCGTAACTCAACTTCAGAGTTTACAACAGTCGAGTAAACTAGACTTTACATGTAACCCCAAACAAAAAATCTAACGGGCTCAAGTCTGGAGATCGAGGAGGCCATGTCACACTTCCTCCACGTCCAATCCATGTCGGGTAGTTTTGGTACAGCCACAAGCGAACTTCCGCGAGTTAATTGAAATCTTATCTGAAATATGAAAAATATACGATTATCGTAACTTTATCACAAACCCATTTTGCTACTATATGTTTCTTTTCTTAGTTATTAAAAAAGCGTTGCATGCGAGAAAAAATACAAATTATTTGTTGCCTGCAGTTAAATGTATTATTCTTCATGATAGCTTTTCTTTGCCCTACCATGTTTTTTCACAACAATGATTTAATTACATTAGGAAATTTTAAACTTGGTAAAAACTATTATACACCATTGGAAAGCCCTTTAAATAAGGAAGTTTTTAGTGATATTTGTTAAACTCAGCGGATCTCGGTAACCGAGAAATAAATCGCTGAATGTTATTTAAATTTTCGTCGGTATTAAAAATAATTGTTTAACTTAGAAATTTAAGTAGAATATTTTTCCGTACCCTAGCGATTATGTGTTATATCTATTTAAAATTTTGTGAGGATTCTGAAAATGACATTTAAACTAACAATTATTGCATTTTTAACAGAGTAATACAACCTTTTTCATAACAACTACAATAATTTTTGAAAAATCTTATTTTATTTGTTATTCCCTAACGGTTGATGTTGGGAACCTCAAATGTGCGTCATTATGTCGCCATTACCATGTAGTTTGATACAAAATTTTATTTAACACTTATGACCGGACACCCTGTATATATATTAAGAAAACTGTAGTGATTAGGGCTACTATTTTGATATATAAAAGCATTATTAAAAACTAAGTACCCTTTTTTAAATTCATTTTATTTATATATATTATATATAATTATTATTTATATTATTATTTATTATATATATAAAATATATATATATATAAATTTGAACAAATGGTGTTTTTGGCCTCTGGGGACATCAAAATGAAAAAGTAAATCGGTCCCAGGCCTAGGTCTTGCCATGAGACCTACGGTAATAGCTACTGTACTTCCCTATAGGGAAATTCGCTAAAACACACTTTATTACCCTTCCTGTAGCAGCATACCTTGGTACTTGTTAAACATGACATATTGTTTAAAAAGGTGTTTAGAAAGGTGACTTAAATGACCCATCGTGTTATCGTCCAGTATCCCAAATTTTTCTAAAATATACGAGAAAGTAGTTTATTCTCAATTAGTAGATTATTTAACCGGTTTCCAAAAAGGAAAATCCACCATATCAGCTGGTTAGAATTCATTGAATCAATAATATAGATTTTGGACAAAGGGCAAAAAGTGGTTGGTATATTTCTTGACTTTACTAGGGCTTTTGACAGTGTGTCACACAAAAAACTCTTAATTGCATTGCATAATTTAGGAATTACTGGCAAAGAGTCTAAATGGTTTGAATCATATTTAGAAAATCCGAAGCAATTTGTAGAAATTGAGCACACTATTTCACTATTAAATTCAACGATTCAAAAAATCACTATAACTATATCCGGATTCCGGAAGTTTAACTCTCAAAAAATTAAACATGGAGTACCACAGGGGTCAATTTTAGGACCTTTATTGTTTCTTTGTTACATAAAAGGGCTACCTGACTTACTACCCGTAAACAGTATGTTTATATGCCGATGACTCTAATATCACTGTGACAGGGGTCAGGGGATTCCAAGGAGGGTACCATAGATAAAACATACTCCCTTAGTAGATTTCTCATCCTTATGGAACAGCTGAAGACAATTTTATTGTTAGTTCATGTACGGTTTATGTAGAGGTTGTGTTTTGTTTACAATTTGTTTCCCGTTATTACAGCCATTTAAAACCTCGTTTAACCAAATAATACGATCAAATCATAAACAATAACTTTTCCCCTAGTTATATAACCAAACAGTAAAGCACAAATCAAGAAATTAACCCCAAAATAATGGAAACAAAGTTTCATGGACACTAGTGCCTTTGTGTCACGTACATGAACTAGACACAAAAAACGTGCTTCAAAATTTACAATGGGATGAGAAGTCTACTTGTGTTGGTTAGTCTATGAGGGTACCTATTGAAATTGCATTATTTATTAGTCTCGCAATTATTAAAAATTTCCTTTATGGTAAAAACCTTCTTCTTAATTCAAGTAAATCCACTTTCATATCTTTTTGTACGAAACAAGCAAGGGTCAAACTAAAACCAGAAATCTATTTAGATGACAAACAATTACTGTAGACCAAGCAGAAGTTACAAAATTTCTGGGACCTTTCAGATATTTTAACATGTTGTTAACGTTAACAAAATGTCAACAGATTTGTCTTATTATTCTGTAATTCATTCTACCTGTCCTACGGAATAAGCATTTACGGAGCAACAACTCAGACAAATTTAGATAAAATCTTGCGGAAACAAAAAAAAAAGCGTTAAGAATTATGTTTAAGTTGAAAAGGGATAAATCTGTTAAACATTTATTTATTTCCACAAAAATCCTGATGGTTTATGCTCTCTACATTTTAGTTTTAGAGACTGTAATGTATGTGAAACAAGTAGAAAATCAAAATTTTGTAAGCAACGTTCACCAGTACAACACCAGATTAAATAGGTAGACCGGTAGAATCACACAATTTAGAATTTTTCAAAAAGAAAACGTAATATATGGGAACAAAATTTTTGTTTCATTTACCAAGGTCATTTCTTGGTGAACAAAACCATAGATAAAACATTTAAACATACTCCCCAAGGAGGAGTACTTGAGGAGTATGTTTTATCTATAGTGACAAAACTTAAGTAAATGAAAGAATAACTTAAAGGAATGTTTGGTAAAACTAGCCCCATAGCCCCATATACTCTCTAACCAATTTTTTCGAAAACCACAGATTTTAGAGTAATTTGTTTAGAGTAATCGATGAGTATAACAAATCAAATCAATTGATAAGAAGATGAATTTACGTTCCATACACATTAATCATAATCAATTATTTACTTTAAATTAAAAAAAAAAGTATAATTGTTTATATATATATGATTATTGTCATTTCTTTTTATTTCTTTTTGTAAACATTGACACTATTTGTTGATACTATTGAACAAAATTATAAATGAAGAATATTTTAATTGAATTGTTATTTAAATAGATTTAATTGAAAATCCACAGGTCCACAGGAAATTCGTTTAGTTTGCAGGTTTGCTGCAGCGGGGTTATTTGACTCTATTGTGTGTTTCATCTTGAATTTAAATTATTTCAGTGAAATCTCAAAAACAAAACAAATCATTTATGAGTATGGTAAATCAATTTATTTAAAAGATTATTCCCAAACAGATCAATATTACAAATTTAATACTTTTAATCTATGGCTAATTTAAGCTACAAATTCAAATTATTAAACTGCACCAGAAATGTTCCCAAGTGAAAGAAGAAAAAGAAGAGTATTTTCTGAATACTGAATGAGACTTTTTGGACTTTTTAGCTATTATTTGCGATTTGCGACCCTGACCCTGAGTTTTGTTTTAGGTTATGTTATTCTATTCCGGTCCGGTTCGTCATTCATAATATAATTTATCATCATGTCAGAACTCAGAACATTTCACGCACGAATACTAGAAACATGTTTCTATTATTCATGCGTGGAACATTTAGATTTAGATCCACAACCACAACATTCGCAGTTCAAAATAGAGTTGGTTGGTGAATGATAATTTTATTTTGGATCAGCCTTTGACCTTTGACCTTGATAGGGATAGGTTGAATTTGTAAAACATTGCAGTTTTTTATAATCTGTAATGTTTGGTAAGTTTTGATTCTTAGGCCTGATTCTTATTCTTATGATAGAAAATAGGCCAAATACTAGCCTGCTTGATTTCAGATTTCAGTGTTACTTCACTTGTTTGTACCACAGGGTTGATTCGACTGTAATAAAGATAATAAAGATTAACATTCCATTCCATATTTTGAAAATTGAAAGTGATTGGCCTATTATTAACTTCAAAATGAGGTATGAACAATTGATTTTGTTTTGTGTCTTCTTGGGCCTATTTAATATCATCCAAGTAGATTAAATATACCTAGTTGGATTAACTAGGCATAACTTAGGTAGCCCCCCTACCTAAAGTTTGGTAATTATAAATACTAACAGTTGACTAGAATTCTTGTAAGTAAAATATGCCTTAGAAGTAGCTTTGACAAGCTATTGATTATACTAGGCCTGCGTGATGTAAAATTACAAAATGAACTTAAGTTAGAGGCGTGTTTCGTTTCTAACCTAGTGGTTAGCGTCTCAGACTTCTGTGCAAGAGAAATGGGTTGATTCCCAGCACACCCACAAATCATGAACACATGTTGCCTAAGTAAATGGGCCTACAATTAAGTTAGGTGGGACTGGTGGCAGGTTAGATAACTTAATGTATGCCTTGCCAGTAGCCATTCTCTCAGAAGTAAAAAAACATTAATAAAGTTAGGCCTATAGGCCTAGGCTAGATTAGAACATCATAAGTAAAATGAGAAGGTTTGATTTAATCTTTGGACATGGTTTAAATGATTCTTATTTATTTTAATGGTATTTATTGATAAAGTTTATGGCCTATTTTAAAAGAGAATGTTGCAGTTTGGTTAAGATATAGAAATATAACTCCTTGTCTAGATTTTCTTGGATTAAGTGTTTCATTTTGTTTTCAGCAAGCAACCATCGTGTGCAGCTTTTGCATCAGTTCAAGACATAGAAACTCCATGGGATGTTGCTCTCAGTTCTAAATACAAGAGGTAACTATCACCAATGAATACAGACCCTCTAGGAAGAACACAAGTTGGTTAAAATATGTTGCCAGCCAAAATTTGGTGATCGATATCGGTAGTGCCCTCCCACCAGGAACGCTGCCAGTTTTTTTCCCTCCGATAAGTGCAAGCGAGAGAAGAGAAAGAAGAAGACATCACGTGACAACCACACTTCATCCGCCTTAGTATCACTTCAGTGTATATCCTAGAAACGTTAATTTACTCTGCAAAATTAACACCAGTCCGCACACAAGAACATACAAGACACAAAGCAAAGCAAACACGATCTACCCTAACATAGACTCTAAATTCAGCAGTACACTACAACATACTGTCTCAAAATACTACAATTTGCAACCCCAACAATTTAAATGTTTACACAACAACAAAACAGTTAAACACCTGTAAAAATACCTTTTAAACAGGCCATATAACTATGAGTAGGCCTACCTCATGAATTACGGTAGGTACATTCATATACACACACATAGGCTACAAATTTCCCCCAGCTAACTTATAACAACTTAGCATAAACGGGTGAGGTTCATTTGTCCGAGTTTTCAGTTGTCCGATATTGGAGGAATCAGTTGTCCGAGTTTCATTTGTTTCGGTTTGATAAATAACTAATAATATTTAGATACCTAAATCAACTGTCCGAGTTTATTAAAATATTTCCCTATATTAAAATATCAGTTGTCCGAGTTTTCATTTGTCCGAGGATGGTTTAAATAATAATAACATTCGGTTAAATCAACTGTCCGAGCTTTCATTTGTCCGAGGTTTCAAATCGTTAAAAAAATATTGACTTTAAGATTGAAAGGAAAATCAATCGCCAACTGCAAGTAGTTTGTCTACAATTGAACAAAATGTTTTTTTTTTTTTTAATTCTAATTCTTATTCTAGGAGTTTTGCCTACATCACTGCTAAAGATAGATGGCCAGTAATTTTACAAAAAGTTATTGATGGCTTGTCAAATGAAAGAGAGGTGATCTCAGCTCAATATGGAGAGGTATGTTGACAACTGATAAATTTAAGTTATGTTAATTAAAAGTTATAAATTTTTAACCTATCTGAAAGATTGTTTCTGTTTGATACAAAAGCAGCTGTTCCCAAACTTAATGGTACCATATGGCCATCCACTTTCATCTTAGGGTTATTTACCACGCTAATAATTTTTCTATAAGAAGAAATTTTCTCAATATGTCCAAAACACTTACTGTATTTTAGGAACCTTAAATAATGATTACTCGTGAAGGTTAAGTATACTATTTTATTTACAAGTGGAAACCCTGTCCCTCAAATATGTTGTTTCAAATCAAACAGCTTTTAGGGATACTTCTACAAAACAAAAGTTTGCAGTGACATAATGTTCATGAGTTGAAAAATATGTTCATTGTTTGATCTCTCGCCACAATCCACCCAATTGGGCCACATGACTCACAAGCCATATTTTGGGAACCACTGACCTGACTTATATGATTATGCATTTGGACATTTGATTTCAGATCAAGAACAATCTTTACAATCACATTTATTTCACTCATATAGTACATTTAAAATTTTACACCAATCCACAATAGAGATAAACTAAACAGACATTTTTCCAATTTTTATTTTATCTTGCTGTGTGTGTCCAAGCACCATAAACTTGGTGTTTAGGGATTTAAAACTTTGTGTTCAAAAGATTAAGGAAAACTAAGAAAACATGGCAAAAATATAATTCTAGAATAATCTCTGGTATTAAAGTGTTGAGACATATTGATAGGATCAAATTTTAATCAATAAAACATATATTTTCACACAAACCCTTGATATATTTTTAGCAAGGTAAAGAAGATGTGGAGAATGTGCTCAACTATTTATTGATTTTGAAACACGACATGACTTCTGACAACTGCTTTATCAACGTGGTCCAAGGTGTTGACGCTGCTATTTATAACAAATACTTAGACAAGAAGATGAAGAATGGATCTCCAGTCACTTGGTATAGCACAGAATGGCTGTATGCCGAGTGTTACTTGTACCGAAGAATTAAAGAAGCTTTCCTCTTAAGGTAATGCACAAGATAAGCAGAACCGTTTGTATTAAATATTTGTTGTCAAATTAGTCCAAAAAATTGAAGTTGTTTCATTGATAGAATTGAAGTGCTGTTATACAAATATCCTCATATAATTTATCTGATTTTGTATTTGACTGTAAGTCGATTTACTTTATAACCATGTATTTATATGTTCATGGTAGTATGATTTATGCATAGAATTTTTATTTTGTAACACAGCACTCTAAAGAATCCAGACTATTATAGATGACATCCATTTGGTTCTTCAGCAATGTTGCAAGTGGTGCATAGTATACCAGTGTGTCTGACACTCTGTCAACACCAAAACGCATAAGTTGTGACTCATCAACCTATCGTCTATTACACTCGGCATCGCTACTCGATCGTACTATGAAACATTGTATATTACTTAAAACCTGCCAAATTGACCTCTGCATTTAAACTCCCACTATTTTGTGAACCATTCACATGATTGTTCAGCACCGTATGCTATCTCCTCCACATTTCTATACACTCCGTCTAATCAACCTTCTTTTAGGTCTTCTTCTATTTCTACTTCTTTTTATAACCATCAACTCTTTTGTCCTGATAATTATCACTTCTCAAATGTCTAAACCATCTTAATATATCTTTTTCTGTGGCTATACTATGAAAGAAAACATGAATACAAAGTGACGTCTTTGTAAAATTGTCCTTTTTACAAATTTCACAGCATTGTTTTTATAAGTAATGTGTCCTAGTCATAAATAAAACAAAGCTTAACTGAACTAAACTAATCCAACTTAAACACCGCAGCCCAATGTGGCAGACTCTTCCTAAAAAGATTATGGCTTAATACATTCATATTCAATACATACAATCAATTTTTATCGAGTGAAAATTATATCCAATATGATTTAAATATCGAACTAATATTTCCTTTAATAACATGTAGGAGGTCCTCTGCGGAATTATACCCACTAATAGGATTTTTTTCACGGATAGCTTAAAATAATTATATTTTAGGTGTAATATGTTAAAGACTTAGCACTCTTAATTATTGCTTACCTTCTGTTACGAATGATTTTTTCCAGCAAAACGCTTGGTAACTATGATCCCTTCCATCAACAAAAGACAGAAGCAATAGAAGAAGCGCTCACTTCCATGGAAGTCCTTGCATCTTTCTTGTTGAATCTATTTGAAAATCACCATCAAAGTTCTGAGATTGAATACTTAACTTTCCAACGCATTCTTAAGGTGAGTGATTGCCTTAATGTGCTGCCTTTAATTTCGAGTGATATTTAAAAAAATAGTAATTGATTTGCCGATTATTGGATTATTTAAGTCCTAATATAATACCACTTTTCAACCCCTGTCATTTAAACTCAAAAGTTCAAATATGCTGCGCCATATTTTAATGGGCGAGATGTTGATTTATAAAGTGAATGCTTAAACAACTTGACACCGGTCATTCCACGTACTAGAGAATAGTCATTAAAATGTATTTCTCTGAGAAGTCACAGTTTTCTCAAATTGAATTACTCACATACATTTCTTTATCAAATTCCATCCCCAAGGTTTGGTGTTAACTACGTCCCTCTATTTTCTCACATTAATCCACATTTCCTCTTTCTCCAAACATCAGCCATTTCAAAGTCAAATTCTAAGTCTTTTCAAATAAAGCAAGGACCCATCAAAATGTTTCTTAAATTAAAATACATACATGTGATTCCATTCCTCTCCACCTTATCTTGAATAACATTACATCATTTGATTAGATACAGTACTTAAGAAGCTGTTCCAGCTATGATGAAATCCCATGGTCACTTGTAAGCCTAGTCCTCTGGTTTTTTTTATAGTTTCGATTCATTAGAGTCATGACAATCCATTTCCATAGTTCATTGTGTTTATTTTCTTCCAGCTCTCTCTGTGGTCTAACAAAGCTGATCTTTCATTGTCTTGTGGAAACCGTGTTGAAGTTCAAGCCAACCCTCTCAAGGCAGTTGATGAGTTGAATGACTTTATTCTCTCTGATGATTCTCAAGCTGTTTGGACCGAGGTGTCAAAATCGAAGAATCTTATTATAGGTTTGTATTACTCTTGGTCATCCAAATTATTTTCATTCTTGGTCAATTTATTTTCAACAGTACCATTTTGGAAACCCTAACCCCCTGTTGCTTGGTACGGTCCAATCACAGACCCGAGGCCCACATGCATGGGCAAATGTAGGTTTAAAAGAGGACACTATCCTGTTAAAAAAGGTTTAACTTACAGGAACAAAACAAATATTGTCTTATTTAGGGTAAAAGGGTTACAATGTGACTTATGTTAATACTAAAACCATATGATTTTTGAGGCTGGAAGTAACAGAGGTTGAATTTGTGTCATCTGTTAGCTTTGTATATTATACTTGTGTTTATTAAAGGATGAATGACACAATCATATTACAGTAGACCCTCTCTTAATCGACCTCGCAATCGCATTAACCGATAATCGGATTATCCACCCTCGATCGTTAAATATTACAGTTTGTTTTAAACCGACCTTGCTTTGAGAGCTGTTCATATTAATCACCACTTTCTAAGAATCTCGGCATTTCTGCTCCCACGCTCGGTGATGGTAACCATAGCCCCTGTAGAGATAACCTCTACAGGATGTGACTAAGAATAAGTATTTAGTATTTATCCCAAAAATATTGCATATTGCCAGTTTGTTGTCATTCATCATCATTTGTAGCGCAAGCACATCTTATTTGTTATCTGTGCAGCAAATTTATAAAATCATGGTGCGTTACGATTTTGATAACTGCTCTATGCCTAGTAGTCAGGAAAAACTGGAAAGTCGGAAATTAGTATTTAATTTCAAAATGGTCTTGAAAAGTCGGGATTTAGTCTTTATTTTGATGTTTAAGTTGGGAATTTTCACGGTTTTGCTGCGATTGCACAAAACGACAATCACGTAACTGCGGGAGATGATAATGATGTGTTGAATATTGCAACCCAACTCATCTAGTCTCTGGATTAGTGATGGACCATCATATGTTTTTACATTTTACATATGCAGTTGTTTATAAAATATATTTTCAGTGTTGTGTTGTGTTTGTAAGACAATAAAAGAGTTTATAACAATTTATTCTTTCATTAACTTTAATTTCACCAACATGATGTCTACACGGGAGCGGAATATTTTCATGTAAAAAAAAAAAACAAATTGGCTAGTTAGAATTTTGTATTGCTGAATTGTTTTCTTAACTTGAAAAACGCCCTATTATCTTAATCTTTTTGACATAAAGACAGGGGTTGGTGTAGTATTACCAAATTATTCCGAAAATTTGGTTGAACTTTGAAAATTGGTATCGGTATCAAGAATCGAGAATCAATACATTTTAAAACACTAAATGTGACAAATCACTAAATGTAAAAAAACTAGTCTTGAAAAATTTGGAATTAAACTTGAAAAGTCTGGAATTAGTCTTGAAATTTAAAATGGAAATAAACTAGACACTCTGTGTAGTATTTTGACCCTTTCTGTAGCATTACACTAGTTCAAAATGTGTGTATATTTTGTAAATTAAAACAATCAATGATGTGTTTCTTTACAGACATTGTATTTGACAACACCGGTGTGGAGGTGATGACAGACTTATGTCTCGCCGACTATCTGACTTCTATGTACAACGCAGTGAGGGTGAGGTTCCATTGCAAAGCTATCCCGTGGTTTATCTCTGATGTGATGGAGAAAGACTTTCACCAGGTGATAGAGAGACTTTCCAACCACACTCCTGCCTGTCAACAGTTGGCAGCTCGCTGGCATGACTACTTGGAAAATGGTATGTCTTGGCATGTAGCCTAGAATTCTAAATTAAGTCGTTTGTTACTTGAAATGAAATGAAATGAATGAATGAAATGAAATGAAATGAATTGAAAAAATGTTCTTCAAAAATGAATTGGTTACATGAAAAAATGAATTGGTCTTGTTCTTACGTATACCATCACACCTATCATGCTTTAAATTGATGTACTATTAACAAGTTTTAGGATTTTTTGTAAGAATAGAGAATGTAACAGAGACAAAATTGTCAAAATAAACACAAACCTTTACACTATGCACAAACAAAACATTATGGTATTTTACTGTCACTTGTAGCATTTTCAATTAAAGGTATGAGTTAGATGACGATTTCTTCAAGCTTTCCCATTCAGGTAAGCCTGCTATCCTCACAAAAATCCCAAAAGCCTAGTCCCTTTTCATAACCTAGTTGAAGGTATTACATCCTCAATCTCTAATGAAAAACTTGATTTTAATGCACTTTAAAGAGAGATTTGTATCAATAACCAACAGTTGATATTACATTTTCTCCCCCACCTCAAATAAGCTTCTTCAAAAGAAAAGGTTTTAATTGCCCAAGCTGTAGTCACTTGTTTTAAATGTCAATACTGATTTGCTTATAATTCGTAAGAGGGTTGTCATTGTATTTTTACAAATACAATTTTGTTACAATGGATTGACAACTCTCCTATAATTTATGGGTTTGTTTTTAGGAAAATGGACGGTCCACAGTGATTGTTTTTGGACTTTGCCCTTTTCTTACAACGAAATGAAGGAGCAAGACCCCAAGCTGCACAGTATGTTGGCTGAGAGCAGCATCATCATATTCAAGGGAGATCTCAACTATCGCAAGTTGCTTGGAGATATCAACTGGAAGTACACAACTCCGTTTCATGCGGCTCTGAGAGGCTTCAACCCTGCTCCAATTGTAGCCCTGCGCACCGCCAAGGCAGATCTGATAGCGGGTAAAACAGTGAGAAAAGTATTTTTATCACTTTAAACAGAAATTAGTTATTTTCTACAACGGCTGATATCAACGCAAGTTTTCCAAGCTCTAATTTAGAGCTAGAGAAATACGATACTGGTTTTCCCTTATGAATTTATTTCTAATTTAATCCTCTACAAAACTATTGTTCTTTACCAATCGATGAGAAAAAGTAGAAACTACAAAAAATAGTTATTTGTGCAACTAGTGAGAAAAGTGAGCAATTGACTCACTCGAGAGAAACCCTTACTCACGAGCCGTAGGCGAGTGAGGAATGGTTTCTCGAGTGAGGCAATTGTACTTTGCACTCGAGTTGCACATTATACTTTTCCTACAGTTACCATAAAACAAATAAATTTGTGAAGAAACATAACCTTATTTTTCACAGAAGTGAACTTTTAATATAACATTTAATGTGAAGTTACAAATACAACAGTACAACAGCTGACCAGCTGATTTACAGCCAGTGCTGCCAACGTATTTCGCGCGCATACGACGTTGCCTGCATGTTACGCGCTCACTATTTCGTGCCTTCACGTTGCAAATCTGGAGTGAGACAAAGTAATTAGAGTGAGACAATGTTAACATTGTCTCACTGATGAGCGAATTGGCCACTTTGCTTTCTCAAATCAGTGAGAGAACATGTACATTGTTAGGTAACTGTAGGAAAACTTATTTAATTACTCTGTTTGTAGGTTTGGAACCCAGGTTGTATGAACCTGTTTCAGCTAAGGACAAGAACTGGCTTTTGACCGGTAGCTACGGCCTTATTCAGTTTGACAACACCAACTCCAAAACCACCTAGTCTAATGGAGACTTATTGAATCTCAGCATTTAATAACTATCAGAACAAGCTTTAATCAATGTGTTGTGATTCTACTGTGATTTTTAAATAAAATGTTGTTGACTGTTACATGTTAAATCTTTTGTCCATTCTCATTCAAAGATACCAACAACTTTATTTTCATAAGACAATTTTTATTGATTACAAAAATAAATTAAATAGGTACTGTTTTTATCATATCAAATCAAGTGGAGTTTTAAAATATGTTTGACTAGTCAAATAATTCAAATTTAAATTCTTAAGGTATTTAAGAAAAACCAACATTGTAAATTAAGTGCTCTACAAATATTGTTGACATAAAAGCACAGTTTTTAGATGGTAAAGTTTTGATAAAAGGTTTGTGCCAATTAGTCACCCTTTCTTAGGCTAATGTCACGAGTTTTTGCATTTTAAGGGTGCGCTCTACCTCTGCAGTTTCGTGTAGACGCAAGGGTCTGGGGCAACAGTGTTTCCGAAGGCTACATTAAACGTAGAATCAAAGTAAGGGTGTCATTTTGAAGAGGATTAAATTATCTAAATTATTCTGGTTGCAAAATGTTTATTATTGTACGATAAAGACCAAAAATCTTCTTTTGAATGTAGACGAAAAACAGCAATTTTAAACTGCTTTAACTTATTATAGAATCTATATATTAATACACAATTGTTACTTTAAAATCTAAAACCAGGGTTTCATAGATTGTTCTTTGTTTTGTAAAACCCCACTCATTGTTTTTACTAGCATGTATTGGTAGTTTACAAAGGCAGTTACCGTGAACGTCTGCAAGCGCTTCTCGCGGCGCCATTCAATGGCGATACATAGCAACTGAAGCCCGAGCTGAGATTTCCGAGCTGAGGTAGAGCGCAACCCTTACAGATTCAGAAGTTTGTATTTTTCATTTGGAAAAATATGGGTTTGCTTGCCTGAGAAAATCAGAGTCCAGGAACTAAACATTACTCAAATATATACACAATTGTTCCATCTATTCATTAAAAATCAAAAGATCGGCAATGTGCTTATTTTATTTGATTTTTTCCTTAGACTGAATTTTCTCTGGAAAGCTAGCTGAACTGTTTCCAAAAGTTCTATTATTATATAAAAAATACAGTTTTGATTATAATCTTAGCTTATTTCCATGAATTATAAAGGGTCACATGCTTAGCTACCAATTATTTTATTGTGCATACTAGATTGAAATGTAGAATGTCTCACCTAAAACAAGTATAGTATACTATCATTGAGCTGTAAAAATTACATTATGTCAACATAGATACCTACTTTTTTCTCTAAACACAAAAATTGAAAAATGTGCTACATACAAATTTCATACAATATTAGTTATATAAAAATATCCTACTCCACTGTACATGAAAATAAGTATTACTACAGCTATTTAGGATAGGCTAGACAATAAATATGAATTACAATATAAATCGATAATTATAGTTGTTTCATAGTGACATTGACTTACTTTAATCGAATCAATAGTTTCAGGATCAAATATGAAATCCAAAGCAAAAATCTAATTTTCAGTAAGTTTGTTGAATCTAAAAATAGGTAATTATAAACAATAATCCACAAAAGTTATAACTGAAAAACTAAACCCCTTCCAAAAATGTTTTAACATGGGGCTTAACAATAACAATAAACTAAAATTAGAATTTCTTCAAAATTATTTTAAAATGTGTGTATAAACAACTTATGTTAAGGATGTAACATTAGAGCCCAAGAACATTGGGTTTAGGATTTTGTTGTGATGGCAGCAGGCTTACCTGAGTGGGAAAGAGTCAAATCTGACACAAGAAACGCATAACTTTAAACCAAAACACAACTTTCTCTCCAATTAACTCTTTCCTTAGTTTGTTGAAAATACTATCAGTGGGGGTGAAATATTCTAATGTTTAATAGAAAGTCTTACATTAAAATCTTTTGTAATAGCCCCGGAACTGTAATATTGGCCAATGGTTTCTACAGTAGTTGTCATGTTTCGGCTTTGTTAGAGAAAACATATCATAACTCCTGAATGTTACAATTTGGAACTGTCGTCAGGTACTGTCAAACCCAATAGTAGTTTTGTGTTTCTTGTGCCAGATTGGTCTCTTTCCCATGTACCTAAACTTGATATCCTTACAAAAAATCCTTAATTACCCAAGAAAAGAGTTCCAGGCAGTTGAAAGCATAGAGAAAGGTCACAACAAAATAAACTTGATATCTCGCCACTACAAGAGGATAAATCGGGATAGCTCTTCAGAAGAATGAAAGAAAATGTGAAAACTTATGTGCTTTCTACTGCCTGCATCTCGTTTATAGGTAAGTATATCAATTCCTTCTTTCTTAATGTGCTCCTAAGCCAAAAGCTTATTCTCAAAATGAATCTAACAAAAAAAAAATATCAATCCTTAGCTAGGATTCTAATACCATTTTTAAAAGGGATTTCATTTGGGAATATATATTTTAAAAAGCTATAATATATGACTACACTACAAGTATCTTTGGGCAATATGAGCCCCATTTACAATTAAATTCCTTCGTAATACTTAGTACTAGCACTTTAAATTACACAAAATATAATATTAGTAAAACTATTGAATGATAAAACTTTATAAAACATCTCTTTTCTCAACACAACTAAGCACCCAAAAAATAGGACAAAAAGGTATATCATAGATAAAGCTTTAATCCTTACAATAGCTGCTAATGTTTGATATATGAAAGGAAAACTAAGTTATTGAGTTGTTTTTAAGGTTGTAGGCATAACTTAATAGCCATGTAAGTAATTAATTATTCATGGTTTACATGATTGGGATGAATAACATAACTTAGCCCAACTGCCACAGTGTACAACTGTTAGCACTACAGCAAATACCAAAATATCAACAAAAACTATTACAGCTCACTTATTATTAAATTACGCTTTGAGACACTGGAAAAAAATAAATTCTTCATATTTACAAAGACTAGGCTATTTAATGTGTTTGAAATTGGGGATAGCCTATACTTATTTTTTCTAGGCAATATTTGTTTGGAATAAGGAATAAACTTATGTGTTCATTAATGGAACGCCTACACATTCCATAACTGTGAGTTTTAGCAAATTTCCCATGTAGGGAAACAGCTATTACCCTGGAAAGATTTTTTTCTTTGTTTTGATGTCCCAAGAGGCTATACAAGAGGATAACATAGATATAATATGTGTGTGTGTCTATCAAGATAACTGGACTAATTTTGGTCCGAATTTGAAGAAACTTTCCAAGAATGGGTAGAACTGGATAAATTTGAAATAGTCTGTAGGTTTGCTGCGGTGGGGGTACTTATCTAAATAACTTATTATTTATAAAATAACTTTTTTTGAACTTAGTGGTATATTTAAGATCCGAATAACGCGCGAATAACTCAGTGTGTTTTTATAATCAAATGGTGCAAAATTATACATTTCAAAAGTTATTTCAGCCAGGAGGTGCATGGCATTAATCTGAATTCAAAAATTTAAATGTCCTGCTGCATGTTCTTTACCAACATCATTTCCTGCTTAATTGTCTCCGAGTAGTCAAGCAAGCACAGGTCGTGAGAAGGAATGAGGCTTGTAGTATGTGTTTGGTCCCCGCTGAGGACAAGACTGTCTCTCGTACGATAACAAGTGAGCGCACTCCTCACCAGGCGGCGCTACTTTGTCACACACACAGTCCAGCGTGACACGCGACACAGTCAGCTGTCCGGCGAGTGAGACATGGGCCGGCTGCAGCGAGCGCGAAACACCTCGTGCCAGCAAACACTCCTCTTCCACAGTCGCGCGCAATGCTTCCAGGTCATCGTACTTCTCTGTAAGAAATCCAACCTAATCATCCACAAATAGTTTATAAGGGTGTCTTAAGTTGTCTTTTTTTATAGTATGTGAAATAACTTACTCACTGTTTCACAGCAAATTTTTCACAGTTAGTAGAATAACTATTTCATGTTCTAGTTGTTTTTCTAGGCCACTTCATGCAAATCAAAATAAGAAGGTTACAATACCTGCAGACTGCCTTTAGTGGTCCTTAAATATCCAACAGGATTACGCGTTTCGGTATTTGTTATACCATCATCAGATCCATATACAAACTTGAAGTTTTTTGACTCATAATGTCACGTCACAGTTTTAAAACACAGTTACAAAACATTTAAACACGAAAACTATTTACAGTAGGCCTACTAATTAAAAACGAGAGACAAAAGTGAAGCAATGCATGCAATTTCAAATGTCGAGTCTCAACTCATCTCAAGGCAGTCTGCAGGTATTGTAACCTTCTTATTTTGATAAGAATAACTATTTATGCAACTAGTGAGAGGTATTTTTTCAAATAAGACACAAATTTTAACAAAAAAATTAATCATGTACTCAACAAATGTACTGAGAACATTGAAATTATGATTTTTGTGGGTGACCTGCATTATTGTATACATGACTAGCTGTTACCCGCGGGTTTAAATATTGGTTTATATTATATTGGATTATATTATTATTCTATCTTATTATTATATAATGTATGATGTAGGCCTATAGTTCTGAACACCATTCAAGTATACTCTTGTATATTTTTTAATAAAGTACTGTACCTTTGAATTGAATTGAACCCCAGTCAATAATTAAAAATATGAAACCCAACTATGAAAGTAAACAATAATTATAAAAAAAGTTCTAGTTTTGGTCTTAAAATTATTTGACGTCCTGCTTGACAAACCTTACCTGGAGTAATCCGGCTCATTCTCTCAAGGATACACTGTTCGTCCCTCGGCAGCCGAACATAGACATCTGCAGAAGGCAGCCAATGAGTTGTCACCACCAGATCCACACCTGAACCTGCTAACGCTGGGGCCAGCGTTCCTGTCATCAACAGCATTTAGTGGACGTTTCCCAACATTGGTAATGACCAGCGACCACAATACTTACACTACACACCTAAAGGCGACTTACAGTTCCACATAGTGTTTTTACACCTCTCTCCCAGCTATTGGCAAACAATTTTATTTGCATGTTAAAATAAAATATAATCAATAAAATCAACTAAATACACAACACAAGGGCCAAGGTTTAAAGTTTTTTTTTATAGTAGGCTTAGCTGGATGGAGAAGAGTTCAAAACTGTACACAACAAAAATTAGAATATTTCACGTAACTCAACTGAAAATACATTTTTCCTACAGTCACCTGATAAAGTGTGCTTCTTTGCACTGATTATAGTCAAGGCCACACTAAAAAAAACAGGCCGTAATGCTCGTCAAGTATGACAGCACAATAGAAGACGGCAATGACGTAGGTATTTATTTATTTATTTTCCAAGGAAAGATTAAAACAAGCAGCTGATCACAAACTGCAAACATTACGTCATTGCCATCTTCTATCGCGACGTCATGCTAGACGAGCATTACAGCCTGTTTTTTTAGTGTGGCCTTGTTATAGTAGAGAAAGTTGCTAATTACAGCATTTATTTACTTTTGCCTTAGTCACTAACAGGACTTCAAGATCACGCCACTCATCCTACACTCATATTTGGGTTAAAATACGCACATAGTGGCATCCCCATCTTAAATATTTGATAATTGAAAACACCAGTATTCCAACCAAACAACACAAAACAGCGTGCTTTTATTATTTATGTAATTCGTGTACGCTTGGAAATAGGTTAACAATACCTTTGACTCCAATAGTCAATTGCAATACTTAAAGATACTACGACTACGATCAGCTGGTGCAGTTGTTTCCCATTTTGTTCAGCGCTTGGATTTAACCTAACCTTAAAACCGGTTGTATTGTGTTTGAAAGACTAATTATTTCTATGCTTTATAGTAACTGTAGGAAAACTATAATGTGTAACACGAGTGCAAAGTGCTACTTTACACTAGTTGAACAAATAACTATGGAATTGGGATAAAATTTTGAAATCCAAGCATTTGCTAAAGAAAGAATTATCCACTGTGGCAGCAGTGTGAATAGCAAAACTGTTAAACTGAAACTGTGAAACTGTGTAATTATTAACTGTTTTAAATAATTACATAAACAACAAAAACCTTAAAAAAAGTTGGTCTGTGAGACATGTATTTCTATTCCAGGGGAATGCTGTAGGTTTTTTAACTAGCCTAGCAACATTTACTATGGACGTACCTGGTGAGCCTACATGAGGCAGTAGCCGAGAGGTGTGGATACTGCGGCGTGGTCGGTTTTCCTCGGCTCTCTCATCTCGTCCCATCACGTTGGGAGGGAACACAGGTCCGTCATCACCCTCTGGTCCATAGCCAGCCTCTAGATCTCCCACTCCTAGTGTGTCAGGCAGCACACCTCCGTACATGCCTAGGTTCTGGTACCTGTAGGAAAAAAAACTGATTTGAAAATATGTTTTATTTTATTTGGTTTCTGTAAGAAATGCCTGTTTATTATTTTCATTTTCAAGCCAACATTTAGCTGTTCAAGTAATTTGAATAGGAAGAGTTCTTCTTTTTTCTTGTCTGCTTTTTTCCCACACAGTAATTTTTTATACAGTCAAAATGTGAATTTAGTTTATTAGTCTGAAATCACTCTTATTGTCCTTTGTTAATTTACCTTGATTTATAAAGTAGTTAGTTTATTTTTGATTTTATTTGTTTTCAATGGCTTGTGACTCCCTCTTATCCGGACACCCTTCAACTAGACATTGGTTTAACCGGACCACACTCAGCAGAAGTGACATCTCTTTAACGGGACAATTTTATGCAATAAGGCAGCTGTTTTTTTGGAAAAGTCACTTCCATATTTGGTAACATCAATTTTCCTCCGAGATGCCCAGACCTAACTCCACTAGACTTTTTTCATAGTCATAGTCAAGAATCTTTATTCATGATGATAGTATACATGGTTGTACATGAATAGTGTCAAATCAATTTAAACTAATACTTAAAACTATGATGAAGCCATTTTCCATTCATCTAAAGAATATAAGGACAGGTCCATTAATATTCCTTGGGACGTTTTTTTAAAATGTTATGATGGGGTTTTCTTCTGTTTTGTGAGGGTATCTAAAAAGTCGGGTATACAACAATGCTCCTGCTACCCTTGATCATCTGAAGCAAAATATTCGTGAGGAAATTTAAGCCATCCCACCAGAACTCTGCCGTCAAGTCTTTGCACATGTAGGGTTTTGTTTGGCGGAGTGCCGGCGCTCTACATATGGATGATGTAATCTTTCACAAGTAATTTCCCTAAAGTGTACAAACTGGTATTCTTGAAAAAATTGTTGTAAATAAAGCCATTTTTCTGTGTTCTTCATTTTAAAAGTGCATTCCTTTCTTAGACACCCAGTAAGTACTACACATGTAAGTAAGTTTACACATGTGCCCCCTAATAGTATCAAAGTTGGGTCATAAATATTCACACAGTTCTTATATTTAAAATATTTACACACTCCATGAATGTGTATTTTTGTAAATAATACAGTATAGACTAGTGTTAGTGATAAGAACTTAAGAAGACCCTTGAAGATGCCACTCAAGCTGGCTAAATGCATAAGGTGATAATAAACATATAACGTACAAGAACTCAGATAAGTAAATGTAACATAAGTTAATACATGTTCTTGAAACTGGGATAACAACAAATATTTTAACAGTTGTTTATAAGTTTAAAGACAATCACCGTCTGTTGGTGCTGTAGTCTGACTCCTGTGGATGCCACTCCATCTGAGGCCGACGCTCTCGTAGTCTCTCGTACTCCTCCATAGCCTGGTTGAGGTTCACTGGCAACTCATCACTGGAACCTGAGTACAGCCCCAATAGTTGTTACTAGTTGTACTACTAGTAGTTGTTACCAATAGTTGTTGTATTGTTGTTGCACTCTTTAACTAAGTTAAAACTAAGTGCGGAAGAAGTATTCTAAAATACTGTGTAGCAAAGCAACATTGACAGATCAAATATGATTTTTGTTTAACTGTTTGGACTAGAAACAAAAAGAGTGCCCATTGGAGACTGACAAGAGTTAACAATGCGCTTAGAAAATCTGATTTTAAACCCAACTACTTCTGTCCTGATAAATGTTATAATCATGAAACAATTTGTGATGGAAATTTGACTAATAAATTATTAGGCTAAATTAATTTTTCTTTTGTTTTTTTGTTCAGTTTCTGAAAAATCTACTATTTTCAAAAATTTGAACTTATACCGATTTTGGCAACTTTTAAAACTCCATCTCTGACTTACCAAACTGTTGTCTGTGATATCCGTTGTGTGAGTGGTGGTGTGGAGAAGCTTTCAAATGTTCCACTGAATCACCAGTGTGATGGAAATTATTCAGTTGTTGTGTTGGCTGCAGTGGTGTTGGTTGTTGCTTCAGTATTGGCAGCCCTGAGGTCGTCTGTTGATCAACTGGTGCTGCAGTGGTGTTGTGATCTTCCTTCCAACGTTTCTCTAAAATTACAGATAGATTTTAGCAAACATATGCATAACAATTTTATTTACAACTGTGTACCTTCACAGGGATCACGATGACATATGATGCAATTTGCATGACAATAAACATATTGTTTCCAGTTACATTACAACTATCCCCCATAAGATCTCTACTGCATGGTGAATGTGGAATGGAGTATAGGGCCTTGAAATACACAAACTCTATGGTTGGCCAGCTTCGCTTTAGCTAACATCATGTCTTTTTTGAAGATACAACTGCCTGGTTTTTGGCTAACCGTTTTAAACTCAACGAGGATAAGACGCAGCACATCATCTGCAGCCTTTCCAGAGACCAGCCTGGTGTTCAGGATCCAGTAAAACTGTTTGTATTTGTTCTTGATGGGAAGTTCAGCTGGACACATTGCATAGACCAGACCACCAACAGACTCTCACAGATCTGTTACCTCCTCCTCAAACTAAAATTCTGCGTAACAGAGGCATACTTGGTGATGGTGTACCATGCCCTCTTTCACTGCCATGTCAGCTATGGCCTTCTTCTCTGGGGACACTCGCCAAAGGTTGTAGAAGTGCTTAGGCTCCAGAAGCGTGCAGTAAGGATTATTACTGAGAGTGAGTATCGTGCTCATTGCAAACCCCTCTTTGCACGACCTGGTTTGCTTACTGTAGTTGGCCACTACATACTTCTCTGTCTGGTGCACGTTAGGGCCAATATAAACAACTTCAGCACTCATGATGACGTCCTCCAGCACAACACCAGGCAGCGCCGTCAGCTTAATGTACCCAGGGTGCGATTATCTAGGACCCAAGCTAGTTATAATGTGTCTGCCATAATCCGCCTTAAGTTTGTTCAATAAGCTGCCACGGCATATACAGTTGTTGGACTTTAAAACTTTTGAGGCAGTGTTAACCTCTTTCATCAAGAGCCGGGCCTATTATGACATCTCAGAATATCTAAGGGATGACTTTAGAATCCTGTAGCCTGCCGAAAGTATTGTAAATAGTTGTAAATATATGTTTATTTCCAGTAACCGTGTTAAGTGACGCTGTCAATCCCACTTTGTGAGTAAAAGACGAAGGAGAAGGTATTAAGGTATGCATTGTTCCTCCACTCTCCTGCATTCCGTTTTATCGTTGTTCGCTTCTTTTGCCTTAAATATTACATTCCAAGACTTATATTATAGTTAATAAGTATTTCATTGTATTTTAGCTTTTGGAACTTGTTCTGCTCCTTAGTGCCTATGCAGAATGGTTAAATATTTTTTAGAAGAGCTCAAAACTTTATATTAAACCCGTCTACAGCACAGTAGTGTTTTTTAATGTCTTTTTTAGGAAAAGAAGGTTGATTGTTTTCAGACCAGTACTTTATAAGATCAATTTTCAGATAGCTCAATATACCTGAAGAGTATATAAGCAGGCCCGGTGGTGCAGTGTGTTCACTGAAGGCATAGAGTCGCAAATCAAGCGAGGCATTGAACCTGAGGCGGCAAAGATCTGCCTTTACCCTTTGTCTAATGGGTGTGCCTGAGAACATAAATAACAGATTAATCTCAATGTTTCTGGCATCAATGTCAAGCCTGTGTGATGAACAAAACCCAAAGTGTCAGCTAGGTTCGTCAAGAAGTTAGAGTAAAACAGCTATGTCTTTGACCTCATTAAGCTAGAGAATTCAAAGTTAAGTTTACGTAACGGTAGTGTATGTCAAGTCAATGGTTCTTTCTAGCACTAAAACATATTGTATTAATGGTACACTAGAAACACTCTAACAGATTAATACAACGATAAAAAAGATTACAATTATAAAACTTGTCAATCTGCTGTTTAGCACAAGTGAGTGATTTGGGAGTGTTTTTATACCATTTATAGACCTGATTGTCAAAATTGAACTATAAAATTCAGAGATTAATGTTTTTTTTTTTTTTTTTTTTTTTTTTTTTTTTTTAACATGAAAAAATATGTGTTTTGTTTGATTATGGAGTAATTAAGGTTTGTATCAAGATCAAGTCATCTATGATGATGTTGTTGTGAACTATGACAAGGTGTGTCAACTATACCACAGCTTATTAAAAAAAAAACTGTTTTTTTATTTCCCACCTCCACATCCTAGGATGCTGGGCTCTAACCTAGAAACGTGTTATACATTACTTCAGTTTAGACCTAGAGCGTGGTCAGTTATGGCTCTATATTTGAACCTGAAGCTCCGTGCTCTACCCTAGGACCACCTCACCCCCTAAGCTGGTTGTACACAATGGGTAAAATGGTAGGTTATAAAAACATTACGTTCAAATTTGAAATGTCTCCCCCCACCTACTTTATTGATATACTGTACCCTGTAATTTGTAAAATCAATTAATAAAACATAACAAACACCACATTTAACTGTATCACGTGTTTACATACTGTTGAGAAAGGAGAACCGTTGGTCGTTGTTCTCGTATCCCTCGCAGACGCCAGACCAGTATAGAAACAGGTCGTTGCCTCGACCCGCAACACTCAGTGATATCCCGGGGACATCTACAAATGCTGAGGCAACCATGGGCTTGTCCATCAGAGGCTGCCCTGTGCGACCATCCACCACCGACGTCTGTGATGCGGTAAACAAATAAGTCATTTGATGGATTATTGCCTGGATAGGTGACCTGAATGATACTAGTCAGCAGCCAAGTCTTAATACAAGTCTTTGATGATCAAAAGGTATTTTGGCCATGTTGCAGTGTACAGAACTAGAATTTTTAACAAAGTATGAACAGTATACTTTAAAAAGAAAATCTAGACCCATGAAATAGGTGTAGATTAACTATTCCTTATTTTGAAAACAAATTAAAATATAGTGATAAGAAAAATATCATTCAGCACAGGATTTAAATGTTGTTTATGTATTCAAAAATATGTAATATAGCCTACTAGAACCCGCTAATCTGACCTTGGCTAGTCTGATTTATCGCTTAATTCGACCTTGCCATCGCCTGCAGGTGATAATGTTGTTGCAGTAATATAGTGACCATTTCCAGTGGTCGTGTGGTTTATTTGTGGCCACCACAAATATCTTGTTAATAACCCACGGTCACTGAAACATCATCATAGTCTTCCGCAATCACGGAAACATTATCGTCATCCCCCACAACCAAATCCAGGACAACTCCTGGGGCTATGGAAACATTATTATTGTCTCCCCGATCACAGCAAGATATTTATTGTCTCCCGCGGTCACGGGAACATGATCTTCATATTCCGGGATTCCCGAAAAAAACCTATCATCATTGTGTCCCGTGACCACGGAAACTTTATCTTTGTTATACTGTCATTGTGTCAAACTCCTGAAAATCTGAATGACCTAAGGTAACAATAACATAATCATCGTCTCCCGGGACTGTGCAAACTATTTAATGTCTCTTGTGTTCCTAATGATAATTAATTTAATAACAAATGGATCCTCAAATAGTTACAATTCCATAAAGTAAACATTTTAAGGCAACATTTCAAACTAAGGATTCAACCATAGATATGACTTACCAGAGAATAGTAAAACTCGGGATAGGAAGATCCAACAACATGCGTAAACAAGAAGTCTGGAATGTCGTCATCGTTGAAATAAGCTGGAGTGGGAGAACTGAAAAAGGTGTGTGTTTTAGGTAAAAGGCGATCTTGAAATGGATCGTAGTTAAAAACAATCGAAGATCACAAAATATTTTGTCAAGTGATATTTAATGGTTACTATTGTGATGTAAGTTGACTTGAACATTAATTTGTCATTATTATTGTTGACTTGAGACTAATAAACAGTGAAATTGTTAAGCTTCTTAGTATTTAATAAGTTTGGGTGATTTCTATAGAAAACATGTATTTTTACTTTCCTGCATATAAAACTCCATTTACTTCGTATAGTTTGACATTTTGATAGTTCGACACCCCTTAAGTCCACAAAGTGTCGAACTATCGAGGTTCTACTGTAGTAACCGATGATCTGTAGAAAAATGGATGTAGTTGATGAGGTCAAATACCTTCTTGGTATAATGAGTAAATAGAGAAGATATTACAGTTTACTTGAAAGATATAAAGTAGGGGTATATCTATTGATCGATTTACTATTGAGATCACTTCCCCTCTCAAATGGTTTGAATAGTTTAAGTTATAAAATGAAAGCAAAAATCTTTTTTTTATACTATCATTATAAATAATTGAACTTAAGTCAATCTTAATCGTTACTAACCTTAATCTTAATCTAAATTTAGAACATATCTAAGATGTAAGATCTGTAATATTGTGCATAAAAAAAATTAAATATAAAAGGAGTATATTCTGGGAAAAGAAATATCAGATCTTTTTACCATTGGAAAAAATTAAATTATGATTCCTTTAAAACGATTCAAGTATTTATCAGTGTTACTCACTTGAGTATTTGAGATTTATAATTAAAGGGTGTTGAGATCTGTAGTGACTGTGCTGACACATTCCATATCTGTTCCAGAGTTACTCCGTCAATGGCTGTCACTTGGCTATCTGATATTATAATTATGTCTTCCGAGCCGTCTCTGTTGATATCTACCAAGACTGGTGCTTCGTTAACACCACCTCTGGTCAGTTGAACACTCTAAAAACAGGCAAAAAGAATGATTTTAAAGTTCAATGTATATTCAAATCAAATACGTTTATTTTCCATAAAACATCAAGATGTACAATAATCATTATCACATCCTTATACTTGATCTCATATACACACCTATTACATTTAATATACGTACATTTACAATACCTATACATTTATTGTCAATATACAGGGTGTTTATAAAAAAATGCCGGGATTTTAAATGATAACTCCTTGGGTACTAATTAAGGTAACTAAACGTTTTATAGGTCAAATTGAAGCTAAATTAACTAAGTTTTGTTTCCCATGTAGCAAGGGAGGAAACTTTGACCCTGGCATGAGCAAAACAGGTACACGGTGGTAGGCCGCTATTGTGACTCATACGCCTGATTCCAGTGGTCAGTACGTTTACGGAGCAACAGAAGGCAATAGAGAGTAATCTGAGGTTCGCAGAGTTTATATCGATTGCTAAATTAAACTAAATTTAAATCTACTTGATGATATGGTTTAATGAGTTTTGTGGCACCTTAGTGTTTTGAAAAGACATTCACCTGACCCGCCAAAATAACAAGCTATGATATAGTCGAAGAAATCCGACAATTCAGCATCTGAAGCCCGAAAAAATCGATTGCACGACAAAGTCAATGAGTTGAACATACCTAAATAGACACTTCATGACGTTATCCGTAAAAGATAGAGTTTTTGTGCTTAAAAAGATTCAGTTAAGACATTCAGATAAACCCGCCGATCACCCTAAGCGTACAAACTTTGCCAGTTTTATGCTCATATAAGATTGATGTGAATCAGAATTTAACTAAATTATTTTGAATTGTATCAAAGTATGAAAAAAAAAAATGTTTTTCCAGTTTTTTTTCTTTCAATTTGACGTTTAGATCGTTTAATTATTTTGAATAAATGCCGGCATTCTTTTAAAAACACCCTGTATTTATTTTTGGCCTACACTGTATCATAGGGATGCACTGTGGATGCGATGCTCACTGGTGTGGATTAACGTCCGCACTAGTGAGTACTACGACTATCCGCAGTACTATCCTGATAATTAGACCAATTCGTAAATTACAAGGAAAAATGTGGTTCGGATTCCACTATAAACTGTAGGTCCCTTAGTTGCCATTAGCTGTATGGGCTATTAATTAACAGCTGTGTCTAAGGAACATGTCGGCCTTAGTCACTAACAAGACTACAAGATCGCGCCACTCATCCTACACTCATCCTTCACTCATATTTGGGTTAAAATACGCACATAGTGGCGTCCCCATCTTAAATAATTGATAATTGATAATTGATAATTGATAATGAATGGATTAGAGCAGGGGTGAACGGATGGTTGCAGTAAAGCCATCAAGCATTATAAGTGAAGTAGGTCAATTGTATTATTTTTTGTCACGGTATTATTCACACACACATTTAATTGATTATATCTTGTCAACAAGATAGATGTAAGGAAGTACAGCTATTAAATAAATAAGCAAGAAAATTAAAATTACAAACAATATCGCTGACCTTTTAATAATTAGAATACAACTTATTTGTGGGTTATTTAGCGGGGTGAACTTGAAATCAATATCTATCCACCAATAGATATCTTATCAATATCTCCACTGGAATATTGCTTGCCCGTCAATATAGTATTTTGTTGCTCTTTTTTGCCGTTCCTCTAAAAATATGGTCATAGAGCAAAAAAGGTTGAAGAACCATGGATGAGAGACTCTGAAGTCATCAGCCACTCAAAAACGACATTACAATTAATTATATATGGAGGTAGATTATGTTCTCAGCAATATAGAATGCAGTATTTTTCCAAGAACTTAAGGCTACAATACCCACAAGTTTGGTTGGTATCCACGAGATAACCGTAAGATGACCCTGTGTCTTGTACAATACTTTTGTTCCAAGCTTGGAATAATAATTTTCCAGTATTAATTAGCAATAATGCTATACTCGGTCAGTTTACCTGTGACATGTTTCCAATGACAAGATGGTGTAGTGGTACAGCATACAGGCCACCAGCAGACTCAGTGCTGCCTGTGGTGAACAGCAGCACATCTGTACCATCAGGTCTGACCATAACCTGAGGGTGACTGTACACAGGGAGGTAGCCAGGGGTTGAAGCCTGTGACACCACGCGACCAGTCCGACCACTCAACACCACCAGGTGTCCTTGCGCCTCTCCTTCAACAGGTAAAGTTATAAGTTTGTTAAACACTTCTCTGAAACTAAAAATTTTAGATGATGTAACTAACTCATTTTTATGAAAATGTAAATATTTTTAGCTAGGGATTGAAGCCTGTAACACCAAACTCCCTGTTGTTCTACTCAGCACTACCTGCTGTTTGTATGTACTGTATGCAGTCTTTACTGTGAGTGACCTAGACAACGGGATGTGTCCAACGTTGCACAAGTAGTTGGTCCAGCTTCGTCAATGGAATATACTGGAGCAGTTGAGCAGACGACAACATGGATCTTGTACCATGATATACATAAACGTCAGAAAATAACTGTAACTGAGGAATTTTTAATCAACAGTTTTTTTTTTTATTCCCTCCGTAACCTTCAATTGTACAAAAATGCTTTAACATACTAAATTGATTTTTTTTTAAGCCCTACAAGATACAGACCGTTTCACCGTGCTTGGCGTGTAGGGGAGGCACTGCGAGAGAGACAGAAAAATAAAAAAAAACTTAAACATAAAGCAAACTAATTTGACAGCTGATGCTAGTTCACAACTTCAGTATTTGAACGTGACTGTACCGTACATCGAGGCGTAGTGGGGGAAAGGTCTCAGTGCTCCAGCGAGGCGCCACGCACCGTGACACTATCTGTATCTGCAATGAAAATTAGGTATTTCCATGTTTTAAGGCAACACATTTGAAAAACCAATTGTTAACAACCTAAAAACCCCATAACACTCCATTCCCATGACCTGATCTATTTTTCTTCTTTTTTGCTTGTGTCAACACCAGAGAGGCATTTTTTTAATGAAATTAATTCAAATGCTTTTAAGGGAGTGTGGTCCTAACCCATACAATTTTTGTGAATGTGTCGGCAACTGCATTGTAAGTGCGATCTTACTGCTCCACAAACTCATTCTAGTTTATTCTGCTCTGCACATTCAAGTCATTTCATCAAAATCAGGCCACAACTGCTAGAGTTATGTTCACAGACACACACACATAATATATATATATACATAAATAAAAGTTGGAACGGATATTGTTTTTGGCCTTTAGGGACATCAAAATGGAAACAAATAGGCCCCGAGTATAGACCATTACATGCCGCCTACAGTAAATAGCTTCTACCATTTAGGGAAATTCGCAAAAAAAAAAATAATTAGAATTCAACAAATTCTCTGAGGTAGGTCTTTGAGGTGAATGTTGCAATATTTACCTGCAACAATGGACGAGTGTGCTGCCAGAATATCTGGCACCAGGTCAAAGTCAACATCGTTGATGTACTGGACAGCGTAAACATCGACATCGTCTTTGCTGGGAGGCTTCTTTAACTCCCACAAAACACTTCCATCTAGACCGCTCAGAGCACTCAACACCTGTAAGGAAATGGGAACACAAAAAGGTGAGGTGATTGAAGGTCCTTAAAAATAAATACATCTACTAATAAGGCTAATATGACTTTATTGAATGTGACTAGAGGTGTGTGAGGCTTTATTTTTTATCCGAGCCAAGCCCAGTCTACAAGCTTGAGAGATTAAGAGCCAAGTCAGAAAAGCAAGCTTGCGCAGAGCTTTTAATGGTGTGCAAGACATGGAGAGATGTTGAGGATATTGCTGCAATCACGGAAGACAATGATTTGATTTTAAAACAGCAGGAGATATTGAGTATTTTGCTGCAGTTGCAAAAGACAATGATGATGTCCACACAACCGCAAAAGATGTTTAGTATTTGATTTGGCTCTGTGATGATTTTTCCATCACTGCAGGATTTTCTCCAGGATTTCGCTGATATCGCGGAAGACAATTATGATGTCTATACTACCGTGGTAGATGTTCAGGATTTTGCCGCATTCAGGAAGGATGGTGATGATGTTTCCGTGACCGCAGGCAATAAAGAGGATTTTTCCACGATCGCAGGAAATAAAACACAACTACAAAACTGATATAAATATTCTGTGATAACATTGTGATAAATGCACATTACCAAAAAAAATCATTTATGATTGCTAAATTTAATTCCCAAGAATCGATGGAAGGACCAGGTGGAAAAAGGTTTGCAAAATCTGAGATCAAGGAAAGACAATTCAGAGAACAGGGAGAGATGAAGGCAACTTGTTGGCGAGGCCAAATACCACCTAGGGTATCCATGGCCATGGGAGTAAGAGTAGGTAGGTTTAATTCCGCTTGACTAAATACATAATAACATTAAATTGCAGTTTGAATTTAAAAAATCTGACAAATTTATTTATTAAATGGCATTACTTCAATTCATTAATCATTAGGGATATAAAAAAAAAGCTCAAGAATTAAGCTTTTTCCCAAATATTTTCAAAAATCTCAGACTGACTTATTTTTAAGAACATTTATAAAGTCAACAATTTTGATTTTACATGAATAATTGAAAACTGTAATTTGTCCCATTTTACTCACCCCGCCTTTACCCGAGATGACACAGTCGTTGGTCTTGTCTCCGTTGAGGTCAGTGGAGCAGTCGACAAACAACACACTCCTGTGGGTCCAGTGTTGCCACAATACCGCACCAGAGCCACCGTCAAGCGCCATCACTCCCCCTAGACAGGTTGGCACTCCTGGCATATAGCTGGGGCAAACCTCTTCGTCTAGTCCCATCTCATCAGCTCCTGCAGCAAGCAGTTGGACAGTAAAAAATTATGTTTGCAATGACTTGTGATATGTCAATACCATTCTTTCAAATTAATTATTGATATTGGTTCCTAACCAAAATCAACTCTGGTGCCATCAGTTCTGGACTGATAACTAATAGATGAGTGAACAAATCGTGTATGGCGGAGTCGGAGATTAATTGTTCGCTTGTCTGTGACTCTGTATGTTCGTGTCAAAAACTCAAGAACTGTTGCACTTTTAGCATTCAAATTTTGCACAAATAATTATAACACCACTGGGAAGACAACATTAAAATTCTAGACTATTCCGCTCATTAGTAATTATAAAACCCTGAAAATACATTTTTAAATTTGTCCCTTAACATTGTTGTAGTTAAACATTAGAAGCTACCTTTTTCCTTTTTCTTTATTTATTTACATTTTGCGACCAACAATTTTGTTGTCTACTTTAGACAAAGAAAACCATTTTTTCTCTAAACATTATCATTCATGGAGTATATATGTATATAGGTAGGTGATATGATAGAGGGCCGTCATCAACAGGCCCAATTAAAGATTCTTATAGAGCCGATATGTAAAATGCTGATCAGAAGGTTCAACAAGTTAACATTAGGCCGGCCGCACACTACATCGAAAGCGACACGACACGGCACAAAGATTTCTGTTTTTTTCTGTTCTGTTCTTTTTGTCGGATGCGTCTCAAACTCCGTCCGACACAACAAAACTCGACGGCTTCCAACTACCCCGCATGACCCCCTCTATTTTACTCATTTTGGAGAAAAACATCAACATTGTGATGTTCTTTCAAAGTAGAGTTGAAAATTGGCGGGTTGTTTTGAACCAAAAATATAAGTTAATCTACATCTACGGCCGCACTATGTTCACTCATTTTTTACTTCAACTTCACTTCATTTTAACTAAAAAGCAGAAAAAGAAAAAATCCTGCCCACTCGTTCCGTAGATGACAGATGTGTTCCAAGTGCTATCTGGAGAAGGAGGAGGATGTCACGTGATTCACAACGCATGCGCAGAGTGACTTTTCTGATTTTGTTTAATGTTTTGTCATAAAACAAAAATTTCTGTAAATTTGCCAGAGGAGGAAAACGCCTTAAGAAAGCGTATTATTGTGTGTCGCGTTTTGTTCTATGTAGTATGCGTCAGCTCCATTTAAACTCATACTAACTGAGCCGTATAGAACGCCTTCTGTCAAAATGTCTTATTGTGCCATGTTCAATGTAGTGTGTGGCAGGCCTAAGTAATAAATAGGTCCTTAAAAATTAAAATCAATAAAGAAAATACTCACCAACATATTCAGTGACATAGAGAAAGCAGTAACATCAAGCAACTAAAAAGTACAAACAAAATAAAATAATAAAAACATTTAACAACAAAAAAATTATAAATTTAGTAAGTTACTTAAAATAAAATAAAAATATATCTATGGAAATAAAAGTAAAAGAACAAGACATTCAACTTTTCTACCAAATGATTACAAATTAACCCAATTTGTAAAATATGTTTTACATGATAATTATTTTCAATTACAGTAGAACCCTATTAATCGACCTTACATTAACCAAAGATCGGATTATCCACCCTCGATGGTAAAATATTATAGTTTGTTTTGACCGGCCTTGCATTGAGAGCAGTTCGGTTTAACCAGTTTAACAACTTCAAGGTCAAGATAGTATTTGTGACTCCAGCATCCAGTGAAAGCTGTAAATAACCATCCCGTCTACAAAATGGTTGCTTGTCTTTAATTTCGACAAAATGTTCTGTACTGTATTACAATGCATTTGGAAAGCATCAATTAATACAGTACTTAAGGTATTAAAATAAGAATTTGTATTGACTCTTGCCTAAAAATATAATTTATTCCACTGAAAGAATTTTACTTAACCGTTGTTTTGTGTTTATTTGTGACTTTTCTACCAATACAAAAAAAGGGGAAAAGTGTAGTTTATTTTATAAATAATGCAAGTACGACTTCAAAATAATGATTATATAATTCCAAATGAATAGCATGTTTTTAGGGATTGCCCGTTTTAGCCAACCTTTTGAATTATCCAACCAAGGTTCGGTCCCATTAGGGTAGGTTAAGAGGGGTTCTACTGTATTATAATATAGAGCTTGCTTGGGCTAATTTTCAAAACTAGGCTGTACAACTACTAATTTACGATTCACTTTTATTTGATAAGTTATCAAACCAATGTTTTTTTTTCTTTCTGTTTAAAAAGTAACATTTTTACAAAACATGGAAGACAAATAAATATCTAGGACTATAATAATAACCAAAGCAAAATTTGAAACACCTTTTTATTTAGAAAGAAACTTCTTAGACTAATCGAAAAAAATAATACCTGTTCCATAACCAACAATGACATCTTGAATACCATCTTTGTTGACATCATTCAGTTTCAAAGCAGCTTCTGAAGTTAATTTTGGGAATGTCTTCACCCAAATGTTCCGTGTTTTTAAATCAGTGCAAGGTAAAACCAGTTTTTCATGCGGGACCATGTTCTCTGTCCAAATCCGTATTCTGTCCAATGGAAACGGAAACATATTGACGAAGACTACCACCAATGTGACAAGCCCTGAAAATCAAGATGAAGATTAATGGGAATGACTTAATACTACAATATTCTATAAAAAGATTCAGCCAATACCTCGGTATAAAAATGTGAGTGACCATCTTAATTTTATCCTTATTTATAACTAGCTGTACCCGCGGGCTTTGCCCCGTTTGACTTCATAAGTATTTGCATGGCTCATTCACGTCCTGGTTGAAGTTCGTTCGCTACGCTCACTCACCTTGAGGTTGGAGCTCGTTCGCTGCGCTCACTTGCCTTCAGGTTAGCTCGTTCGCTACGCTAACTCGCCTCCAGGTTGAAGTTCGTTCGCTACGCTCACTCACCGTTTGGTTGGAAATTAGCTGTTGTCATAAATTAAAAAAAAATAATAGTACTGCACCCTGTTGGTAATCCTTGTAACTTTTATAAGGTTAACATGGGGAACTACAGAGCCACTGGGGCGGAGCCCGAAAGGATTTTTGAGATAAGAATATGCTTTAATGTTAATCGGGAATGTGAGCTATCATCATGCCAAATTTCAGCCCAATCCGTCCAGTAGTTTATGCGTGATTGAGCAACACACACACACACAAACACACACACAAACTCACAAACTTTCAGATTTATAATATTAGTAAGATATGTGAAGGCGATTTCTACGAAACACTGCTCCTCCGTTAATAATGGACGAATCTTTACAAACCATGTGTCAAAATTAAGTATTTTGTGTGTAGACGCCCCCTTTCACAAATTCCTGTAATGAAAGTTCTCGGGGCCTTGCCCCACAGGCCATAAAAATCCCAATGTATTTCTTATGAAGAAAATATTTTGTCTATTTAACAGACGAATAATTTGTATTAATTACAGCTATTCATAGTAAACACATATGATGCCCACAAAAGTGTTCGTTTTCAGAGTGAGTTTGTTTTCAATTTCAATAACTGGAGTGGAGTGATTGATCACATTATTTTTGAGTTGACTCTTTTAAATAACCTGAAATTATGACTGTTATTTTTTTGATATAACGCCTGGAATACTTTGCAATTGCTCGAATTCGAGCAACAGGTGCACTCGTTTTTGTGTATTGTGGTGTGTAGACCACTCCCTTGAGAGAATAGTTAAGCGAAGCTCTTTGAGACAGGACCTTATGCGAACTATAATCAATTAACTCATTAACGGCTGATCATTGGCAAAGCCACTACGGATAATTATTTGCAAAACGGTAACAGAACTAAAGACCTAGACCTTAACAAAAAGATTAAGTAAACAAAGATTAGGAAACTTCCAAGTATCCAGGTGTGACACCTGTTTGATTTATATAGTAATACTCTGTTTATTTCTTATGCTGTATGATAGTTATACCATCGCAGGCTAAGCTGCATTTACAAGCTAGTTGTTACTGATTCTTAAACATCTGAAACCTGTTTGAACAAACTAATATCATTGAGTAGAATTCAATAATTTGAAACAAATTTAAGTTATCAATAAGATACCGGTACGTCTTATGGGATTGTGGATATTTATCTTAAGTTAACCCGTTTCAAAACCAGTATCTAATAATTTGAATCCAAGATTATAGCCTATAAAGGACTATTGACACCAAACAATAAATTACCAAACAATGCCACAAGTGCAAGGAAGCCGTAGCAGCAAGGCACACAAAATGCTCGACACTGAGGCTGCTTGCAGATTTCTGGATGGAACTGACTTCCACTCGCAGATTTATTTTTCCTCCTTGGCGCCATCAAAGGTCTTTTTACACCTCTTTCTTCATCCATTTTAAAGCCATTTTTTCCATCTCGGATAAATACTTCATCATCAACATCATCACTGACATCATCATCATCGAAACTGTCACGGACTGCAGGTTTATTTGTTGTGTAAGTTGCCATTATTAGTGCTTCTGCAATACAAAAATTGAAATAATTTATTAACAAGAATGCTCAGTCACCTTTCACCACTGAGTTTAAAAAGTGATGTTTTTTCACCTTCTAAACTAAAATATTTTAACTTAGCCTTACTTTTTAATGACATTTTTGGAAAAAGGAAATTTTAAATTTTTATATTATTTGGTTCACTCTTTGTCAACACATTTAAAAAAGGATCCTGAATTGATAGCTCAATGATAAATGCAACTAGATTAAATATCAATCCTCCCCCAAATGCTATCAATACACTAGCGCTTTAAGTCTGGTGTTGTGATAGGTACCGTGTGTAGTTAAAACAATAATAATATCGTCTGTTGCGTTAGACATGATGTTTTGTCGATGATTAGCCACCATGGATGTAAAAAGAGTGCAAGGCAAAAAATGAAAATGTTAAATAAAATAAAGGGAAAAACTTTTATTTTGTACCTACAATGGGCTTGTAAGTTAATAATTAAAAACAAAAAAGGTTGTGGTAGGCATATCACCAAAGTTCTTTATCTTTTAAAAACCAACACAAAACAAGTGGAAATTCACCAAAAATGTCTTAACATGACATTTTAATTTTGTTCTTGATTGATTTAAATTATTAAATTAATTTAAATTTGTTCTTATTGAAAAAACTAGCACGATACTGTAGGCTCTAGTCAGACGGAGCTGGATTGGCACTAGAGACCACAGCTGGATGTTCACGTGACCTGCTAGTGACTTTTCAAGCGCTTGCAATACTAAACTAAACCAGTTTTAAAGTGAGGTACCAGCTTATGCAAGTGTTTCGCTAGCCGCTGGAGGAGCAGACACACGATGCTGGTTTTCGGCTAATTTTACAAAGGCATAAGTTCTAATTCTATTACTATGCAAGTATTTTTGAAATGGTTATTTATTGTGTTTCACCTTATATTACAATTGTGTAAAAATAGTCTGGATAAATTAATAAGTCAGTTCATTATAACCTAAACTTTGCCTTTGTAATCTAACCTATCTTCAAAACACAGTTTTGCTCTCCACAGCCCACACTCGGACACATCCAAACTACCATATTAACTCAAGTTTACCATCCGTTACTTATCTTTCAATAGCTTAACCCTTAAGATTCATAATTTTTAACTTAGTTTTACAACCACTTATGAGTATATCCAACAAAATATGATTGCATTTTTGGATTCAGCATGCAAAAAATTGTAAGTAGACATTTCAAAATTACTTGTTTAACCATTGTAGCTAAGTTATACAGAATAATTGTCACTAACTTAACTAGGCCTAGCAATGAAAAAACAGTGTGACAGGGGTTTAGCATTTTACTCATGACAATTTCTCAAAGTGACCAGCTTCAAATGTTTAAAGTTTCTAATCATTAGCCTATAATTTAATCAGTCAGACTCAGGTCTAATAGCAATAGCATTAGGTAAAAGCGATTTTGTAGGGTATGTTGAAAAAATGCTCAAATAAAACATTTAGCCCAAGCCAACATAGAAATACTTAAACTAATTAACAAATAAATAAACATGAAATTTATAAGTTATGGATTACTCTTTAAAGTGGGAGCAGGATAGTCAACAATATGTTTCGATTTAGTGCGAGTCACCTAACTACATTTTGGAGTAGGATAAGGGAATTTAGCTATTGAATGTTCAATCCTCAAGCAGGTATTTCTAACGTCATGCACATCCTGCCAATCATAAATGGCAAAACTATAAATAATAAAATCTAGTTCAAATAGAAACTTACCAAGGGAGACAATTTATTAAAATTCACTGACGGTTGAACAAGTGAACTACAAACAACAAGAACAGTGTTGCCACCTCGTTGTTGCGATTTTACCCTAAAGGCGGGCTAAAATTACCCTAAATTACCCTAAATCTACTTTGAGTTACCCTAAAAATTACCCTAAATGTTATTATTTGCGTTTAATGCTATAAAACATTGTTTAAATAATATAAATCTTACATAAGGTGGTTAATTAAGCTAAATAAGGTTCCAATATCAATCAATATACGTAAAATTATACTCGATTCTAAAAAAAACCCGAAAAAAACAAAATGTCGATATTCAGCTCTATCGTATATACGAAAAATATCGAATCAAGAATTATCGTATTTTCTTACTGTGTCGACCCATTAGCCTACTACTGTTTTTGGACAATCGTATCTTTGGCAATACGGTACGTGGTAACACCAAAGCTTTAATCTATACTTAGCAGTAATTGTTGACACAATTTGTAAAATAATCCTAGTTTAATTCAATTCAATCACATAATTAAAAATCAAGAAGTAATGAATAATATGTCATATTTTATTATAACGTGTTATAGAATTGAATACAATCTAAAACAGATAATTCACATTCACAACTATTGATTAGATCCATCGATTAACTTATTATAAAAAATGCATCAAAACAATCGATTTTTAAACCGGTTGAATCGCATATGACGGTTTTTTTTTTTGCCATAATATGTAGGTAATGAACGTTTTTTGCCAAATTGTTAAGTTTATTTTCATGTTTTTGGCTAAATTTCCATTGTTATGCTAACTTTTTGTTTTACCCTAAAATTACCCTAAATCTACCATTACCCTAAACTTTACCCTAAGACTAGTAAATTACCCTAAAAAAGGGTAATTACCCTAAAAGTGGCAACACTGAACAAGAAGTAAACAAACAAATGAATCAGTCAAAATCTGAATAGTATCTATCTGCAGACGACGGAATCGAATAAATTATTGCAGACCAATAATAAACAGCATGGAGTATACATACTTATACCTCGAATACTATCAGATATGTTTTGTAATAGTTTAATTCATTTTCACAATTTATAATAATTTATAAACAGTAACAATTAATTATCGTTTATATATTATATATTTAGATACTCTGTTGACTACAGTAGTTATTTATATTCTGACTTTAAAATCAGAATTCTGACATTGTTGTGGAATAACTCAGAGTGGAAGCCTAAAGGCGGCCGTGCTACTTCCCGCGTTCTGACCAACGATATATACAACCACGGCCCCGTGATACAACACGTTGGTTCTGACTATTCTAAGTTTTTTCTCAGATTAAGTAAAATATTTTTTTACAGTTGATGGCCCTTCAGCGCCGTTTTGTCTATGCTAATACTACACATGCACAAACAATGTCAATAAGAATAAGAAACAAATTAAATATCCCAATCTTTTTGAAAAACAAATTACAAAAAAATAATAACCATGTGAATAGTAACAATGCTAACAAAATTAATGACAATTAACCATGTAACTAACAAACTGTTTCAGATGACAATACTTATCTATGACAATACTAACCCGAAACCCGAAGGAAGCAACCAAAATTAAAGTTATGTAAAAAAATATTGAATCACGCGGCTGCATTGTTTAAATTAAGAAACCAGCCACTTTTGGCAAAATAAAAGAATAAGAAAAAAGAAAAATAACCAAACCTCAACAAACAACTGAAACGGAAACGAGCTAGCAAATAGCAAAACAGCAAACGACCAACAACATGGCAGAATCAGAACAAGTCGGAAGACTGCCGGCGAATGAACAGATTGCTGATGAAATAGTAAATCATCAACACGACATAAATTTGTCCGATTTTGCTGTTAAGCGTGTTTTAAGTGTCAACCCACAACGTAAAACTATATTTTTGGAAGGCTGTTTTAAGGACAAGGAAGGTAAAGCAGTGTTGCTTTTAGAAAAGCAAGCGTTTGAAGAGAAATCTGTGGGCCATATAACGGCCAACGCAGAATTGTCTAAATTATTCGTCAACGATTGCTATGGAAGCTACGAGTGTTTTCCAGAAGCAAAGTTAAATGGTAAGAAATGTTATCTCTTCATTAAAAGGAGCTGTTGGAGTAGGTTAAGTTTAATTTTTTTAACATCTATTCTGGCTTGGTATTAGGCCTATTAGAATCGAGTTATAGACCTAAGCTAGGCCTATTTTAGGTAGAAGTAGGATAATAAAGCTGTGGTCCCGTGGCAAAACCTCAGATCTGGCTATGTCTTATTGATGTGTGTGCAATGACCTGCGGCAAATGAAGTTTTCAGCATCATTTTGGTGTATCCGCTTAAAACACTTCCCCCAGTTCTGCTTCAACTGGCATTGCGACTATAACTTACGCCTTATAAGCTATTGGTATGAACCTGGCAATAACTTAAGTAAAGCGCACGACTTATAAAGTTATAAAATCTATTGCTGACAGTTTTGCGGAAAAATACAGCCGCGTAGGTTATTACCGATAGCCTATTGTCACCTTATAGAGGACACATTAACGGACACGACAGTATCAATATCATGTACCTGGGGACTAAGTTAAGGGGGTTAAAGTCAGCAATAAGTAACTTACTTAGTGCGTGCGCCTTATAAAATCTATTGCTGGCCGTTTTGCGGAAAAATACGGCCGCGTATATTAGCCTATTAACCCTCCCGCGGTTTACCGTCGATGCATCGACGCGAGTTCGCGGCCGTAGACGGTTCACCGTCGATCGATCGACGGTAGGCAAGCTTTTAAAAATAGCGTCTAATCGGCGTTATAATTTGCTAAACTTCAACTTATATAGTATCGTTGTACTCTCCAAATTACAAGCTTTCCGCCGATGTCTGTCTTTAGACGCCTTGCTCTATGCAAACAACTTTGACTACGTTAAAAGTCTTTGTTGTTGTTTACGCCGATACGCTGTTGGTTATGTTTGTTTACATCTGTTCTTGGTGCTTCTGATGTGCAGACTATTTTATTATTGTGCATTTTAACTATTTTAAGATGGATAGTAGTGACATTCGACGTGCTTTAAGCGAAGTAAGTGACAACGATGATCCAGATGATCCTGAAATCGGAATTGACAGTGATTTTGATGCCGATATTCTCGACTACATTGAACCCGACTCTGACTCTGACCTTTTAGATTTCTCGAGTGGTAGTGACGATTTTTACAGCCCTCATACAAGTGAATTAGACACTTCAGAAGTAGAAGATTTCACTGTTGAACAACCGACAAATGAACCAGGTAGGCCTACCCCAGAACCTCAAATTGTTACTCGAGATCCATGGGTTAGGGTCTACCCTCCCGAACCAGAAATTGACATAAGAACTGAGTTTAGAGCAAGGCAAACAGGGCCTAAGGACTTACCTCCCAGAAATAGTCCTCCACTAGATTACCTTTCCCTATTTTTGACCGCTCCTTTTTGGCAAATTGTTAGCCAGAGAAACTAACTCTTATGCCGAAAGAGTTATCGCTGCAAAGCGTGATACCCTGAGCCCAAAATCACGTTTTAGAAAATGGACAAATGTCACTGTTATCGAATTGAAAAAATTCTTTGCAATTCTAATAAACATGGGCCTAACAGTGAAAAATAATGTCAGACACTACTGGGACACAAGGAGCTCACAATGCTGTCCATTTTATGGCAAGCAAATGACAGTGAACCGCTTTGCCCTGATAAGTTCTTTTTTGCACATGACCTCAGCTCGAGATGTTCCTAGAGACAACCCAAACTATGATCCGTGGTTGAAAGTGAGATGGCTCTTAGACCATGTAAATTCAAGATTCAAGAGACACTTTGTTGCTTCGCAAGATGTTTGTATAGACGAAAGTCTTATAGGTATGAAGAATCGCTGCGCCTTCATACAATACCTACCCAATAAGAAGCATAAGCAGTATGGTATAAAAAAGTTCGAAGTATGCGACAGTAATACAAGCTATGTATTACATATTGAAATATATAGTGGCAAAGACTACCTACCTGCAGATCCTGAAAATTCTGATGAACTGTTCACTGAACGAGTGGTGATGGAGATGATGACAAAAGGCAACCTATTGGACAAAGGTCACCATCTGTACACGGATAATTTCTATACTAAAATTCCGCTTGCTGAACGTTTGCTCGAACGTAGTACATTTATTACTGGTACTATAAATAAGAAATCCAAATTTTTGTCAAAAACGGTAAAGAAAACTAAACTTGGTGAGAGGGAAACTGTTTACTTTCGCAAGGGGAGATTGTTATTGGTCGGCTACAGACAAAAGACAACTCGGAAACCAGTCCTAGTCATCTCAACCGGTTATCATGCTGAAGACGGAATTGTAAGAAGCAAGAAGGGGTTAGTTGGAAGGAAGCCCTTGCTCATCCACAATTACAATCAAAATATGGGTGGAGTGGATGTGAGTGATAGGCTAAGTGTGTGTATGCCTTATCAATAAACCGACAAACCAGCAAATACTGGAAGAAGATATTCTTCAACTTGATCGATCTTGCCCTGTTCAATGCGTATGTATTATATAAGCTGAACAGTGACAAACCAAAGAGCAGGAGGGAGTTTCATATTTCTGTGTTGGAGTCTCTTGCAGATGCAGGAAATGAACAAGTTGTGCAGCCTGGACCTGGACCTGGAGGTGACAATCCCCACCGCCTTGAACACTTACCACGGAAACAAGAACGGAAGTGTGTATCATGTGGTAGAGGAAGGTCAAGCTTTTGGTGCCCTGGTTGCAATGCTGGCATCCACAGGGAGTGCTTCCACCAACTGCAACATTATTGGAGGCCCAAAAGAGGGGTGAAGAGAACTCTGGTTGCAGATGACCCCGACTCCGACTAAGCTCCTTGTGCGTAGTTGTGTTCTTTTTTGTATATATGACAGTGTACTTTTTTATTTTAGTGTGTAAAACTATATATTTTCTTTTTCCTCATAAACTTGTGAACAAAATGGCTATTTTGAATTTTTTATTGGTTGCAACCAGTTGTGATTTGTGGGGGAGCAAACTATGTCAGTGATTTTTTTATTTTTTATTTTTCTGCATCTACAGAGGATACACTCAACCAATCCAAGGTAAATAGGTTTATTTATTTTTTTTATTATAGATAATTTAATTTAGAGTAAAATGATATATAATATGTTATAGTTACTATGATTTTTATGTATGGCATGAATTTTTCTTTTAAAGTCCGCAAAACCGCCAAAAACTGGTGAACCCTGAGGGTCAAAATAGTGAACCGTGGGAGGGTTAACTTACCGAACAAGAGAGTATCAATCATAAGAATTTATATTTGCTTGGACCGAAGATGACCCAAAATGCTGTCGAAATGCTATAGGTCTCTAGGCCTATATAGCCTTTCGTGTAATAAAAGTGAACGCCACTTAGAATTTTTTTTGACTTCGGCTGTTTCTAATTACCTGTCTAGCATAAAAATGTCTTAAAACTAGCAAAAAATGGCGTTAAAAATTTGAGAACAGAAATTAGGAATGCTAATTTAATATTTATTTCATCATCCAAATTGCACTTTTGATTTAAAAAACCTAAATTAATAAATTTGTTTTAAAAACTGTAAAAATGGAAAAAAATTAATAGGGTTCTTTTTTTCCAATACTAGGATTAAATATTGGTAAATTTAGGCTATTATTTTAATTTTGAGAAACTCTTAGGAAACACGAATAAATTGATTATTTGTATAGATACATCCTATTTATTTCAAAATCGTTATTAAAGTAATGTTCAAAGTCCAAAACAATTCATTCAACTTTGATCCACAGTAAATTATAAGTAATAGTTAGTTTTTATAAAAATGATTTACACCATTCGATAGGAAATTAAATTTACTCGTTATTCATCGGTGAATAACACAGGTGTTTTAGTTTAGCGGCATATTTAATTTGAAAGAGCGGGCGTCGCGTTTTTCCCTATCTCTCCCATTTTATGCTGCGGCTTTTTGCCACTCTACTGCTCCGCGTGCCCCTATAGTGTTCTGCTAAAGCTAGCTTCACCGCAACATTTATATTCCTATTCGCGTGCCCTCTCCTTAATTTTTAATCCTCCTAGGTTCTATGATATTCATTAGCATTAAAAGGTTATAAGGTTTACCAACAGGGTGAGCACTGTCAAATCTTTTTGCATTTATGACAACAGCTAATTTGAACAAATCAGCAACATAAAGCTGTGATACACAAGTACTGACAAAGTAGGATTGTTTAGAGTTATGCTTATGTTGTTTATTTATTATTTATAAATAATTGGTGATATTGTGCGAATATATAGCATTTTTACTTTTTCCTATTGTTCAGGTGCAGTGGTAGAACATTATTATGGCTATGGTAGATGTGTTATACTATTAGCATACTGTAAATTTAAAGAACCAAATCTCAAAATGTGTCCTCTCCCATTGCAAACACAAAGCACAAGTATAATCTATACTTATAAAAGGCAAAGCCCTCACTGACTCACTGACACACTCATCACTAATTCTCCCACTTCCCATTTACCTAGGAGGCTGAAATTTGGTACACCGATTCTTTAGGCATTAAATAGGAAAACTAAGTTGTTTTTATTCTGATCGGACTCTCGGACTCCGCCTCAGTGGCTCTGGATTTTCCCATGTTAACCTTATGATTTTTCATATTTAAAAGGAATTAATGAATCTTATCAGCTGTTTCAATCAAACAAGATGGTTCTGTTCTATGATGTTTACAAGGATTAAAGTTACAAGGATTACCAACAGGGTGCAGCACTATAATTTTTTTTTTTAATTTATGACAACAGCTAATTTGCAACCAAAAGGTGAGTGAGCGTAGCGAACAAACTTCAACCTGAAGGCGAGTTAGCGTAGCGAACGAACTTCAACCTGAAGGCGAGTTAGCGTAGCGAACGAGCTTACCTGAAGGCAAGTGAGCGCAGCGAACGAGCTCCAACCTAAAGGTGAGTGAGCGTAGCAAACGAACTTCAACCAGGACGTGATTGAGCCATGCGAACGAGCTCATCTTGAAAATTAAGAAGTTAAACGGGGCAAGGCCCGCGGGTACAGCTAGTAGTGTAATAAGCATTTTATACTTATTCACCAATCCTGTACGAAGGACGGGTAATCTGCTAGTACCGTAATAGTTATTGAGGCAAAACTAGGGATTGTTAAAAGAATTTGTTGGATTTTTGTGTGCAGCAAATCGACTCCTTAATATTTATTTCCATAGACATATTAGGTATCAATTTAAAACTCCTATCCTCTAGATGTGCCTTTTGCGGGTTTGAATGATATCCTGTGAAAGGCCTTTGTATAGGCTTTTAAAATTTCATAGTTTGTGTTGAATTATGTTGTCAATCATCTGAACTTTTTCAAGTTTACATTTGTTTACATCAAAATAGATGGCCATGATAACATTTTGTTTACATCCATAATAAAATGGTGTTATCTGTAGTTTGTGATGTTTCAGTGAATTCAAGTAAAATGTTGTAACTGTTATTTGTATATAAAATGTAAAGAAGAAATTGATTTTTGTTAGATTTTGTGTTGTGGTAGGATTTTGTGTTTTCTTTGTTTTATTGATGTTTTAGGGAATTCATGTAAAATATTGTGATGTTATTTGTTGAACATGTAACCTAAAGAAGAAAATGACGTACATTAGATTTTGTGTTTTTATAGTGTGTTTCATTTATATTTTTAATTGTTCTAAGATAGGTACCTGGAAGAGATTGCGCACCCAATGCAAATAATAGGGATATGATGAAAAATAATCGTTTTCACTGTTATCAACTGTATATCAAATATATCACAAATTTTGAAGTCATAAAGTGACGCAGGTTGCTATAGTCCTCGCCACCCTAAGTTGAGGCAGCCCAAGGCCGCACGGCGTATATCTAGTGCGGCCTTTGGCTGCCTCAACTTAGGGTGGCGAGGACTATAGTATATAAACTAGGTGGCGTTTGCAGAAGCATCCACAAAATTGAGCGGAGTCATCAGGGGTTCATACTATATTGTTTTTGTCATACTGCAGTAAAAACAGTCGTTTTTAATGCATTCGTTGCGGGTATAAAGTAGCATTTTTACTCTTTAGGGAGTAAAGATCATTTTTAGCCTCTATGGAGTAAAAATCAGTTGTTGACAACTCAGTTGTAAATTTCTATTGTAAACGATTGCATGTATCGAAATATGTATCGATTTGTGCTTTGTAATCATTTTAACCTACAGTCTACAGTCTCTTCCCATAGCATTTTAGCATTGCAGATACATTAATCCATTCCCACACTCAACACTGCTCACCTTTACTACTTCCTTCATCACCCCCTACGTCGTGGACCTGTTTCCCTCTCTTCCCATAGCATTTTAGGATTGCAGATACATTAATGTAATTGCCAAAGGCAGTTCCCACACTCTGCACTGCAAGCCTTACTACTTCCTTCACCATTTCCTACGCCATAGACCTGTTTCCTTCCCTTCTCGTAGCATTTAAGTATTAGAATTGACTATATATTGGTATATTGACTATATAATGGTATTAGATACATTTATCTAACTGCCCAAACGGTTCCCCCACTCTCCACTGCCAGCCTTTAAAACTTCCTTCACCACTTCCTACGTCGTAGGGCCTGTTTCCTTCTCTTCTCTTAGCATTTTAGGATTGAAGATACATTAATCTAACTGCCACAGACGGTTCTCACATTATGCTCATACTTTACTACTTCCTACATCGTGGACCTGTTTTCATCACTTCCCATAGCATTTTAGTATTTTAGATACGTTAATATAATTGCCACAAACATTGCCCACACTTCACACCGCTAGCCTTTACTACTTCTTTCACCATTTTCTATGTCGTGGGCATGCTTCCATCCCTTCTCATAGCATTTCAGCATTGCAGATAAGTTAATCTAACTGCTACTAAGGGTTCCCAGTTCCCACACTCCACACTGCTCACCTTACTACTTCCTTCACCTCTTCTTACGTCGCGGGCCTGTTTCTCTCTATTCCCATAGAATTTTAAGATTGTAGATACCTTAATCTAATCGTCATAAACAGTTCCCACACTCCGAAAAGCTCGCCTTGACTACTTCCTTCACCACTTCCTACGTCTCGGACCTGTTTCCCTCCCTACCCTTAGCATTATTGGATTGCAAATACCTTAATCTATTGGTTATAAACATATCCCACACTCTGAACAACATTTCCTTTACTACTTCCTTCGCAACTTCCTACGTCACCGACCCGATTCCCTCCCTTTCCATAGCATTTTAGGATTGCATATACCTTAATCTAATCGGCATAAACAGTTCCCTCACTCCGGACAGCTTACATTTACTGCTTCCTTCACCACCTCCTACGTCACGGACCTGTTTCCCTCCCTTTCCATAGCATTTTAGGATTGCAGATACCTTAAACTAATCGTCATAAACAGTTGCCACACTCCGAAAAACTCGCCTTGACTACTTCCTCCGCCACTTCATACGTCGCGGACCTGTTTTCCTCCCTTCCCATAGCATTTTAGGTTTGTAGATACCTTAATCTAATCGTCATAAACAGTTTCCACACTCCGGACAGCTTGCCTTGACTACTTCCTTCACCACTTCCTACGTCGCAGACCCCTTTTCCTCCCTTCCCATAGCATTTTAGGTTTGCAAATACCTTAATCTAATGGTCATAAACAGATTCCATACCCCGAACAGCTCGCCTTTACTACTTCCTTCACCAATTCCTACGTCTCGGACCCCTTTTCCTCCATTTCCATAGAATTTTAGGAATGCCTTTAATATTACCTTTATCTAATCGTCATAAACAGTTTCCACACTCCGGACAGTTCGCGTTGACTACTTCCTTCACCACTTCATACGTCGCGGACCTGTTTTCCTCCCTTCCCATAGCATTTTAGGTTTGTAGATACCTTAAGCTATTGGTCATAAACAGATCCAACACTCCAGACAACTCGCCTTTATTACTTCCTTCACCACTTCCTACGTCACGGACCTGTTTTCTCCCTTCTCATAGCATTTTAAGTTTGTAGATACCTTAATCTAAGCGTCATAAACAGTTTCCACACTCCAGGCAGCTCGCCTTGACTACTTCATTCATCTCTTCCTACGTCGCGGACCTGTTTTCCACCCTTCCCATAGCATTTTAGGTTTGTAGATACCTTAAGCTATTGGTCATAAGCAGATCCAACACTCCAGACAACTCGCCTTTACTACTTCCTTCACCACTTCCTACGTCACGGACCTGTTTTCTCCCTTCTCTTAGCATTTTAAGTTTGTAGATACCTTAATCTAATCGTCATAAACAGTTTCCACACTCCGGGCAGCTCGCCTTGACTACTTCATTCATCTCTTCCTACGTCGCGGACCTGTTTTCCACCCTTCCCATAGCATTTTAGGAATGCAAATACCTTAATCTAATCGCCTTAAACAGTTTACACACTCCGGACAGCTCGCCTTGACTACTTCATTCATCACTTCCTACGTCGCGGACCTGTTTCCACCCTTCCCATAGCATTTTAGGATTGCAGGTACCTTAATCTAATCGTCATAAACAGTTTTCACACTCCGGACAGCTCGCCTTGACTACTTCATTCATCACTTCCTACGTCGCGGACCTGTTTTCCACCCTTCCCATAGCATTTTAGGATTGCAAATACCTTTATCTAAGGGTCATAAACAGATTCCATATCCCGAACAGCTCGCCTTTACTACTTCCTTCACCACTTCCTACGTCGCGAACCTGTTTCCTTACCTTCTAATAGCATTTTAGGATTGCAGATACCTTAATATAATCGTCATAAACAGTCCACACTCTCTACAGCTCGCCTTGACTATTTCCTTCACCAATTCCTACGTCGCGGACCCCTTTTCCTCCCTTCCAATAGAATTTTAGGAATGCCTTTAATATTACCTTTATCTAATCGTTATAAACAGTCCCCACACTCTGGACAGCTCGCCTTGACTACTTCCTTTACCACTTCCTACGTCGCGGACCAGTTTTCCTCCCTTCCTATAAAATTTTAGGAATGCAGATACCGGTACCTAAATCTAATCGTCATAAACAGTTTCCACACTCCATACTGCTCTCCTTTACTACTTCCTTCACCACTTCCTACGTCACGGACCTCAAGCTAGTGTCGTCATTTGATTATATTTATGATCCATACCGTTTCTGTTCTAATATCTGTGGGTTAATGCTATCAGCTATTTCTTTTCTACTGCATTCAAAAGTCAACAGCTGATCATATGTTTTTGTTTATGTGTCAAATACTGCTTCCATAAGGATTACATTGAAACTTTGAGACCCAGTGTGGCGGATTCCTGAGAGACCTTTTTAACGCCATATAGATGTTGGCACTCACCGATATGGTCTCTATCACCATGCAAAATTTGAAAACGATTGATTCATCCGTCTAGGAGGAGTTTGCGTATTACGAAATGCATAAGAGTCGACGTATAAGAGCTTCGCTCGCTTCGCTCGCTCCGCTCAATAAATATTTTATACTTAGTGTTTTAAAATGCTGCTGCACCTTTTTCATGTGGCGATCAAATAATCTCTTCACTATGACAAAATGTTTCAAAAACAGGCTAAATGTAATAAATGTCTCAAACCTCAAATTTAATAATTCTATGCTCAAGAAACAGTTTAAAAGCTAAATATGTAAAAATTTACAACTAATAAATATGATTCAACTGCCAGTTGGAGGGTTAAATTATTAAGCTATAGCCTAGTTAAGTTGATACAAAATCGCCAAAACTTAAAACACCACTATAAAGCAAAATAATTTTTCCATATAACTTAATAACTTAGGGTACGAATTTTGTTTTCAGGAATCAAGACCACTTTGATTTTCCCTGCCACAGACAAACACATAAAAAAGTTTGAGTCTCAGCCTATCCACATAATTGAGGAGACAAAGGATTATTATAAGAATATAACACTGCCACATCTCACACAAGACCAGTTTAACTTGCAGGTGAGCTTTGTATACCTACATAGGACCTACTTGATGCATTGCTGGCTAGTCTACTAGTGAATGTGGGACTTGTGTCTTATTGACCTTGATCAATTCTTGAAATCACCTATGGCTTTTAGATATTGTCTAACCTAGATATTCTGGTCATGACTGTATTGTTGAATAAGCTAAACTATACACTTGTTGAATGGTAGTTTGCCGAGAAGAGAAGATGGATGGTTCAGCATCTGAAATGTCGGCCTCAGTTTAGCTTATTCAATAACTTCGTCATCACCCAAAGACCTGGATTTGATCATCTACTGTGACCGTGAAAGCCGATAGGTTATTTGTTGCAGCATTCAGATATGTAAAGCCTAGATGATATAATAAGCCCAGTTGGGAGCCAACCTTAAACTATTTAAGCCCGTTAAGGAAAACATGTCTCCTAAGTTAGGATAGCATTCTTTTATCAGAGGACTTCTTTTCTCCCAAAGCTATATAAGTTTATCATGATTTGCTTAAATACTGTGTGGAAAATAGTAAGTCAATTCCAACACTACTCTCATAAAAATGTACTTGGTTATGAAATTGAACCAATCAATACTAAGGAGTAGGCCTTATGATCACCGGTTTGACTGTTCAATATCAATAGACAGTGCAACTTTCTTAATGTAGCCTATATTAATGGTCCAGTAAATAATTACAGTGGTAGTGTAAATGTATCTGAGTCTTATTGGAAAATGTATTCATTCCTCAGGAATAGCACCGACCCAACATGTATAAATGTCAAGAAGCAATTTTGTTTGTATATCAGATTAGCCTATTTATTTATGATTCTGTATACTGTATGATTATTTCAAGTCCCTTCAAAACTTTTCAAGAAATTTTTAAGAAACCAGTTCCAACACTGTTTAACTAAGCACAGACTTGTGTGTGTCCTCATTTTGTTTACGAGGGCAAAGTTTGGAGTAATATCTGGTCTGATCAACTCAATCAACAGATACAAACATTTTTATTGTCTTTGGGAATCTGTATTCAAGTGAATATTTAAGTAGGCCCTAACTTTGTATTGAACTAATATTTTTATTTTTAAATAGGTGCCTAAATATCTAGTCTATGATTACAGTGGGTCTACAACATTCTGGATGGTAGTGCTGAAGTTGATAGAGTGGTCCTTGAAGACAAGGATCCAAACACTGGTTTTGTCTTATTGCCAGACCTCAAGTGGGATGGGAAACAAGTAAGTAAACCCATAAAGATTGGTAGATTTCTGCAAGTAGTGTTGCTCTTTATCTTTACAAATTATTTATTTCCTATTATGTGATGGTTTTTTTTATTAGGTTACCAGACTAGGTACAGTCCAACTAATCTTACCTGTTTGGGAAAAGTCTTGTTCAAATTAACAAACACTTTTGCTTATAATAGACACAAAATGACTTTATGGGGCTTATCAAGTATCTGGAGTGTCAAGGATACAAGGTAAAAAATAAAACACATAATAACTGCATTGTATAATGTGAGGAAAATTAATAACTTAACATGGCATATGAGTAGTTTTAATCGTACCTTCTTCCCTAGCCCTGTACAGATTAGGCGGACTGCGACCTAATATGATTTTATATCCAGTAAGAACGTCCTTCCACTCTTAAAGTCAACCACTTGAAACAAGAGAGATTAAAGGAGTGAGATAAATTATGTCGTTGTTTTTCATGAGCAAAAACTGCCATAGTACGCTTCTGGTAGGCTATTTACATTTTTTGAAAATAGTTACCAAAACTATAAATAAAGTTTGAACTAAGTTTTAATTAGGTTAGTTTTAATTTATCGACACAACATAGAACACACAATTAACCAAAAAACTTGAAAGCTTTGGCTAGTCTTTGCCTAATATTTTAAAATTGTAACGCATGTCCTAACTTATTTGGGTCATCTAAACAAGTTAACTGACAAATATGTGTTTTTTTACCATAGACCGACAGTTTGTACCTGTTGGCAATAGTTCGACCACGGGGTATTCTCAGTCTTAGAGACCTCCGCAATGAACATCTCCCTCTCCTTATAAATATCAGGGATAAGTGTTTGGTGAGTTTTTGAATTATTGGTGCTTTTAGGAATAAATTAATTTTAAGTCTGTAGCAATAGTTAGTGAGTGAGTTTGAATGTAGAAGGAAATAAATTTTTTATGAAAACATTGTACAGTAGGCCCCCTCTTAACCGACTATACTGGGGCCGGACCTATGTCGGATAACTCAAAAAGCAAAAGGTCGGTTAAAACAGACAATCCTTAAAAACATAACAAAATGCTATTCATTTGGATTTATTTAATCATTATTTTAAAATCGTACTTGCATTATTTATAAAATAAAATACACTTACTTACCTATCTCCTGTTTTCGTATTAATGGAAAAGTCACAAATAATCACAAAACACGGTTAAGTCAAATACTTTCAGAGTCAATAAACATTCTTATTTTAATAACTATAGTACTGTATTAATGGCGTTTTCAAAATCTATCATAATACAGTACAGAACTTTTTGTTGAAATTAAAGATACAAACAACTATTTTGTTACAAGACAGGATGTTTATTTATAGCCTCTCACTGAAGGCTCGTTCTTTGTACGGCTACCATCTCGCTGTTATCCTTTTTTTTACTTGGTTCAATGCGCTAAGTTTCTGTTCTAGAGTAACAACAATCTGTTTTCGTTTCACCGATGCTATTTTGTTTTGGAAATCGTAATTTAAAGTGAACTGTATTTATGATAAAAATACTGTGTTTTAAAACATCCATTTTTACAGTGTTATTAAAACTTGAGTACAATCCAATTATTAAATAAACAATAAATTAAACTGCTAGACACACACTTTACAATTTTATAAATTTGCCTCAATGATAACAAATGAGATATGCTAGCACTACCAGCGATGATGACAAACTAGCAATATTTTTTGGGATGAATATAAAATAACTTATTCTTATTCACATCCTGGGGAGATAAGTCTGGTTCCCATCGCCGAGCGTGGGAGCAGAAATTCTGAGATTCTTAGAAAGCGGTGGTTAAACCCAAACTGATCCCATGCAAGGTCGGTTAAAACAAACTGTAATAGGAAGATATTTATTTAAAATCAGTACCACACAAATGTCTGTTGGGTTTTATATTACCGTACCGGTTTTAACTAAGTTATTGTTCTTTATACAATATTTGAACATAGGCCTACTGTATTTATTATGTGTAAACTATTTATAATGCATGATTTGTACTGACATGTCACATATTCATTGCTGATATTCAGCCACTGTATTGTGAATTTTTAAGATGAATAAATTGAATTGAATTAATATTTTAGGCTACAATTGAGGGCGGATAATCCGATTATCGTTTAAATGTGAGATTGGTTAAGAGGGGGTCTATTGTAAGCCTAAATAAAACTGGCAATTCAAATACATTTAATCTGTATTGCCATAAATGCAATGTAATTTCAGTAGATTAGGCCTACACCCAAGAAAACTTAAAACTTCCATTGAAGGAGTTAAGTTACACAGTTAAGGAAAACAATTAAATAACTACCTAAACCGCATCAGATTCTACACTTTTGCTTTGGCTCAGGTTAATGTTAATATGTATGGTGTTAGTACAGCAACCAACCAAAAAATTGACAATTGAAGTAACTAGAATTGTGACAGACAGATAATGCAGCAAATGTGGGTACTTGAGTGATGTGAACAATTCTTTTTGCACTTTTAAATGAGTGACTGAAGTTTTTAAACAGACTAGCGAAATATATAAATGAACAAATTCAAATTTATTTTGCTATGGCTAAGTCAAGCAATGCCAGAATATTTTTTAGAAAACTACAAAATAAGGTCAACTTATAAAATATGATCAAATGATTTAAAAGGAAATGTTGATTATATGTGAGTACTTCCTTTACTTGCCCTTCGAGTTTTGTCAAGTAAACTCATAGAAAATTATTGCAAGAGTTTTTTTTTTTTTTTTTTTAACTCATGTAAAATTGTGTCGATTGCTTGATTTTGAGCACCAGGTTCATTAGTTTATTTTAAAAGTAATAATTTTTCATATCTAATCATATCGTTAATGTATATGGTTTAAACAGTTATTACATACACATTAGTGTGGTAAACAACAGCTTGGGAAAACCCTGTTAAGCGAATTTCCCATATATGGAATAAGCTATTACCGTAGTACTCATTGTAAGACCTGGACCCAGGACCGATTTACTTTTTTGTATTGAGTTCCCTAGAGGCCAAAAACACCATCCGTTCAAGTTCATATATATGTGTTTGTGTGTGTCGTTAGCACGATAACTTGAGCAAAAATGATCCGATTTTGATGAAATTTGGTATAAACGTGTAAACCTACATGATTTATTCGAAGGAGTTTGCGAACCAGCATGATCGGACTATGGGAACAGGGGTTTATGGGGGGTTTTATGGGGTAAAAATTGGGTTTTACCATTTTTTACCCAAAAAACATAAAATTTAGCAATTTCTTTCCAACCCATTTTGTAGAGCTTAAAAAAAAAAAAATGTATTGAAGTGTTATTATGCGCCTAATGGTTACAGAGAAAATTCCAAAAAATTGTTAATTTAAAATTCCCATGTTAGGCTATTCTTGTGGAGAATAAGTAAACTGTTGTAGTTTGCTTGTTTATGAACATATTTTGATCAAATTTGGAAAATGCATTTATTACTAAACTATTAACATTTTACAAAAAAAAAAATAAATAAATAAATAAATAAAAAGAGCACTTATCCTACCTGTTGCAGCAAACCTAAGTACTAATTATTTTTAAATAGGGAATAAATGTGATATTTTTAAGGAGACATTGATGATTGATAATTTTAATTTATGAGCCAGAATAAACTATCCAGTATCCACATAATTGTATACATGTAAACTTTAGACCTTCTTGAAAAAAAACCGAATTGTTTCTGTTTCAGGCAGTGATTCTTGAGCGGTACGGTGTCCCCAAATCACAGCTGAGGGTGTTTTTGCACTACCAACCCTCATTTTATCATCTGCATATTCACTTTACATACCTCCAGTTTGAAGCTCCAGGTAATGTACGGTAATATATCTCAAGATGTGTTGAAGCTGTTGTGAATATTGAAATAACTCAAACTCAATATTTGAGAAAAACTCTGTTTAATTAGCTTTTAAACTTGTGTGAAAATACATTCGGCACTCAATAATCCGACACAGTTGCAATGTGAAGTGGCACTAAGTCATCGGCTCATCTGCAGTCTTTACAGAACCGCAATTTTATTTTTGCTGTTCCAGGTACATTTTATTTACCTATTACAAGATGTTATTACATCATAAATGGTCAGGATGTTTTGTCAATACAGTATTATTAATACTTAAAAAAAGCTAAATAGTAATACAGTATTCAAAAGCAAATAATTTATATATTTTTCAACCCTACCTACCAAAACACCAAAACCTACTATTACCTATTATGTATCGGTTCCACTAAAGATTCTTTCAAAGAATTACAGTATCAACTGTTTGCGATAGCAGTTTCCTAAAGCCCCGTTTCCATCAAACATTTTGTACCAGCAATGTTGGGAGCTGTTCAAGTTGATTTGAGCACAGCTCCCAACAATGTTGGCGCTCTGTTTCCATTCCAGCAGTACGCGCCAACATTTCGCCTCAACATTTCCCGCCAACCCCTCCTCCTACTGCGAGCACATTTCACTACCATCCACACCCACACACCTACCTACACCAGTGCACCTTCATCATGGAGAGCGAAGAGACTGCTGCTGCTGCTTTCGTCGTAATGGCTGGTGCATATCACCAATTATTAGTTTAAAACGCAGAAAGCGACCGCGATGGTAGGTTAGGAGTTTTTTTTTGGCTAAAAGGGCCGTTGAAGGTGCCTACAACTCCCTTATGAGGGATTTAAGACTTCGAGCAGGATTCCAAAATTTTGTACGAATGACGGCAACTGACTTTGAAGAATTACTACACTTGGTGGCTCCTCTAATCGCTAAACATGGTGCGCGCAGTCCCATACCAGCTGGCGAAATGTTAGCAGCTACATTAAGATACTTGGATAGCATCACTCCTTTTATTAGAGTTTTTGTGCTTGCTGTTAGACACATCCCACAACACTGTCTCACTTTCATACAAAGATATCAACTTTAACACTTCGTCTTTTCCCCAATCTTGACTTGACATCGCCATGGCCTCACTATACCGTCCAAAAGCCCAACACAACAAGATACACCGACACGACACAAGAATGTTTACACCATAAACAAAATCACGTGGTGTTGTTGGTGTTTAACCCGTCTGCTAGGCTAGAGGTGCAATGGTGCTGCGGTGGATGTGCGGCGCGGTGTCTGCTGGAACTACTCACAGAGCAAGTGCGCATCAGCGAACACAGAATAAAAATAATTCTGTGATAAGAATAAATAAATTTTTATTCTGTGTTCGCTGGTGCGCATGCGCGAGTTCTGCTCACAGCAATGTTGGCAGGTGTACACCGTTTCCGATACCTTTTGAGCACAGCTCACAACAATGTTGTCAGCTGCAACGGCTGCCAACACTTTTTGTTGGCCAACACTGCTCAAAACATTATGCTAGTGTTTCCATTCAACATTTTACTCCAACTTTGTTGTGAGTTTAGCTGACAACAATGTTTTGAGCAGAAAATGTTTGATGGAAACGGGGCTTAATAGATGACATGGAAGCGAATTAACCCTTTTAACCCCAGCTACTTTTTTAATAGAGTAGCCAAGATGCCCAAGGGAAAATATATGCGGAACGCTGAATTTTACTTAAAATGCTATAACTTTTTTATTTATTACTGTAATTGAATATATTTTTTTTTAATTTGATTCCCAAAAATTCCTCTACTTAATATATGTAACAACAAAAAAAACATAATTTTAAAAAATAAAAAAAATTAGTCAGTTTACTAATTTTTATTTATTTTTGTTTTTATTTTTTGAAAGTAGACCAAGATAACACAAAATAAAAGTCTTCCCATCACCACAATATTGTTGTCATCTGATAGCAAATTTATTTCTCTACATAGAAAATAAATATTATCAACATACCTTGGAAAATAATGAAGAACAATTCGTTCAAAGAAAATGCTGCACTTCCGCGGCTTTCCAACAAATATCACAAAATGTTCTCTATCAATGACATATTGCAAACAAGACATCTTTACTCCCAAAAATTGTTTTCACTGTCACTACACACACTATTTATGCACTTACACTATTTTATACACTTATAAAAGTTCAATATTTACTATATACAACAATAAAAAAAATAAAAAAGTTAGCATTTGTGTTGATTGAAACAGACGGCATGCACGCCTTTTTTACATCTTATGCAGACTGTCCTGCTTTTTTTCCTAGTGCCACCAGCTGCTGTGCTTACTTTGCTGCAAACACTACAATTCCTTTCTTTTCTATCTGGTAAATATTCCATTCCAAAATGGTTCTGCATACCATCATCGCCACCAGCGCCAGCCATATTGGGCGGTCGAGCTTTGCTGTTCAACCATTCACGAGCCAACTCCTCAACAATTTCAATAGTGAACTGCAGTCTTGTAAGCTGTTTTCCAGTACAATTTTCTTTGTATATAATGTAGGCATTTAGTACCATCCTGGCAAATATATTGAAAACTACCTTTTTCCAATATTTTACAGTTCTTCTCTCATCCAGGTAGCAATACAGCATCTGATCTGATGAGTCAACGCCTCCCATGTACATATTATAGGTGTTGATAAGTTCTGGTTTTGTTTTTATAACATTTTCATTGCCTCTTCTCTTCACTTTTTCGACAGATTTTGCAGTTCCCTTAGTTGACAACAAAATCACTGGTTTTTTCTGGCTCTTCTTTTCACGGTAGGATAAAAATAAATTAGGCCCATTTCGCACATACTTCTTTTCCCCTACATCTAGGTTTTCTTTGATTTCTTCTGGAATCCCTTTTCTGTTTCTTCGCACTGTGCCAGTCAAGAAGGTACATTTACTGTACAGATATTCAGCTAACGGTAGACTCACAAAAAAATTATCCAGGAATATGTGGTAACCTTTATTCAAATACTGACAAATCAAAAGTAAATTTTTCACAACTTTGTAAGCCAGACCATGTTCTTTTTTTCCATCATTACTTTTAGAACCTTTATAACAATCAAAGGCTAAGTAGTACTTTGTCACAGAATCACATAACATCCACAATTTTATCCCCCATTTATGGTGGTGTTTGTTGGGTAAGTACTGTAGGATTTTTGAATGACTTTTTGTGCCTACAAGGCTTTCATCTACAGAAAGTTCACGATGCGGTGTGTAGTAGGTTCGAAATACACGATTTGCATGCTCCATTACTGGTAAAAATTTACCACAGGGATTGTAATTTGGTTCGTTAGGCTTCGGAAGAGTTCTATTATCGGCAACATGGAAGAACTGCAAAAGGCTTTCAAAGCGGTTCCGGCTAAACATTTCACGGAACCAAGGGGTTGCTTGAGACGTACATGTGGACCAATAACTCCTTATTGTTGGTTTTCTGATAATGCCCATGTTCAAAATAACTGCTATGAACCCTTTCATTTCGGTCAGATTTACTGGCTTCCAGTTACGAGCACTCGAGTGAGGCGACATGTTGGCTAGTGAATTTATGTACTGATTTGCGTACTGATTTGTCCGCAGCACAAATGTGCTCAGCAGTCCAACAGTGAAAAATAAATTGAAATATTCAATAGGCTTGGCGTCTGAATTTGGTACATGTTTTGGACCAGGGATCTCATTGTACGTAAAGTTGTGGTCGTAACCAGGATCGTTATCGTCATCAACCTGAGTCCATTTTATCACATTTTCAGTGGGCTCAGGCTCTAGAGGATTCTCATTTGGGGGAATTCCATTTTCTATGAGTTGTTCTGGTATGTTGTGATCAAATAGGCCTTGTATGACATCATTTATAATGCGATCAACATTTTCTAGGCCTAGGCCTACATCATTTGTTACACTAGGTATAGGCCTCTGACTTTCAATCTGGGGAGGTTCGATATTGTTTGAATTATTGACTAAATTATTGTCAGCTGATGGGCCTATGGATTCCGAAAGATTTTCATTTGGCCCTGATAAACCTTGACCTAGGCCTTCATGACCAAGAACTGTATTTTCATTTGAGGCCTGGTCCTCGTCAACATTTGTATCATTTACATTTTGAGACTGTAAAACCTCATCTATAACTATATTTTTGTTGTGTTCAACAACTGAGGTCAGTTTCATAAACCTAGGCCTACCTAGAGTCTTGCCCTTTGATGTTGATTGGACTTCGTCTTCTGAAGATTCTTCAGACATAACTGTGGATGGATCGAAGTCTGGATCTTCATCCGTATCATCCCCAAAAATATCCTCACTATCACTGTGAGTTTCATTTTCGGAAGAACTTGATTCATTATCAGAATCGGAACTTTCAATATTGTCAACAAAAGAATCACTCAACTCATCATCATTTACTTCGACGTTTTCCACCCCACGAAGATTCCTGAGCAGCGAATTTTCACTAACAGGAGATTTCTCTCTTTTTCTTTTGTTCATTTTCAAAAGATTAACACTAAATTTCGCGAAATGAAACACGAAATAAAGTTGGAAACATTCACTGAGGTTACGCGATACAGACGACAACGTAAACAAACAGATAAACAGAACCTAGCGCCGGCCGGCAATACGACAGCTGACGACAGCCAATAGCGACAGTACACAGAGTACGAAAATCTTGTGAAACCACGACAAACTACACTTCTATGTGTAGTCCAATTCGTCGAAAGGCGTTACCCCGAATTCGAAGGCGTTTGGATTGCTAGGTGGTCAGTAAATGATGAAATAACAGACGTCCGATATATCGGACGTCGGGGATTTTCGCAAAACACCTTACGTCCGATATATCGGACGCTGGGGTTAAAAGGGTTAAAGAAAAACTTTCCCCAGAACAATTTCTCATAGACAAGACTCTGAAACTCAATCATCAGTTTATCACTCATATTTTTTTCTTTTAGTGTCATTACGGAATTATTTCCCCAAAGAAGTCCATGTTAAACCAGCTAGTGGCTTTTCAAGTTTTAACATTTTAGGACCTGTATATTATAGAAGCAGTATTTTAGGTATTCATTCAACAACTTGTTCATTTTCAGGGATCAAAAACTCTTTGATGTACCAAATGATTTGTTTTTAAGCTCTTTAAAAAGGTCTAGATAGAAATGGGGAATTTTTTGTTTTGAAGGCCAAAGATGAGAAAAACCAATTTTTACCCTATAAAACCCCGTTCCCACGGTCCGATCATGCTGGTTTGCGAATTCATTCAAGTTTATCCTGCCTTACACCTTTAAACCAAATTTCATAAAAATCGGACAAAAATTACTCAAGTTATCGCGCTCATGGATGTTTATATATATATATATATATATATATATACAGTATATAAATCTATAATATACATACATTTATAAAAATTCGAACAAATGGTGTTTTTGGCCTCTGGGGACATCAAAATGGAAAAAGTAAATCGGTTCCGGGCCTAAGTCTTACCATGCCACCTACGTACACGGTAATACCTACTTCCCCATCAGGAAATTCGCTAAAAAAACATCGCCAATCCAAAATATGTGAACAAAAATGTGAAGGTGCCTGACCAAAACATTTTATGAATTAATTTTTAAGTGGAAATTGAGTGTTATATTTTAAAATTATTTTGTTTTGCATTTGAATATTACCTACTATTTAGTTTTAAGTAGTATAATACTTTGAGAAACTTCCTGTCAATTTATGATGTAATGCCATTCTGTTTATCAATAAACAAGAAAGCACCCCTTAAACCCTAGATGTCATAATTAAGAAAATGGGATTGTCTAGCTTTAAATACTTAGTTGGTCAGTTGTGACAAATCAATGTCAGGTGTGATTTCACTACTGTGGTGGGAAGTGCAGCTGCTTCACTTGGAAGCTTTTTAACAAATAGCTTTCACAGACACTTTAAGGAAGAAAATCATGGTTACAATGTACAGCTATTTTTTAGAGCTGTAAAAGAAAGTACAGTATTGGTATAATTACAATGAACATTTCTTTTGGTATTGTACATTCTTTTTTTATCATTCTTGCCTAAACTTACTATTTTGAACTCCTAATAGACAGAGAGAACAAGTTTTATAAGTTAAACTTTTCGCAGCTCAGAACTTGTTTCCATTTCCTCGGTAATCCGACTTCATCTTGGTCCTGTTCATGTCAGATTATCAAGTGTCTATATTATGTAATAAACATGTATTTTAAGGAATCGGAATGACAACCTGGCTTCAAGGGTTTACTACAGGTTTATTATTATTTTGATTGGTGTTCACTTTTTACTTTCTCCCCCTATAATGTATATGGAGAAAGTATTGTTTTCGTCAAAATTCTCGAGTTTGAGTTTTGAGTGGATATATTCGTTTTGGATCCCCCTGGACCCAAAAAAGTGGTTTTTGAAGTGATATCTGTGTGTGTGAGTGTCTGGATGTGTACAGAGCTAGGGACTACACCTGTGGTCCGATTTTGATGAAATTTGGTATGTAGGTTCTAATCCATGCAGTATCTCCAGGAGTTTTTTTCATTTTTTTGAAATTTTGATTTTTAATGGGAATTTTCTCATAAAAATCCATAAAAAACCGGAAAAATCGGATTTTCTCAAAAATGGCCCAAACGATTTTGATAAAAATTTAGTATGTTGTAGCTCTTTAAATTCCAAACAAAATGGTACAAATCCCATTTCTGTAAAAATTACGGTTCAAAAGTTATTGTAAATTATGTTATTTTCCCATAAAAACCCCATAAAATAACGGAAAAATCCAATTTTCCCAAAAATGGCCCGAACAATTTTGATAAAAATTCAGTATGTTATAGCACAGAAAACATACTACGTTATAGTCCTTTAAATTCTGAACAAAATTGTACAAATCCCATTTCCGTATATTTACTCTCACCGCTTACACATGATAAAGGTTGTTGACAAAATTATGGGAAAAAGTATGTGTCAGAATGCTGATACCGTTTATTTATTCTTACCAAGGCTCAGTTAACAGGTAGGCTGCTTCTAAATTAAAATTTTAAACATCCCTTATTTTTTTAATGTTGGGAAATAGTTGTTTTGCAAGAGTTTATTGATACAAATGAGATGAATTAGTTTACATTTGCAGTTGTTTATCATTCAATCGTTCAAAATAATATAACACTTTCAGGTATTCATGCTGAAAAATCTCACCTTTTGAGCACTGTCATAAACAATATTCAATTGATACCAGATTACTACCAAGAAGCAACCTTGACATTTGCTGTCAGGGAATCTGACAATCTTTTTACATCCTACGAAAACAAAGGTAGGTTTACATCAGGTTTTGACAAAAAATATTCATAATAATGTAGAAAAAAAAAATCAAATAGAATAATGAAATTATTTATTTTGTTTTATTGTTAAAGTGTAATGTTTAGGGTAAATTAATAAGTCAATCTAGTTACTAATATCATCACTTTACATCAATATATCTATGTTTATAATTAATTAATTTGAGCTTTTGTAATATTGCTTTCATGAAAATAAACACATTCTAATTCTCAATACAAACATAATAGCAAAATATGAATAGATGTATGTAATACAAACCTTCATTCTGATAAAAATTGTGTCAGTTTTTACTAAACTAAAATCTTGAAACCTCTTGTGGTACCGGTAATTAAAACATTGTAATTATAAGATCACTCATTATGCCCAATTTAAAAAAAACACAATAAAAACTACTACCATAACTTTTTGGCAATGGCAGGCAAGTGCCATTAGGAGGGGGGAACCACATGTAAGGCATTGGTTATTCTATGGATAAATATGAGATTAATTTATCAATATTTTCTAATCCAACAAAATTGGGTCACTAAATCGCTTCAGTGTAATGAACTTAAATTAAACCGAATTACTTAAATTATGCTACAAAATTTATGTTGCAGGCATTGTAAAAAGATGTCCGCCTAAAGAAGAAAATGAAACCCAAAATAGTAATTGAAGTTCGCCCACGTCTTCAAAGCTGCCAGGTTTTCTACCGAGCGGAAACTGGTCAAAATGAAGATTTTACAGTTCATATTCAAAATTCCTCCATAACATTTCAAAGTGAACTTAAAGAAGAAGTTTTTGAATTTGATGATCTGAAACTAAAAAGTCAGTTACTACATTCCTTAAAGCCTGATGTTGAATGTATTATTTCATGTAGGATTCCAATTTTAGCATCTGTAAAAGAAATTGACAGTCAAGTAGATTCAAATAAATACATTCCTGATGTTGAAAAAGGAAAACCGGTTCAACTAGTTTGTAGGTGTTGCCATTCAGAATTGTTGAAGGAGAAAACTTGTTTCACCAGAATTTTACCTCTGCCTTCTGCTGAAGTTACAGCAGGGGATCTTTTCTGCCACGGATGTTGTGACGAAGAATTCGAAAGTAAACACAACACTAATCCTAAACCATTTGACCTGCTGTTTGGTAATTATTTTTTTAAGTTCAACAAAAACTTGCTAAGTGATACAAAAACATTCCTAGTGAACGACATAAGTTATTGCCAACATTGTAGAACCTGGCTGGGATCACAAGATAGTGTGATTCAATCTGTGAAAATGTGGAACTGTACTGTGGCTTTTGATGTTTCCCTCAACAAGTTAGTAACTGCAAAGGGCGATTTTATTGCTGTTGTTAAAAACATAATTGAGGACTCTGAAGGTACCATGTGTAAAATTGTTGTAAGTTGTAAATATGAACCCAATAGGAAAGAATATTTGCTTTTATGGATTATGGACAAAGATTTACCTTTGTTAGTTAGTTGTGAAAGTTCAAAGAAGCTGGTGACCAAAAATGTTATCAAGCTGCTGTATTGTCATGAGACATCTCATTCGTCTGTAGTTTCTCAGTGGGAAAAAGACATGAACACCCATTGTGTAGATGTCGCAGAAGTGATGTTCTCTGAAGGAATTGAGTATCTAACTCAAAGCAATGCCTTGTTCCCAACAATATTCAGGCAAGGTAACAACATGAATGTTGGGTATTTAGGTTTTTGATTTTGAAAATTGTTATATTTGTTTCTTTTGTATTAATTGGAATAAAAAAATTATCCAAAGTCCAAAGCGCAATTTTGTTCCACTTACTCATTGGTTCAATAATTTTAGAAAAGTATTTTTTTGAAGATTTCTATTGAAGCTAATTAGACAGATCTCTTTAATCTTATTTTTTTCAGAGAGCAGCTAACTAACAGCTTATTTCCTTGTACATCTTAAAATCCAACTCATCTCACATTCCTAGTTGTGAGAGATTTCAAGATGTTACTATACTGTACTTAAGATACACTGTACTTAAGATGTTACTGTACTTAAGGATCGGTCCTTTCGTCTTATTATCCAAAGTTCCTCAGTTTCCTTGGTTTGCTAAGCGAAAGGTTAAAATCTTAAACTTTAATCTAACTATTTTTGTTACACAGAATCCGATCTTTAGACATCTTATAGCTGAATAAAACTGTTTCTTTGAGTGTGATATGGTTCTGGTTAAATAATTATAGGCCTGGCCTAAATAAAAAAATATTAGCCCCCCTGCAGCAAACCGGTATACTAAGCGAATTTCCTTTGCCTGATTTGATTTTCAACTAAATCTATTAAAAATAACATTAGGTTTAACGAGTACCTAAGTTTGCTGCTACTGGGACACTAATAAAGTGTGTTTTTAGTAAAATATTAATAGCTTAGTATAAAATAAATTTGCCAAATTTGATCAAAATATAAACAATAAAAATAAACTATAAACAAGCACCCTACAATAGTTTACATTATTCTCCATAAGAATAACATGGCAATCTTAAACTTAAATTTTTGTTTGTTTTCTCCGTAGCCAATAACCGTACAAAACAATTTAATATACTATAGCTATTTGTGTAACTAGTGGGCAAATGTGCACTCGTGCTACACATTATATTTTTCCTACAGTTACCATAAATCATATAAATAATTTAGTCTTTCAAACATTGTACAACATGTTTTTAGGTTAGGTAAAATTCAAACATTGAACGAAATGGGAAACGCTGCACCAGCTGATCGTAGTCGTAAATTCGTTATATCATTTTTTAAGTGTCGCCAACTTATTTTCAAACGTACACGGATTACGTGCATAATAGAAGCACGCTGTTTTGTGTTGTTTGGTTGGAATACCAGTGTGCGCCAAAGTAAAAAAACTGTGCGTCAAAGGCTTTCTGTACTATAATCTGTGCAAGGAAGCCCACTTTGTCAAGGTGACTGTAGGAAAAATGACTTGTTTTTAAGCTCTTGATTTTAGAGAAAAATTGGGAAGTTTTGTGGATCAAAAATGAGAAAACACAAATTCTACCCTATTAAATGCCCCATTTTTTGTCATCCCAGTTTCAAGAACTTGAATTATATGAAATTTACCTTTGCTTGTTTTTTAAGTTCTCGTAGGTAATATTTTTGTGTCACTCTGTGCATTTCAACATCTTTCTTTAGGGGTCTTTCTTGAATTCATCTTCTTATCACTAACACTAAATACACAGGTCACTAATCACCGTCGGGTTAAACAGACCGCAGAGACGTGGCGGAGTCAAGGCGCAAGGCCTTCCTTCCTCTTGTTTCATTTCTTGGACCAGGGTGGTTGGCATTTGGGCCGTTCAACGGTTCGGTTAGTTGCAAAGGGTAACGAAATGCATACGATGACACAAACATCTCACATAGTGGACCAACTGTTTTCAGTTGCAAGCAATTGTTGCCTTCAGCTACCTACCTTCAGATAATAAACTCATGGTGAAAGTTAAATAGCATAGCCTATACCTTGTAATACTCTCCATTTCCAAAAAAATGTCTTAAATCCTCTCATTTAGAATGAAAACAAGCAAGGAAAATAGCAGGAAAGTGTGCCTCACTTATTCATTGAGCTTCATATTATTTACATACACGGAGAAACCTAAAATGATCCTAGCAATAACATTAACCTCCACACCAGATCTCTCACAAAAAAAAAGAAAGAAACCACTTAGGAAAGTAAAACTAGGCTTACGTTGTAACAAACCTTTATTTATAATAATATTTACACACCATTTATAATGGATGGTATACTGTCTTGCAACTTATCCTCACGGCATACAAAAATGCAAATCTTTCATATATATAAAATATGTTTATAACTTACATATAAAATATGAAAATTTTAATCGTCAATAAATAACCCTAACTAATACTCCTGCATACTTCCATAAATTAAGCTCTTCATATTTATTATTTTTTACGTCTTTTTGGAACAAACTGTTGGAAAATGCACGTTTTTATCTCTTAAAATTTAAAATGATGCTTTTATTAGTAATCTATGTGATTTTGAAAAATTACTGACAATTCTGTGGAAAAATATCTTGTGAAACAACTAGCCTGTTGGTAGTGTTCTTGTCAAATTTTCTTTGTCTACAGTATCTAAAAAACATGCAAGTACATATCACATAAACATAAGTCTCATAAAAATTGAGAAGAGGATGTGAAACTTTCTTTTGATGTAGACTCTAAACTTCCTGGAGGGGTTCCAGTAGTAAGTTCTGAAAGTTGTCTTTTGAGTTCTGTGATTTCTCTCTCTCTTTCGAAAGCCTCCTGATGCAGTCGTTGGATCATTTCGTCTTTCTCCGCAATGATTCTGGCACTGTTCAAACTGTCTTTCTCTTCCAGCATCTTCAACAGCTGATTGGCTGATGGACGATTTTTAGGAGGCCCAAACACACAGAGCCTTATCACCCCAACCTGTGTATTAACACTGCTTGAGTTTCTCACTTGCTAACACAATAGTAAAATATTATTGATTGTAGCCCTATTAAAACAGCAAAAATGGAAGAAAGCCAAACTATTAATTTTCAACTTTAGAGCTAGATGGCCAAAACAGGATAGTTAAAAATAAATTTATTTGGTTTACTATGGAGTTTTATATCACTAGGTCAAAAAATATACAAGGGAGCTAGATGGCCAAAACAGGATAGTTAAAAATAAATTTATTTGGTTTACTATGGAGTTTTATATCGCTAGGTAAAAAAATATACAAAACCTTATGATCATAGGGAGAGATTTTCATCTTTTACACAAATTTTACGAATTGGCCTGACATAGTATGTGTGACAACATACAGTACATATAGTACACTTGAACTAAGCATTCTGAATATGAATTTTATAAATCAACCCAAAATGTATTGCCAAAGAGTTTCCTTGTTGGTGATTTGTATCCCAAAGAAACAGGATATCACTTCTGAACACCAAATTAAACTTAATCAGACTTAATGGAAAATATAAATGTAGAAATATGTTCAAACTCACCAGAATAGGAAATGATTCTGAAAGTTCAGGTGGAATGTGACCAGCTTTCAGTTTACTAATGACTTTACTACGTTCCATATCGGTCTGGAATGGTTGTATGAGTTCCAACAGTACTACGCCCAGACTATATATGTCACTCTAAAACACATGATGAACCGTTTTAATTAATCACAAAAAAGAAGTATTTAGTAGCTTTTAAATGACTCTTTGTTACTTTCCAATCCATTTCCAATGAGAATTTCTTAAAAATTCATGCTCGACAAGAATGAAGAAAAGAATTAATAGTTTGCTATATTAAGTCACAAGGCCGAGAGGAAGTTGTTTATAGTACGAGTATGATAGATCCAGTGCGAGGCTTACTGAGTCGGGATTTTATGTGAGTACTGAGTACCATAAACATCTTCTCGGATAAGGTACATACGATACTATTAGCAACAAATATAATACACGGTAAGGAAAATACAGTACACAACCCATACATACAATCATAACACTGTTTAACCTTACAAATCTTTTTACCACATTAACAAAATGGAATACCCTAACTCATAGGCCTACTGGGTTTTTAGATTTATCGTATAATATGTAGTAAATTAATTTGTAAATTATCGCAATAATCTACACAATGCAGGTCGTCAATCGAAGAATTCACAATCAAACTAACAAAATATTAGCATTGTAGTAGTGGATGAGGAGAGGCTAAGTAGACTGCCTTTAGTATTGTTGTAGCCTATTGCAAAATAGTCCCGTAAATTTACTGTACACCAGCTGTCTTAATCCACCTCTTTCTGCAATAAACCACTTTCTGGTCTGCAGTTTAGGTTCAAATAAATAGGCCACTTGGTACCTAGAGACAAGATGCATCATTACGTGTTGTGCTTTTGTAAGTTATGCAAGTTATCCTGAGTGAGGTTTCTAGCACATCAAACTAGTAATAGCTATTTACCTTACAAGTGTAGTAAGAGCGTTTTTACATCACGCAGGTGAATGTTGTGCAACGAGCGGAAGCGAGTTGCATAATTTACCGAAGTGATGTAAACACGCTCTTGCGTAACGTGTAACGTACAAGATTTTACCTGACCCGACAATATACAGGAGGTTACGAACAATATTTTTCATTAGGCCTATCCATTTCACTCATCTTCTAACAGTAACGTTCATTTACAAACAAAAGCTAGGCTAGGAAAGATCTTCAAAACATAACAATAAAATTCAAGCGCACAGCTGATTTCTAGCGTTGAACGTCGTTCGCTCCATAGAGGTATAATTTTTAAGTTAAGCACTTAATGTTTATTTAAATGGGTTTCATTACATCACCGAGTGAGTTTTTTTCAACTTTACATCACTCGAGAAGTAACGAAGTTATATACATCACGCCTGGGATAGGGAAGTTTAACATGGCAGGTTAGGTAAAATATATTTAATCATCCATTTAAAAAAATGCAAATTTCAAAAAAATATATACCTTGGGAGTGCACTTTGGTGAGCTGAGTTGTTCAGGTGCAGCATACAACTTGGTGCCGACCTGACCGCGGTGAGCGTGCGTCGATGGGATGACTGCCACTTCACCTTGGTTGTGGGTGAGTAGAGAACACGCCAGGCCAAAGTCCCCCACCTGCAGTTGCGACAGGTCGGAACTGACAAAGATGTTGCTTGGCTGTCAACAAAACAAAGTTACAACAGTTTGATGGATGATTTGTGTTGGTAATCGGTGAGTTCACAATCAATATAAAAATGCTGTTGCATACTTTCATCCCTTTAAATAATACCTGCCTTCATGCCATGTCGTAGAGTAAAACCCTGATTAACCAAAATAAAGAAGGAAACTGTTTCAGAACACATATGCTTTTAGTTCACCAATGATTGGAATTTAAAAACTGTTTCGGTTCATAAAATAGTTATTCGCATTTTAATTTATTTTATCTTTAAACAACTGCACACTCTAAATCTATTTCTTAAAATAATCAACAGTGGTTTACTGAACTTTATATCAGTATGAGATAGGTGTTGTGTGCTTCATTACATTCCGTTGGCCACAGGGCAGACTTCCTCTTCATGGTATAAACTGTAGGTCCCTTAGTTGCCATTAGCTGTATGGGCTACTGTATTAATTAAAAGTTATGTCTAAGGAATATGTCGGCCTTAGTCACTAACAAGACTACAAGATCGCGCCACTCATCTCCATTCATACTTGGCTTAAAATACCTACTTTGAATGGTCGCCATTTAATAAGAAGTATTAAGTTACCAAGCGTAGCTAATTTCCTGATTGATTTGATTTTTATTTGGGTTTTGGTTTAACAATGTGTGGTTGAAAGGGATTTTACTGTATATGGTAAATAGGTCCTTCCCTTAATACGATGTGTTATATAATAATGCCTACTTTGATATCATGATGAACGATGCCCTGAGAATGAATGTATTCCACTCCCTGGACAATCTTCTTAAATAGAGTCAGACACTGGTGTTCGTTTACTGGTTCCATCTTCTGATTTCGATTGTCCAACCATTGGCGTAACGTCACTTCACACAGTTGCATCTGAATGTAGAGACAAGCCCATTCCTGCAAAAAGCATAGAAAACTGTTAGAAGTGTATACATTTTAACTTTCTAAATTGGTCAAAGTCATTTAAAAACCAGAGTTTAAGTATTGTGTAAACATTGGAAAGTACATACCACAGAAAAAATAACAAACAATAATTCATTTGTAGGATAAAAAAAAATATCCTACATCATTTACCATTCAAATCCTACATAATATCTGAGAGACATAAACAATAAAAACACAGCTGTTATGGCAAACAAGGTTAATTAGTTTGCATTGTCAAACAAAATTCAGTTAAAAGGGAATATTTTTAACATAATAAAATTAGCCACTGTTGGATTGGGAAATGTAAAAAATATTTAAATTATAAAAAAGACACCATGTTAACATGAGCAAGAAAAACAATATATTGAAAAAGTAAACAGAATAAAATAAAAACATATGATAAATACAGGTCAAGGGGAAAATGTCTTCAACAGCCACTTTATTGCATAGAAATTGCAGGCAACATTCCATTTTATACTACAATTTTATTACTACTACTAGCATAAGATAACCAATTTAAATCCTACTAATTATTAAAAAAATCATAATATAATAATATATATATATATATATAATCATATGAGTATTATAGAAGAACTAATAATAAAGTCATGTAATAACAATCAATTAATTATTTAAGTGCATATTTTATTTTAACCCAAATATGAGTGTTGCAATGTTGTAGTCTTGATAGTGACTAAAGCGACATGTTCCTTAGGCTCAGCTGTTAATTAATAGCCCATTGACATTGCTCTTGTGAACCGACAACCATAAAATTTGTAAGCTGGGGAGGCTTTAACCAATGGCCTTGCAACCTGTTTTATATTTCAAAAACTGAGGTTTCTTGTGCTGAATTTAATACCAGGCTAGCCAATATTGAACTCTGGATCGTATTTGATGAAGTAGATGCTAAACAAAATTAGCATCGCTAAATAGAAGTGCCTGGGATCCTTGTCTAAGTCATTGGGTAAAAGCTAGGTACGAAGCAAGACCAACGTTGTATATCCTTGCTTTGGTAAACATGCGTCAAAAACTTACAAGAATAGCATGCATAGTCCGTGGTACATTCTGATACTGAATACTGCTAACTTTTGGGACTGAACAGTCTTAATTTTTGTGAAATCAATACTCAACTAGATAAGAACCTTGAAAGTTGTAAGTGTTACACTTGTGGTAACATCTCTTTCTTTTATCAGCACTCATAATCGACCTGCCAAACTATAAATGTAAGAGGTTATACTTGGAGTACACTAAGATCTTATTCACCCCTACAACCCTCTACAACTGTTTTTCCTTGGACATTGTAAACCAATTTTTCCAACCCACAATACCACAAACATTCCAGGTGATAAAAACTAACTTTTTATTCCAGTTGGATTTCCTCTAAAGATTATTTTTAAAGTGGGAGTAACTGCATTGTCAAACAGAAAATGTAGGTAACCAACCTTTGTCACATACTCTTAACTCCGCTTTCACAATATAGTACGCAGGTGTAATTGGAGAATTATATAACAAGGAATTACGTCTTTTGAGCGTAGAGCTGAGTCTCAAACTATAGGGCACATAATTGGCATCTGCTTTCTTATAGAATTCTTCAGAGGCTCGCTTGAAAACCACAAGTGCAGTAGGACTTAATACCTTTAATTTGGTTCTGGTTCTGAGAAGGGAGATCGGTTAGGTTAAGTTTTTCTCAATTTTAAATTTTACAAAGGTTTAGAGTAATTGACACAGGTACTATGCAACTATTTTCAGTTTTAACTAGTATGGTCGCTGGCTTAGACAGTCACGCAAGTTGTATGAAGTTCTTTATATTGTTGTTTAATATGCGCTTGGAGATATTTTAGAGCTGTCCTAATTAGAGCAAGTTTCTAATTTCTAGTAAAAACATGGTCAAGTTGTTTCCTTTCAAGAGCTTTGTGAATAGCTCTGCCATTTGAAATAAGAGATGGTTTTTTTGGTTTCATATTATTGACTTTGCTTCATTCGCTGCTGGTACTCGGATCAGTTTATTTTATTCTTTGCTTCAACATAGCCCTGATTACTAGTACGTCTTTAGTTGTGATGCAAATTACTACAATTTATTACATTCAACATTCCGCCCTGTTCCAACAAGAGCTTCATTGAGACAATCACTGTTAGCAGGGGTGCATTGACGTAGATTGGTGATTGCAATGGGATATTTTATTCTTTCAATGATTTAGCCTCACGAAAAAATTATATCCCAATTGTAGTAAAATCCCTAGGACGACACACCTCTGGTTTTCTTCCTCTTCTCCTTTGATGTCTCCTAAATTGTGCTCCTTTTCCTCTTGCACCCCTGCCTTGAAACCCTTCACCCAAGGATTCTTGTCCTTGGGATTTTGTTTTTTCCGAGTCTTTTGTACCAGCAACTTCAGATAGAACAGGTGTAGGTATTTGTTTTGAGCACAGGTTATGCCGTGGTATTTCAGCAATACTACCGTCATTCCGAGATGGAATTAAAGTAGTTTTTTCTTCATCACTAGAGGCATTTTCACTCCGTATTGTGGTTTTTGTTCCTCCCTTCATCTGCAAAATAAATATCACTCATGATATTAAATAAATTAAAAAGAATTATCATGCAAACACAGTACTAAAATTAATTGAAGACACAATACTTTGATATACAGTGTTCATTCAATAAGTATCGGGACTGGTTCACTGTAGCCTTAACAGACTGTGGAGGAAGGTCCGGCTGGTTGGGTTCAATCACCACTGGGTCTGTCACCATTCAGGAGCACTTTGGTTCAGTCGCCTACGGGCATTTGTTGAGACATGAGTTCGATATTTGCGTCGAGTGTTTTATAATTGTGTCGTCGCGACGTGTGTGTTGACGGCATGGAGAGTGCCGTCGAGCATTTCTGTGAGGTTTTGCTTTAAACTCGCAAAATCCACATTGTAGACCATTGCCCTCAACTCAAAAATTTTGTTTCTGGGTCAAACTGGAACACCCAGATTTCATCTCCGGTAATAGCTTTGTCCAGAAAATTTGGATCTTCCTGGACATAGTCCAAGATTTCTTACGAAATTTTTATTTTTGACAGTTATTTTCCTTGCTCAGGACTTTCGGCACCAGCTTCGCACGGACTCTTCTCATCGCCAAATTCTCCGTTACGATAGTGTAGACAGTTCCTACTGATAGGCCGATTTTCTCACTGATGTGGGCAATGGTTAGACACCTGTTTGAATCCATAACTTCTTTCAGTATAAACACGAGCCTCAGTTCTGACGCCTTAAAAAGTTGGTGCCAATTTCAAAACTCTTTATTTTCGTTACATGCACATGGGTACAAAAATAGTATCAAATATACAGCAGTAAACTAGCCTAGGTATATAAATCTTAAGTACTAAATTATTAATGAAGTTCCTCTAATGTATGAGGGGCCATTCTTATTAAATATATTTTACATTTAGCTTTAAATGATTTATCATTTGATTCCTCTTTTCCTTTATAGGGGCAGGCAATTCCTAATAATTAATGATCTAGCAAAAGTTGGTTTCTTTTTAGAGGATTCCAACTTATAGGTTGAAGTTACAATATCCTTTTTAAGTCTCATAACATAACTATGTGGCACAATTAGCTCATATTTTTTGCTATTTTTTTTTTAGGTATCCCCACTATTTCAAAAATATAAGCTACAAAAAGTGTTAAAGATTTAGATTTTTGAAGTGAGATTTAACTTATTCATCTTTTTTAAGGTGTAAGATAATTCTAATGGCTCAAAAACTCTTATGCGTCTTAAAAGCCTGTTAAGTGAGGGCCAGGGTCTCCGACATGTACTTTCTGACTTTTAAGCAAAAACTTACAGAGTTGCTTGACGGCACGCTTTAAGTTGGCGTAACGACATAATGAAAAAGAACACTAGGCGCAAAAATCGGCCTATCTCAACAAATGCCCGCAGGTTACTGAACCAAAGTCCTCCTGAATTGTGGGGCACCCCTCTATCGAACCGAACCGGTCAGACCCCCCCCCCCCCCACCACTGCTCTTTTGAGGCTACAGTAAACCAGTCCCGATACTTATTGAATGGAGCCTGTATTTATGCAACTTTATAAAGAGAAATAGAAAACAAACAGGTTTTTTACTTCCACAGAATGGATCGCAATCAAGTTTGAGATATGAATTCCTTAGAGCGTTTAGGTGCTCAGTAAGATATATTGTTGAGAAATTTTGTTTGGAATCAGTTCTAAAGCACTTTAAAGTTTATATACTATTCTATTTGACTGAAAGATTAAAATTTATTTTTTATACATTGACATGATACTAGCAGACATATTTAAAATGTTTTTTATAATTGCAGCTAATCTGCTTAATGCAAGTATTATCTCTTCACCTTGGTAATGACAAAACCTTTTGATTATCTTGAGCATATAAAATAAAATAATAGTCAAATATTATCTTTCTTACCTGTTTTTGCAATTGTTTGTACACATAACTATTTATGAAGTTTACCTGACTGTAATCATTCAACTCAAGTCTGCATCTTCGCATTATGTTGCAGAGAAATGCCTTAACAATGCACAAGAACGATAAATTCACTGAGGTGATAAATACTAGATTAGTACCAGCATTTTACATCAGAAACAAAATATTACATTGCCTCTTATACAGCTGATTCATTATCAATGTTTTTAATAGTACCTTTATAGTACTGTATGAGATTACTATTTGTTAGGTAAGATTAGCATTAGTAACAGATCAACTTTTAGGTTTTAAAATCTATAATAATACTCAATATAAGATTGGGAATAATAAAAAAAAAAAATAATAAAACAAAAACCACAGGTCTTATTTATTTTTATTTAAACCCTCCACCAATGCATATTATTAAATAAACATAGTTTACTAAGTGCAATAATATTTATATATATTTTTTTACTTACGTCTTAAATAGAAATAACTTGCTAGGACTAACACTAGGGATGCTCGGGCAATTTTTTTTTGAATTCATTACACATACTACAGGAAATATTCTAATACTACAAAAAAAGCAACCACATTAAAGTAGAAACAAAGTTATTTATTTTTATTTGGTTTCACATTGACAAATTACACTTTATATCATTTTACATAGAGAATAAACTGAATTCTGGTTTAGTCATTGCTGGCGATTACAAAAGGTTATTTTTATTTATTAATCTGAATTCTTCTTCATAACGTCAAAGTGATTGAACATAATTGTATTTTTAAACATATAAAAAGTTAAAACTTCGTTTTACACAATAACTACTGTCTTACATTTTTTTTTTTACTGCTTTGAAATGTTTTATGGAGGCAAATTGTAGTAACTTTATTAAGTAGAATTGAATCTTATTGTTTATCCTTTTTCTCACAAATTTAGAAATCATAAAATTACTGAATAGAAGAATGATGTCTTCGAGACCACAAGGGATCGTCAAGATATTGAAGACAATTATGATTTCTTTGCAACTGCAACGAAATATGATAATGCCACAATCACGGGAGGCCAATATGATGTCTTCACTGCAGCAATGGAATGTCAAGATAAAACCACGATCACAGGAGACGATGACGATGTATTTGGGGTCGTGGCAGTGGAGATGCTTTCAATTTTGCCGCAATCGCGAGAGATGTTATGATTTTTGCCATGATAACGGAAGCTGATCTTGATAGTGATAGGATTATTGCCATGACGACATATGATTTGGGCAGTTACAAGACCCTATGTCTCAGGGAGGACAGAGTGCCTAAAAAAAGTGGGAAAAGTAGTGCGCCATTTTCTTCAGTCCTGTAGCGACTACCTGATCTTGCATATATCACATGTCCGTTTGTGGTTATTTTATAATTTCTGGTTTGAATGAATAAACACTCCCTAATTTTTGTTATGAACATGGTAATTCTAAAACTACCCAAAATATTGCGACTATCTCATCAACTCCATGAATTAGTATTGGAAAACAATGTATACAGTAAACATTTTGTATTTACAGTCATAGCATGTTTTTGGACTTTCATTGTAGTAAATCTTTGAAATTTGTTTTGGTGTGTGTGAGAGAGAGACAAGGTGTTGTGGCTATGTTTAGGGGAGGATGAAGATAGGGGCAGTAAGAAATGGGGGGGAGACATTTGCGCTCTTGAACTCGGAGGGATGGGCACCTCTAATCCAAATTAATATTGGGAACTAGTCACTATGTTGATTCTTCCCTAGTTCAAATGTGTTTCAGGAACTCTTTCCACATGAACTTAAATATCTTCATAACTTGCTGAGTTCTCACTCTTGACCATACAAAACCTTTTTTTAACCTGCCAAGTCAAGTCTGCAAAAACATTTATTTTCTGGGACCATGATGGGCGACTTTTTCCAGCATGGTTTTGTCCATACCTTTTTAATGCTTCCACATAATGAAAGATAAGGACAATACTGGATGCCTAAGGTGGCCTTGGTGAAAATAAACTGATTCTTCAACTAGAATAATGAATAACTAGTCAGATTTGCTTCCAAGTGTGTCTAAAAATATCTCTAAATAAATATCTTAAAAAGTATATTACTCAATAAGAAAACAGTGATGGAAAAGAGACAATTCCTATTAGCAGATTTGAGGTAACTTTTAAACTTAAGAAAGCTTCGGTTTGATTTATTTATTTTTATAAGGGAAAACATGTTCGGCTTTATTATTCTTCAAGTGACAACGGATGTAGGGGTTGATCTTTGTTTCCCTACTCAATCTGTAAAATTAGTTTGTAATCAATATTTTGAAGGAGAGGCGAGTTCTGAATGTTCTGATTGATATTTTGAATGTTATACTCTTCAGTTCATCTTGCTATCCCTCCTGACATATTATTTCAATAACAAGTTGAATACCACACACCTCTGCTTGTCTTCTTCTTACTCGATATGCTCTGAATTGTGATCCTCTCCAATGAGCGCCCCAACCTCCATTTTCTCCATTTACATGGAACGCTTCGGATCCACGTTCAGATGCTGATTCTTGTGCCTCATTTTTTGCAGCAGCAAGTGGAATCGGTGTAAATTTCTCTTTTTTGACAACTTGATATTGATGAAGCGGTTTGATACCATTACCATCCCGATATTGGGCCATCGGCATTCTTCCACCAGCAGCCATGGTGTCTATAATATCTCCGACACACTTGGCTATTTGTGTTTCTTGGATCTAAAAGTAATACTAAGAATTATATTGCAATAAAACATCTTTAATCACATGGGGTTTGTTACTGCTGTGTTGCTGCAATTCACAAGGGTTTAGATATCTGTTGATAAGTACAATATACCAAAATGTGTATCAGAAAACTACCTTTGTTGAGGCACATAATAGATTATTTTTGCTCTGTAAAATTAATCATAGGTAGAACTTTTACTAAAGAGTAACAGGTGTAATTTCTTGTGGTTGTTGGTTTCTCAGAAACTTCTTCCATTTAATCATTTTCAGCTGATGACTTGTTAGTTATACTTTTTTTATATTTTACAAATGTAATAATTATTTGAAATAGCAAACGGTACACTACATATTAAAAAAATTATAATCTCGAATGATACAAAAGTCTTCTATGAATATAACTTTAGGCTAATTCATAAATACTAAAGCTGCAGTAATATTACAACATGCTTACCTGTGATTTCACTTCTTTAGAACATTACGGGCCAAATTCCTAAAGATATTTTAAAATCCTATACTACTTTTAAAATAAAACTATATCAGTTTTCATATTAAATATCGGCTAAGAAATATTTTCTCAGGGATTGGAAAGTCTTATTTCTATGTATCCTTTCTATTCCCAGTTCTAAAACGTAGGGGTCTGCAGGTCAGACTTTTTTGGTTCGGGTCAGGTCTCGGGCCAATTACCGGATTTTTTTTTAACTGTGTTATCTGTATTTATAATATTGCTTGATAATAAAATATCAAAAAAGATTGTATTTATGTATATTATTTAATTTTCATATTTTATTTACAGCTTGGGAATTTGCCTTAACTGCAAGAAAGAAGAAAATATTTTTGTTTATCAAGACATTCTTTACCATTTTCATAACTGTTGAAATAACTAAATAGCTAAATTACAACATGTTTTCAATGGAACTTAATATAAAAAGATCATAAACAAATCAATTAACATATCACAATTTTAGGGCCTGTTTAGGGACATAATTTAGTAGGCCTACAGATTTACATAAGAATAATTTTTTTGGGCCTAAAATAATAATAGGCTAAGCAGCGGCAAGTGGAAAACTCATTGAAGAAAAGATGTTATGTAAACCGATTTACTATAAAACTCATAAACGGTGATCAACACACACATTGTTTATGGTATAATTAATTAGTAAGGACTGTAAAAATTGCATATCATGTCATACAGTAGTATAGATAGACCTACTGCAAGAGATTAAAATCTAAAACAACTGATTTCGATAGCTACCTAATATATGAAAAGAATTACAAATCCATAATTTAAGTCAAACAATATCACAATTTATTAAGTACCCAAAAATGAACTCTTATCTAATATATAGAAGGTTATATTAAATCAAAAGAAAATTAAATTAAATGCCAACTTGGCAACATAAGCAGAGACACTAACGCCCTAATTAGCAAACCGAAGTAAATTTTTTTTTAAACTGCAGAGTCTTTTTCTCGGAAAGAAGGGTAGTAGCATGTAAACAAAAAACCATAAATCACACTCTCACCAGCCAGACCCTTGGTTGCATTCAAGGTCATAGACCCTCCCCCTCCCCTCTTACACCCAGGGGTGCCCACAGGGGGGTTTGATGTCGCAAAATGCGACATCAAAAATTTATTTGGGGGGGATTTTATGATTTTGGGGGGGATTCAAGCCAGTGGTTGGTTAAAAGCACATAAAAGATTGATCAGATAATTTTTACGACCTCCTTAATTTATTACTGGGGTAATTATGCAATCAAAATCCCGTTTGACATTTTATCTTGATTAATAAATCATTTTATAATTGCTATAAAATATATAGATACATTTATGAGGATTTCCACTTTCTGACTCGTATCATGTTTAACAGTGAGAACAACTCCATGCCAACTGCTGTCAAAGGATTATGGTTGGCTTATTAAATTGTATCTGCAATTTGAGTTTGTTTTTACCTTTCATTATGAACTCATTCTCAAATAGTCTCATTGCCTTGAGGACCTATTGATGGTTTTTTAGGTTTGTTTATTATAATATATACTTGATTCATAAAAAACCAGTATTATGATAATGATAATCATTTTGCTATTTTTACAACATGAACAACAACATGAAAGCTTGTGATAATATTTTGGCTCTCCAAAATAATTATGTCTGGGTCATTTATTCATTGGAAGTAATTGACATACAGTACTGTGACAATTTAATTAAGGTTTTTAAAAGGCTATGTGTTTACGTTAACTTCAAGAATTGAAACACATGATTCTGGATTAATTAAATTGTATTTGTTATTGTCTTTTATTGAATCTAGGAAGAGCTTCAAACAAATTTTACTAGTCTTAGAATAGATATATAATTATTTTTTACGCCACACTACACTATTTTGACGAACTTCACATGCAAGGATTTAGTCCAAAAAACAGCTGTTTGTCGCCAGCGTAATCAAATGGGGTTTCATACAGTAGGCCTACTACTGTACTGTAATGAGTTTTACGCCACACTACATTATTTTGATGAACTTCCCACGCAAGGATTTAGTCCAGAAAACAGCTGTTTGCCACCAGCTTATTCAATTGGGGTTTCATTGCGTACTACTGTACTGTAATGAGTTTTGCCGGACACCAATCAGCTGATTATACTGTATTTAGGTGGCAATGAATGGTTATAAACAAAAACATAACCTCTCTTGGAGGTTTTGACTAGTGATTTTTAGTCCTTTAGTTGGTGGAAATATATATCCACACTATTCTGTATTCATGTATGTATATACAATATGAATAAAGAATTTTTGATTTGATTTGATATAAGTATTCGTACAGATTTAGTAGTATGGCGTAAACTATCGTACGTAACTCGTCCAAAATGTGTATACCGGACTCGTATGGTAATCCCGTACTCGACTTTGTCTCGCACGGGAACGACCACACTCGTCCGGTAAACACTTATTTTAATAGTGATTATTCCATAAAACCCTATAAAATAATGATGAATAAAATTTTCTCAGAATTGGCCCGAACGATTTTGATTAGAAATTAACATGTTATACTCTTTGACTATGACAAAAATTGTATAAACCCTCTATGCCGTAAAAATTATGGTTCAAAAGTTATTGCAACTTTTGTGATTTTCCCTTTTAAAACCTATTAATTAATGGAAACTCGGATAAAAAAAACTACATGGCCAATTTTGATTAAAATTGTGTGCATGTTAAAAATCCAACTCATTTAAATTAAAACTAAACTAACAAATAGTTTGCTAATAGAGTTTTAAAGCAAAATTGTCCATTTAAATTGGGTTAAAAGTTTGATTTAAACTCTTAAATTCCCATAAATTTAAAGAACTGTCGGGGGCACCCCTTCCCTCCCCGCATTATAAACATAACTATGGGTTAGCCCCAGACCTTCCGGCATGGGTTAAACAACGAATTTGGGGGGGATTCTGCGACGTGAGCTTTGGGGGGGATGGGCACCCCTGCTTACACCCCCCGGTTGCTCCAATTGCTGATGAAATTGTATAACGAAACAAGGAAGTAGAGACAAACATATATATTTCTTTATTAAAAAACATGATAAAACTGTTACAGATTATTTTCAAAGAAATCAATTCATGGTAGTTTGTGTCGTGAAAAATATTTTATTTAATCTTAAGAAATATGTTTTTTGAAACTCCATCTAACTTAAGAAAAAAGTCATTTTACTGTTATAAAACTTTCCTAAAATTATAAAACATTTAGGCATAACCTCTTTGTTGACTTACTTGCTGATGCCGAACCAGATGATTAGTATTGTTACTAAATGACAAAAAGGACAATAGGAAACTAAAAGAACAAGATACAGATCCGTACAATATATCAGATATTTCTTTTCTTTATTTATTATTATTTAAAATACTTAAGTATATTTTTAATTAGGTATGGTAATAATTAAACTAGTACCGCTGGATAAATAGTCTTTCTTTTGACTTAGTTTTCTTTGCACTGTTACATCACAGCTTTTGACAGTAGATTACTGGCTATGGCCAGTGGCAGTGCTGAATTGCTCTGCTGTGTCTTTATTCTTAAACGTGAGAAAACTTAATATTTAATTTTCATTTGAACGCTTTAATTCCTCTGCAATAATAGATATAATATAAGAGTGTTTCTTTGAAAATAAATTATTATTCGTTTTTTGGCCAGAATAAATCTCTGACCCTTACTTCGGTCTCTCGGGCCTTCCGCTGGCCCGACCCGACCCAAAAAATTTGGGGACCCGCAGACCCCTACTGAAGATAATAGATATTGAAATGCCCAACAGTTCCAGGATAGTCAAAGGTTCTCCTGAATTTGCGTTCTCTAATCAGATACAGGCAATTTTTTTTCCATGACTGATACAATTCTTAACTTCCGATCCTTAAGCTGGGTTTTCCTAGGCGCGTAAGTGGAGAGCGGAGAGAGGAACGCTGAGAGCGGACTCCACTTGTCTTAGGCAATTTAATGTTATTGTTTTCCTAGAAGCAGAGCGGAACACCATGTTAATCTCTTTTCTGCTCTCCGCCTCCGCGCCTAGGAAAACTTAGCTTTAAAGGGTATGAAGGTTGAATTGATAGATAGTCAATAGTACCGGTATTTAACTATTTGAAGTACTAAATAAGAAACACACTTGTAACTTAAAATGATAGGTAGACGATTGCAATTTGACAGGGGGCAACTAAAGGATAAAAGTATTAATATACTATTAAATTCGTAGCACAGGATTAATGCACTGACATTCTACAGTAGACTTAATAAGATCTTTAAAATTATTCCATCGAAAAGGTTTCAAGTTTACACTTTTTTTAAATGAACAATGGCTTAAACATACAGCAACCATTAGCTTAACTCAGCATCGTCGAACTTTTAGTATGGAGTAAACAGCAAGCCATTCCACTACATAATCAATCTGTCAAATAAAAAAAAACTGTAAAAATCCACTGATACAATATAAAAAGCAATTGTTTTAAAAACTACACTTTAACCATACTCAAAGGTAAAAATGAAACAAACTATAAAGACAAATTAAGCTCTCACTCTGAAGCAAATAGGCCTACATTAACAATTATTTTACCTGTGAGTAGTTGTTAGACAAGGAGGAGTGTTGCCAATCAGTAAGAGTGTCTGCTGGTTTAACTATTGCCAAGTTGTCTTCCGAGTCTTGGATCTCGTCTTTCCTGTCTGAAGACTCGAACACAATGCTGTCAGAACTGTCTTGTATCTCTGTGCTACATCATACAACAATTCCCAAGTTAGAACTTAAATAAAGAATAAATAAATACAAAAATCCATGATATAATTGGAGATCCCAAAAATGGCGTGTTGTTGGTTCAGTCAGCAACGGAACAAACATTAAACAATGAAGTTTTGACCCCAAAACTAAAGATAATTTTATGGAGTAACATGGCAATAAGTCTCATACTAAACGATTGCTCTTTACTTACTTCTTGTGTATAAAAAAGTTTGACTAAAATTAATTAAAGAACGGTTTTTGCTTTATACCTACAGAAACAATGTTTTTTAAGATATTTTTTTACCTAATACTGCAATCTGCCGGAACTGTGTGGATCAAGCAACCAAGGTTATTGAGACCTGCTGCTGAATGTGTCATTCAACTTACTTTTAAAGAATGAGTATTTAGTATGGTACTGATACCATGAACCAAGAATGTTGGGTAAGAACTGGTACTAAAACAGACATTGAAAAAGTGGTATTGACACATCACCAAAAATATTTACAGGCAGAACCTGTAACTAAACAACGATAATGCACGTTGGAAGATGTTATAGGTCCCCCAACATTGGTTGGGGAAAGTTGGATTGTATATTTGGAAACTGACATTACGAGTACTGCTTAGTTATGTAATATTTTTAATTGGACCAAGTTAATTATTCCTCAAACCTGTTGGCCCTCATTATCCCCCTCTGGCTGTACTACTGAACTAAAACATGTTTCATGTACAATATAACTTGTCTAATGTGTAGTCCAATTTAGCCTCAGCTCCCCATGCACCAACAAGCCTCAACTCTTGACCGGCTCTTTGAGGTTATCTAATCCCCTTCCCTGCTCCGTATTGGGTGACACAGACAGCACTGTGACACGTGAAACTGTTTGTTTTATTAAAACAGTTCAATACATACATTTTGCTTTAATATGTTTGACAACACATAGATATAGCCTAAAAAGTAGATAAGACACACAACCACTCACCTTGGATCTACAATGCAGCTACTGACATCATGGAAGAAGTGTTTCTTTCTTTGCGCCGGGTCTATAGGCTCCAACCAGGCAGCTTTGTAGGCTACAATGTTGGGGTGGTTCAGTCGAGCCAACATTTTCACTTCAGCCAAACTCTTTAGGAATGCAGCTGCGTTGTTGTACCTGAAAATACAAATGAATTACATGTTTGAACATTGAACTGTAGTGTACGGTACAATAAAATCCCGCTTTTTTGGCATAATTGATAATCCAGCATGGGTCAGAGGTTTTTTAACACCCAATAAACCTGTGACCAAATTCGGAAGCATTCTGTAGACTGCGGCAATTTTTTTTCGTTGAGGTCACATGGACTTGGAAATGGCCTTTTGATTCTTTTTAGCTGTACTTTCACTGTCCTAGCAATATCAAAAGTTTGTAGGCAGCACTTAATAATCCAGCACTTCTGAAATAATGAATATATCAGAGTAGGGATTGTCTACTATACAACTAAAAATTCAATTTAACCTATAAAATGTAAAATAAATAATGTATTTAACAAACTGGATACATGTGTGATGTTTTAGGAGAAAACTTTCAACCAATAACATGTAGATTTCACTGGAAATAAATGTTTGCAAACTTAAATAGTGGATTTATTTCATTTAGTAGTTAAAGATCATATCAGTTTGTTGGTGTGAATACAGTTTAGTTAAACCCAAGAAACGTGTTGTTGTCAAACTCAGTATTTGATCGATGTCAGTTGCATAACTCTGGAGAACACTTCAGTTAAATAGTAATGTAGAGAAATGTTGCAAGACTGTTTTTGTACAAAGTATATTATTTCTTAACCAGTCTTTTCAAGAATTACTTTATGAACCAATTCAAGTTGCCTCAATAAAAATTAACAACATTTTACTTGTTTAATTTATGGGTTAAATAAATTGATAGCATACGAAGGGCCACAAGAATTTGATTTTACTATCTAGGAAACCAATCTTACAACTGAACCATCTTGAAATACAAATGCAATACTTAATTTATAACAACCATGGTGGAAGTAAGACAGGTGTGCTACTGCGTAATTTAGGTGTATAGTTACGTCACCTTGGGGGCAAACAGCCTCGCGACCATATCGAACAGTGACGCTACTCTAATAAAATTGTAATTTTAAATAGTTAGAACCGAGAAAAAATCCTGAAACTTAGCATAGTCATGGACTATTAACATAGGATGCTTATGATTTAAATGTTATTAATTTATTTAAATTAAAACCACTAAACCACCGAACAAACTAAAAATATTTCATACTAACACGAAAAAGTTAGTCGGCTACCAAATCACGTATTATTCGGTCAGGTTTGTCACACCTACGGGAATTTTTTAGGGAAATGTTGTAATTTAACTTTAGTATTATTATTAGTATATAGATTAGATTACGATTAAAGAATTACTTTCTTAGCTAAGAATAATTATATCAAGTGGCAACTGGCAACGGACCTCGCGCTCAGCAGAGGCCGCCTTTTATTGGATAAAAAGGCCACACATTTATTATAAAATACACTGTAGCTATACGTTATAAGGATGATATACAGTACTTTGTACTCTACATTTTTTCACGCATAAACTACTGGACGGATTGGGCTGAAATTTGGCATGATGATAGCTCAACATTCCCGATTAACATATAGGCATATTCTTATCTCAAAGGTGCAGCACTATAATTTTTTAGTATTTATAAAAAACAGCTAATTTTAACTTAGCAGTAACAAAAAACTGTGATTTGCAATGGGAACTGTCAAAGTAGGATTGTTTACAATTATGTTTGTTTTTAATTTCATGAACAATTTTTGATATTTTGTGAATTTTTTATTCATTTTTTTTCTATTGTTTAGGTGAAGTGGTGGAACATATGGCTATGGTAGGTGTATAATACTATTTATCAAAATGTGTCCTCCTCCATTGCAAACGCAAAGCTTGAGTATAACTGCAATAAGCATTTTAAGCTAACCATTACATGCTAACCCCGTACGAAGGACGGGTACTCTGCTAGTAAAAATATAAATACATGAATAAAAATATCACCACTACTATATTCATAAAACTACATTAGGCCTATTTGTTAGATGGCAATGTGTGATTAATACATGGCAACTGACTAGAGTCGCAGCGCACGCTCCAATCACACGCTCATCGCCTCTAACGGTATATAGTTAAATTTGAATATTTGTCTAAAACTTTCCCGCTGGTCAGATGATTCTAACCAAATAGTACGTGATTTGGTAGCCGACTAACTTTTTCATGTTTAGTTTTAAGAAAGGCCAAGTATAAAGAGTGATTTCATGGTAAGTTATTATTCATTCATTTTTATATCCATTATTTATTATTTATTTACAGACTATTTTTTTCACAACACGCGTCTTCCACTTACAATTTATGTCCATGTTATGTTTTACAATTTGTTCCCAATTCTAACTGTTCAAAATGTTGATGTTAATCGAGCAGTGGCACTGAGTTATATAAGCGCGCGAGGCGGTTTGCCCCCAAAGTGACGTCACGTCGCAATGCGCAGAACAGTCTCAAACTCGTACAGCTGAATAGCACCTGTCTTACTTCCACCATGATGAAAACGCACCTTAGATATATTTTCTTTACAGCATACAATTCACAGTCCAACTTATGACGAGCTCTGAAGACTTGGCCAAAGCCACCGCGAGCAATGAAATCCATCTCCTCGTATTCTGTTGAGTATCTGGACCACTCAAGATGAATGGCATCTGACTTTGACTTTAGACACACTTGCTGGCTGGAACATTAAAATAAATCTTGGAATAGGTTTAATGTTACTTAGTTACAACTTATAACAGCTTAGAGCTGAGTATCTGAGGGGTTATAACGCTTGCCCGGTTATCAATAGGTTGCCGATTCAATCCTGAGAAAGTCAGATTTTATTTATAGTTAGATAGTGGATCCAGCTGCTCTTGAACTTTTATGATGCCCCCTGGCTAAAGAAACACCTGGTCTAAATCAGTATTAAAGCTACACCAGGATCTATTATCTTCAAGGAATAAATTATTTCTCTACTGTAAAAATTGCTGAAATAGCTTTGAAAAATACAATGCTAATTAGTAAAAAATTTCATTACTAAAAAATTTTGTAGCAACTAATACATCTTTTCAGAAGTCAGCCCACAAATGCAAGAGTTGCTTGTGTGTTCTTTAAGTTGGAATTAAAAATTAGGACCACTTTGATCCAAAAATCATCCAGGCTAAAAAAAATAAAACTGATTTTTTCCACACAAGGCTCTATTATTTAGTTAAATTACAATTAAAGTATGCAACATTGTGGCACCGTCTTTTTAAATGGTATAAGCTCTATACCAATTTGTAAAGAACCAGCTTGCTACTGGTTTAAAAACTCACGTAACAATGTAAGTCTACACACTTGGGCTTGGAGATGACTGCTTTCTTGTCCATAGTCTTGTTTGCACACTTGGCCGCACAGACCATCTGATACAAGGCCTTTTGATAGTAGCTCCTCATCGATTCAAACTCGTCCATCTCGTAAGTCTCATCAATCAACTTCATCTGGTGCAGCTTCTTGCAGATCTCTGCAAAACCAATGATTTAAATTATAATCAAGAGAACACTGTCGCTGTATCTGTTAGTTGCGTTGAAATGTTTACCTACAGTGGATCACGAACCTGGCCAATACATGAGCCTACTTACATCCTTAAAATGTTCTCATGCTACGCTCAAGGATACCGTATACAATTTAAAATAGAGCTTTTGGAGGTAAATATTATTGGGCTCTATGGCTAAAAAGAGAAAATTTTATTGAAATTTGCACTTTTATAATTTAATGTGTCTATAAAGCCCCATAGACTTGTTCAATTCAGATTGTCAATTTGATACCAACAAGTTGATTTGACGAGCTGTATTGACTGTGTGTATGCAAGTTTATTCAAACAATTTGTGTTCAAGCCAGAAATTTGAGTGTATGTGTGAGGCTATCAATTGAGCTCCTCAAATCCGCTGCTATGAGAATTATCACTATCCTTCCGAAATGACTAGCCGAATTGAATGTGGTTTTAAAATTTGATAGTTCATCATTTTACACAGTTGATTGTTGATTTGAACTAAACATAAGAGCATTAATAAAACTATGAGGAACATTGGATTTTTTTTATTACTGGTCAATATGTAACGGTTTTATATTATATACCTACAGTAGAACTAAAGAGCCACATTATTCTCTTCTGTAACCTCATCCTGTTGCAAAGCATGGGTAAAGCAACTAAGGTGTTTTTTATTTTACGGGAAATTCATTATGATGATATCTGTAAGTTATATCTACATTGTAAATATTTTGTACATACTTTGTTTACCAGGCTCTAGCCCGGGATTGTTTTTCACTTTACTTTAGGCTAGGCTAAGAAGTAGTGTTTTCAATTAAATAGGATCCACTGGTGATTGGCAGGATTTGAACCCCAGAACTCAGGGACCCTGCTCTACCCCAAGAGTAGTCTAGTCATTACATTGCTGATTCAATTATAAACAAATGTAATAATCTTTACTATAGAATAAAGAATGCTTCATAAGTGCCGAAAACAATAAGTTGAAAACTTTTGATATTTAGTACGGTATCCGACTCTTCTTACATTGGTATTGGTGTTACAATTAACAACTTCACATAGAGAACTATCACATTTTAAAGGAAAATAAACATGATAGCAACAACAACATAGACCTCCAATGTTTTTATCACACAAAGGAAGTGGTAGATAAAGCCAGTGCTGAGTGAATATGTTGCAACATTTGAATCTTATGAGGCTGCAAAAATATGTTCCAATCTCATGTTTAACTAGGTCTATGTTTATAGTTATAAATTTTATTCATAGGCCTACATCAAAATCTAGGTTTATAATTGAATCATTGATTGTTTCTAATGGTGGAAGATCAGGTTATCTGAAGAGGTCAATCCTGTGGTAAAATATGTGTAGAATTCAAACACATGAGTTTAAGATCATTTTGAAAATTTAATTTAAGGCCTTTAGATAAGAGAGACAATTACAAAAAAAGATCAATTTCAAAATAAAAACTCTCTAGTGGTAAGGATGAAGTTTTGATAACAGTAATTAAAGCTGTAAAAACAAACATAAGGAAATCGCTCGATGCCACCTCATAAATTCCTATTTTGTTTCAAGTATCTCCAAATCAATTAAAACAGGCCAAAGTAGTCTTTATACGAGGCATGTTTTTTAAGTAAGTACCGTTTTTAAATTTCTCTGTTCCAGCACTGCGATTGGCATGTTCGACATTTGCGCTGTGTATGGGCATCTATTGGTAATACCTAGCCGGAAATTCGAGAACAATCGGCCGTGTTTACGTCTGGTTTCGAGCATTCAAAATGGTGCTGCCAATTGAGACTGCCGCCGACTGTGAAGTGTGCGTTGTAATTAGATTTTTAAGTGTGAAAGCCATTGAAAATCATCGATAAGGTGGTCATGGATAAGGGCATTTAAATACGGCCCCAGCAACGTTCATGATGAGTAACGCACTGGGCGGCGTCATTACTGTCCCCGTACCCAGTGCGTTGCTCATCATGAACGTTGGTGGGGCCGTCTTAAAATGTCCTAACCTACTTGCGTACCATTCCGTCACTCATCGTCATTGTCTCTCACGGTCACAGAAAAACCGACGCAGTAACGGAACATCATCGTCTTCTGCGATCTCGGCAAAATTCTGATCATTTCCCGCGGCTGTGTGGACATCGTCATCGTCTCCCGCTGTCACGGAAAAACCCTGAAGAGCCCCTGTGGTTACGGAGCCTCAGCATCGTCTTCCACGATCGCAGAAAAAATGTTGTTCATTTCCCGCGGCTGTGCTGACATTGTCTTTTTCTCACAATGTCACAGCAAAAACCTCCATAACCTCTGCGACAACGGGACGTCATCATCGTCCTCCACAATTGTGGCAAAATTTTGATCATTTCCTGCGGTTATTTAAACATTGTCATTGTCTCCCGCGGTCATGGAACCCCCTTAAATAACCCCCGAGTTCTGTTACCATCATCATCGTCTTTGCGGCAAAATCAACAACATGTCTTGCGGTCGTGTAGACATAATTGTTGACTTCCGCAATCAAGGCTGAACTCTGAGCGTCTCCCACTGCCATGTATCTTCTCCCATTGTCACGGAAACGTAATCGTTGTCTTGCATGACTGCGGCATTAGCAGTAATTTTCGATCGTGTAGATCTTCGGAGACGAGTCGGGAATTCGTAACAGAATTGACTTTAGGCGGTCAATTCTCGATTCCGATTCCAAAGCTGAGAATTAGTAGTAGGGGTGTGCGATGCATCGAAAATGCATCGAAATTTCGATTCGATTCGATTTGATGCATCGAATCGCGATTCGATTCAGTGGTGGTCAAAAAACGATTCGATTCATGAGGGAGTCAGTATCCATATACGAAAACGCCTGCAGAAAGTCAATGCAATACCCGCAATACAGGAGCGCGTTGCTGTTGCGTTTCCTTTACGAAGGCGTTCTTATTTAATACATTCTTTGCATTAAATAGAGCTTTAATTGTTTTATATTATTTTTTGTTTTGACATTGCAAATGATGAGAGGTTTTGTTTTTTGTCTTAATGTAAGCAGTGTGAGAAATATTTTACTACTGTAAACCTAGCCAAAACAAGATATGTTACTCCAAAATCATTTTAAAAATAAGTCTGAAAAATTGTTACTTAATACTTAACTAGTAAGATTAATGTTATAGACTGATACATTTGGTATTTTTGTTAGGGGTCTGTTCGGGCAAACGAAAAAAAAAGAATAATTTATTTCCAAAGAAACACTTATATTATTATATCTATTATTACAGAGGAATTAAAATGTTCAAATGAGAATTAAAGATTAAGTTGGCTCACGACCTTTAAGAATAAAAACACAACAGAGCAATTGCCGCACTGCCACTAGCCAGAGCCAGTCTAGTCGTCTACTGACAAGAGTGACAAGACAAAAGCCGTGACGCAACACTAATAGTGCAAAGAAAACAAATTCAAAAGAATAGAAAGACTATTTATTCAGACATACTAGTTTAATCATTTATTGTTTATTCCATACCTAATTAAAAATATATTTTAGTATTTTACATAATAAATTATAAACAAAAGAAATATCTGATATAGTGAACAGATCTGTATCTTGGTTGGATGGGGTTAAAAAAATTTACAACTCACAAATTACAATGAATTAATTTCTTTGAAAATGATCTGTAACAGTTTTGTGTTTTTGAATAAAGAAATATATTTTTTTGTCTCTACTTCCTTGTTTCATCACTTGCATTTTGTCAGCAATTGAAGCAACTGGGTAGCAACCGGGTGGTTTAAGAGGGGAGGGGGAGGGCCTATGACCTTGAATGCACACATCGTTGCCGGGCCTGGCTGGTGAGAGTGATTCATTGTTTTTGTTGACATACTACTATATTCATTGCTACTACCCTTCCTTCAGAGAAAAAGACCCTGCTGTTCCAAAAACATTGAGGGTAGTTTAAAAACATTGACCTGTGTTGCCAAGGGCACTAGAAGTTAGCATTTAACTTTCTTATCTCTTGATTTAATATTATTTTAATCTTCTATATATTATTTAAGAGTTACTTTTCAGGTAATTAGGTACCCGAAAAGTAACTCTTAAATAATATATAGATGTAATATTGTGATATTGTTTGGCTTTATTTTATGGATTTTTAATTCTTTTCAAAATCAAAATCAGTTGTTTTAGGATTTTAATCTCTTGCAGTAGGTCTATACTACTATATGACATGATATGCATTTTTTACATTCCTTAATAATTATACCATAAACAATGTTTGTGTGTTATTTACTGTTTTTGAGTTTTATAGTAAATTAGTTTACACAATATCTTTTCTTCAATGAGTTCTCCACTTGTCATGTTGCTTAGCCTATTACTATTTTAGGCCCTATAAAAAATAATGCCTATGTAAAGCTGTAGGCCTACTGATGCCAATAATAGATAGTTCTTTATTTATGATGATGTAACAAATAATGTAAGTGTGAGGTTATTATACTAAGGAGGTTAGGAGGCAGGGAATGAATGATACATATTGCATGGTGGAAACATATTATTTTTATTTTCTTCTTACTTGCAGTCCTGAAGCCGGTCCTCAGGCTCTAAACTTGTGATATGTAAATTTATTTCTTAATGGTCTTTTTATATTAAGTTCCATTCAAATTTGTTGTAATTTAGCTACCGGTACCTATTTAGTTATTTAAACAGTTATTAAAATGAGAATGAATGTCTTGATAAAAAAATATTTTCTTCTTTCTTGCAGTTGAGCCAATTCCAAGTAAAAATTATGAAATAGGCAAGTAAAGCAGCTCACTGGTATTTCCAGCAATACAGGTTATTCTAATCCCTATGATTGAAAATAAATATTTTTTCACATAAAATTCATATGTTAAGTATGAATAGGCCTAATACCACATCAACAAAAATTTGTATTACACAAATGTGGTAAATTTTAATTATTGTTAATCCACTCAATTGACAATTATGAATAGAAAAATACCGTATCGCTTCGAATCGAGTTGCATCGAATCGAATCGAAAATCTTTTGAATCGAATCGTTGCTTCGAATCGAAAATTTTTTGCTGCTTCGCACACCCCTATAGTAGAATCAAGAATCGACTTTTGGAATCGAGTCTAGGGGAAGGGATTCTATTTTAAACACAAATAAAACCAATGTTGTAAATTTCAGCAATCCCCAAAATTGAAGAGTAAAAGACCCATTAATAACGTCAGGGACGTAATTAGAATCGATATGGCCCCAGCGGGTCACACCGGAGAGGACCCTCTCGGCTGATTAACTAAAATATGTTAACTAAATTTGTAAATCCAAATTTAGCTAAAATAAAATAAAATCGTTGTCCTCCTCTATAATGTAAAAAGAAGCTAATCATGTGTTGTGTGCAAACCCTATTAAACTCAAATGCCGTCAACTTCCACCCAAGACATATCAGCCACTATCAGTGTAGCGTAGCTACTACCATGCCACCGTTGATGGAACGTGAAAAGTGCAGCTATAAGCACACTAGCATTGCATATGAGATTCAATAAACTAATTTGAGCTATACTCAAGCTTAGCAGGTTTTAAAGTGTACAAAAATCAAGATTTTTGACTATGACTAAGACTTTAGCTTTTATCGCAAGAATAAAAAGAATAAATTAACAAGAAATTCTTGTGTTGAACTTTTTGTACGATAGGCCTACACTTTAATCAATGTTCTCACTACTCACTCAAGTACAGTTGTTTTTGATGCCTGGGATTCTTCTCTGCAAGTTTGCAGAGTTGTCCAATGAGTGACTCAACGAGGAGACTCGATGGATTGAACTGTTGTATGCCATCTCCGGCGTCCAAGGTTGTAGGGCTGGGCACACCTGTCACACTCATATTACTACAGTATCCAACACAACCAGACAATTTATCTTTCACTACTTCAAGTTTGAAGATGTCTTTAGACATCATAAGACAGCCTAAGTAGCCTTATAAGTATTACCTAGTTTAGCAGCACAGCATGCTCATAGAGTGGGTCTTGTCATAACATAAAAACTTTCCAGACCTTTGCCGTCCCAAGACCACCTTTCTTTAAATTACATAATGGTACAGTATATGTAAATTTCATAAAACTGTCATTAACTTGCATAACGCCAGTTCAAGCTTGTGTGCGACAAAAGTTTTATATGACAATCTTATTAGTTGTTGACATAGCAGGCCTACTAATTAAAAAGTTAAAATACTTGGGAAAAATAAACTATACCGTAAGTTAGATACTGTAGCAAATAAATTAAATTGATTTTTTATTGAACTTATTTCAAGCTGAATACAAAAGTTGCTGGTAATTTATGATCATAAGAGACTAGATCACTTGAAAAAGAAATATTGTATTAAGTTAGCTTAATTCTCATTACTTGACCTTACAGCCTGTCCCTGCTCCTCTAATATAGACAGCATTGGACATTGGAGCTGTTGTCTGTCTGGTTCAAATTGTCTGCCGCTCAGTTTAAAATTATTTTAAATAACCATTTCCTCAATCATTTTTAGCAGCCATTTTGTTATTAATGGTCCGATTTCTATTTTCTTTATGTTATTTGTTATGTTTCGTCAAGACCTGTAAAATTATACCAAACTCGACTATACTTGCTGTTTGAAAATTTTGAGCTACCCCCTACCCCCGCTACCCCTAAGGGCAAAATTTTTAAACGGACCATAATTATTGTAGCCCTTTGTATCCAAACAAGTTGCCGCAAACTGATTTCAAATATCTCAAATAGTTAAAAAGTTAAAGAGGGTGCAAGTTAATTTTTTTGCCACCCACATGGTTATTTGGATTTGAAACGTTTTAGGGCGCCATTTTGTTATTACTGAGCCGATTTTGGTTTTATTTATGTCAATGTTTATGTTTCGTCAAGACCTGTAAAATGATACAAAACTCGACTATACTTGTCATTTGAAAAGTTTGAGCTACCCCCGCTACAACCCCTAAGGGCAAAATTTTCAAAACTGACCATAATTATTGTAGCCCTCATATCTAAGAAGGTTGCCACAAACCGATTTCAAATATCTCAAATGGTTTAAAAGTTAAGGGGGGGGTGCAAGTTACTTTTCAACCACCCTGTATATTTATATAGGCCTATATATATATCTACAGGTTTGCTGCAGCGAGGGTTTGTATTATAGATATATGTTTATAACAAACAGTGTGTGTAACAAAAAACACTATTTTAAGGTGATTGTGTTTTGAAACAGTAGTTTACGCAACGATCGCTTAAAGATGGCGTTAATGACACAAGTAGAAATTTATAGTCTAAATTTAAGTAGAGCCTTTTTGGCGAGTGCCTTAAAAACTTCTGCGAGTGTCGTTTAATTACTATTTAATTACTACTCGTAACTTCTACGAGAGGTTATGTTTACGGTTATAACCTCTCAGTGCCACTAACATTTGAATTTGACAGTAGTCAGCAGAGCAAACGAGTACGAGAGAGCAGAGGAGTGCGGAAAGCGGCAGACAATGGTACTAACTAATTTGTCTGCCACTCAGAGAGAAAAGTGAGGAGCAAGGACAGACTGTAAGGTCAAGTTTTAAGATTTAAGCCTAAGACTGCTTTAAAAGGCTAAGCTAAACTTAAGATCAATCAAGCCTTATTTATAGGAGGTTATTTGAAATGTAAAATTACCATTGTCAAACGATGACACTGTTTGCAAACCAGACCACCAATCTGAATCTTCGTCTCTCATTTTGGGAGAGAGCTTTGTCGTAACATAAGGCTATGTACAGCAGGTATTCTTCTCCACTGGCTAAAAATAGTTATAAATTGGTTAACTGTTGAAATAAACTTGGCAATTTATTTTATAAAAGGTTCATAACTTATTAACTTTGAGAATATGACAAAGGTTGAATGTATCTTCACCAATGAAAAAATTTATTATATGTCTACTAACAGGATTTTTCACACTGAATCCAAAAATACTGCTACCGCAGGAAACTTAATAACCAGTAACATAAGGTACCGGTAACTCATGTAGGCTAGGTAGGCCTAAATTGCGACTGTCCAAAACCCTGTATCTTCCACTGGCGCCGTGTCTCGTGAATCAGCGTCTGGTCACATTTCTTTAAATGTATTTTCTTGTGTGTTGTATCCATAACTTATGTATTTTCCGTTTATTTATTTCTCCTTGAGGGATTAGCAAGACATTCTTGAGTGGTTAAAAAAAACACGAAACAGCTCAAACTCAAATATCTTTAGGCATATTTTTAACAGTAGAAATTGCATAGGTCTACCCTAATTGTCAAACTAGTAAAACAACAGATTTTTATAGACAAAATATACAACTAAAATCATTGTTAAGTACTGTAAGAATAAATAACTATAGGTTTCTTATAAAGCCTTCTACACTGTAGAAAGATTGCAATAAAACTAGAGAACTAACTCCTTTACCAAATTTGTCCTCATTGGATTCCACTTCAGGGGAGCGGGCATTGCAATAAACAGCTTAATTCCATTATAAATAAATGGTTAAAAAAAAGCAGTGTTGTGTCTTGGGATGTCTAGCCTATACTGAAACAGCTTTGAGAGTGAGACGGATTTGGGAAAAGGTCAACATTTTTCTCAACGAATTGGAGCCAGTTAATCCTACGGTAAATGGACGGAAAAGTAAGAGTTTGATTGTTAGTAAAAAGTCTTTTACAGGAAAATTCACGGTGCTTCTTAAAAGCTGTTCTGATAGCTTTCTTTTGCAATTTAAATTATCTTTTGGAATTTTGACCCTCATGTCCCCAAATTGCACCTGCATATGATAGCCTAGATAAGGAAAAACCAATCTGTAGTAAGCCATCAGTAGTAGCCTACTTATGTGTCCAAAAAAAGGTTGCCAAATTTCTTAATAGGAATATAACTTATTAAGTTAGAGCTCAATTTTTTACAAAAAGAATCTACATAAAGTGTGAATTTCAATTAGCCTAAGTTAGTTATTGATGTGGACATGCGTCTTAGTTTAGGAACTTAGTTTCTGAAGAGGACGGAATGAAATGATTGTTGTTTATGGAAACACCCAGTGGTGCTGTGTTATTTTTTGTTTCTAACATGAAACTCAATCCTTTGAGTTTTAGTACCGTTGACAAAAAGGTTATGCAGTAGAACCAATGCAATATTGAACTGACCTGCCCAATTGCTTTTGCCTTGAGGGCTCGCACTGCTGCTGCAGATAAGGACAATGAAGTATCATTGGGGAACAAACATGCCCTGCCCTCAGACTCAGGCACATAACTTGGCAGGTCATTGATAAAAAGGACGAATAAGACTGGACCAAGCACCAAGTGCACCAAGTTACTTTATCAAGATGGCTCCGCCAAGAAACAAGTCACTAAAATGTGGCTCATGTAACAAAATCATTAATTTAAAATCTGACAAAATCCAATGTAGTGGTGAATGTAAATATATGTTTCATTTAAATTGTACCAGTTTATCAAAATCAAACATAGTGGGAAATTGTTCTCAAATTGATTGGAAGTGTGATATATGCTCCGTCGCTGAAAGTAACGTGAGTAACAACACAGACAATTTGGTAGCTTACGACACCAACTCAATTGTCAACCATATCTGCCCTTGTTCAGAGAAAATTGAATATTTGATATCAAAAATCAATGAACTATCTCAAAACAACTCAGAAATTAAAGCAGAAATTTCCGAAATTAAAATAGAAAATGTAAGGTTAAAAACTGCTTTGTCTAATCAGGCAGAGGCTGTCAGTGATCTTATGTTAAAAGATAGTAACACTTTTGCAAGTGTTTTGAGAAATAAATCTAAAATGATTGCTAATAGTGAAAAATTTATAGACTCATCTAAATCTTCAAATGACAACTCAAAGAATATTATTCACAATCATAAAGACAATTCTAATTATAATCTTAGTAGTTGTCATCAGTCTGTCAATAATTCGACTACTTTGCTCGTGTCGTCTGCCGCCAAAAGTTCTGCTAGTTTTCCTGCGACGTCTGCTCCTGTAGTAGACAAGCGAAACAGCGAAACTGTTACGCCTGCCAAACAAAAAACATCAGTGAAGAGGAATGGTGGAAAACGTCAAACTGAACTGTCAAAACCGTATAAACATAACCCTAACCTACCAACTACAACAAGTACAAGTGCAGTTAACACTAATGGTCTTAAGAAGGTGTACAAACAAATACAAAGTTCTGGAAAACAACATTTTAATAACGAAAATTCTATTACAGGTTCTGCCAATACTAGCAACAAACTAAAAACTGTCAACAAATACAGGTATTTATTTATCTCAAGGCTGGCTACAGACGTTGACTGTGACACAGTTAATAAATATATAAGTGATGAAATTAGTGGTGATTATAAAGTCACACAAATGAGGAACAGATTCCCAGGCTATCGAACATTTAAGGTAGGGGTTCCTGCTCACTTGTGGGACAAAATATATTTGCCTGAGTTCTGGCCTACTGGGGCATATATAAATGCCTTCAGGTTTGCTAAAAAAGCAACAAGCACTGTTAAGCACCAGGAAAATTTTTTAGAAACTCCCCCCGACTCTGTAGATTTAACGTAGAGTCTGAAGTGTCAGATAACTCTGACACACAACTCTCTTCGCATAACAAAGCGATTGGGAACTCCTCTAACATTTGCTTGCCCCAGTCATCTAATAAAACACTATCTAGGTCAGCTAAAAAATTAAACATCCTCCTGTGGAATATTCAATCTATTACCAACAAACTAGATTATCTACGATTGCTTGGGTATGACAGTAGTGTGGATGTGATTTGTTTGACTGAACACTGGGTCTCGCAAAATGATATTAATAGCTTAAGCCTAAGAGGCTACTTAGTTGCAACGTCTTTTGCTAGATCAATGTCTAAACATGGTGGGTCTGCTATACTTGTAAAAGAGAACCTAGACTTTATAATTTACGATAAGTTAAATTTGAGTATATTAGTGGAAGAACTCACGTTTGAAGCCTCAGCGGTGTACATCGTTAAGTACAAAACAGTGATTGTAAACTTCTACAGACCACCCTCAGGTAATGTTTCTTTATTTCTGGATAAACTGCATGATGTATTCTCAACTATGCATGGTGTGAAACTTGACTTCTTTTGCACAGGTGATTTTAACATAGACTTCCTGTCTGACAGCATTGAAGTCCGGGAACTTAAAAACCTAATATCTAGTTTTGGTCTTCACACTGCAATTAATGAAATCACTAGGCCTAATGTTGCAGCTGGAAGTGTAAACAAAGGTACCTGCTTGGACAATATTGTGACCTCAGTACACCCAGATAGATGGGAAGCCTCAGTTATACACACTCCTGTCTCAGATCATAATGCGGCCTTTCTGTCAATGAACATTGAGTCATATTCTAAATCTAATCCAATTTCTTTACCGAGAAAAGTTACTAGGAAATTAAATCCTCAGAATTCTTTAACATTTTTATCTAACCTTGGCCAGTTGAATTGGTTTGAACTGTATGACCATAGCCTAGACTTAAATGCTAAATTCAAAGTGTTTTTCGACAAACTGTTGTGGGCCTTAAATAGTTCGATTCCTTTGAAAACTGTCGGTTCTAACAACAAACCTAACAAAAGGTGGTATCATCAAGGACTTGTAAAAATGAAAAATGAGCTGGACCGGCTATATTTTTTGTTTTGTAATGCAGGGACTGCTGAAATTAAAACTAAGTACAACTCATTAAAGTTGCAGTACCGCAAAGAAATCAAGAAAGCCAAACTTGACCATAACAACAGTTTATTGCAAAACTCTAGTAATATTTCTAAAACATCCTGGTCAATCATTAATGAATTAAGCAACTGTAACAGTAAGCCTTTGTCTATTCCTGACTGCCTAACTGCCGATGGACTGAACTCTTACTTTGTCGACTGTGTTGAAAACCTGAGAAGTAATGTTCCCGCCTCTTCTAATGGTCCTGAGCAATATCTAAGTAATTTGACATCTTGCAACGTTCTTCCGACTATTGAGGACAACAATGCTTTTAGGCTTGAACTATTTACTGTAGAAGAGGTGTATGCAGCCATCAACAGTCTTAACAATAGCTCTTGTTTAGATATTTACGGAATTAATGTCCCCATCTTGAAGTTAGCTTCTAGTTACATAAGTGAAGTTTCGACATACCTATTTAATCTCTGTATAACACAAGGTTGCTACCCAAACAAGTTCAAGATTTCTAAGGTTATACCAGTCCATAAAAAGGGGCCTAAAAATGTTATTGCTAACTATAGGCCTATATCTATTATCCCTGCAGTGTCGAAGGTCTTGGAACATCTCGTACATCGTAGATTTTCTCAGTATCTTGAGGATAGTAACCTTTTAGCAAGTAGTCAGTTTGGCTTTAGGCCCAAACACAGCACTGTCCAAGCAACCCAGGCACTGATATCAAATTGCTTTCAAAGTTTAGAGGCCAAAAGTGGCATAGTGTTTAGATCGTACGACATGTCTAAGGCCTTTGACACAGTGGCTCATGATCTCCTTGTGGATAAGCTTTCTTGCTATAACCTTGATGCAGTTTTGGTTAAGTTCTTTCAATCTTATCTAAGTGACAGATGGCAAAAAGTCTATCTAAACGGCACTTATTCTAGCCCTGTTCGAGTGCCCCACGGAGTGCCCCAAGGCTCTATATTGGGCCCTACCCTGTTTATACTGTATATAAATGACTTACCTTGTAATATTAATGACTTATCTGTAAAAAGCTTTCTTTTTGCTGATGACTTGGCCTTGTGTGTACGGGGTAACTCTTTGAATGACGTTACAGATACATTGGATACAAAATCTGCTGTTATTAATGACTGGTGTAATGCAAACAAGTTATGTCTTAATGCTGATAAGACTCAAGACCTAACTATTAGTCTTAGCAGTAATGGTAATGATGTAAACACTCTGAAGTTTTTGGGTTTTCACTTGCAGTCAAACTTGAAGTGGTTTTCACATGTAGATTTTGTAGCTTCTAAGATTGTAAAAGGCATATTTATGATAAGAGCACTTAGATCCACTGTTTCAGTTGATGTCCTTATTTGTATATATTATGGCCACATTCATAGCTATTTGTCCTATGGTACCTCACTGTGGGCCAACAGTTTTTATGCTAACAGGTTGCTCTTTACTTTACAAAAGAAGGCGGTGAGGTTAATTTGTAGTGTGAATAGAAGAACACATTGTAAGCCCCTTTTTGTGGGTCTTAACATTCTCACATTTCCATCTTTGTATGTTTTGGCAAGTTTGTTATATGTAAAAGAAAACATTTCTCACTTTGAAAAGATATCTGATGTGCACAACTACTGTACTAGATCAAAAGATAATCTGTCTACACTAAGGCATAAGTATACAGCCACTCAAAATAGTTTTGAGTACCAAGGTGTTAAAATGTACAATTTCTTGCCTGCATCCATCAAAAACCTGTGTGTTTTAAAATTCAAACATGCTATGAAAACTACTCTGACCCAGGCTTGCCTGTATAAACATGAAGAGTAGGCCTACTTTGGTTTAGAGTTTTAGATATTTTAGTTGCCAGAGCCATCTTGATTGTTTTGTTTTTATTTTGACGATTGTCATGAACTTTGTACATAGTTTTAACGACAATAAATAATTTCATTTCAATTTCATTTCATTTCATTTCATTTCAAGCTCTGGGGAACTCCTGCAGTGATTGCCAAGGGAGGTGAAAATGCCGACTTTGAACAGTTGCGCGGTTATCAATGAACAGATTATGAACTGATGAGTTCTGCCGGTCAGATAAGATTCTATCCAAGAGTGAGTCACACCTCTGATCCCAAGCGAGTAGGCTATAGTTTGTCTAATAAGATGGAAAATCCATCATATCCTGACGATGACTTGGGTTTTAATTCTATACTTAGCCTACATGCATTACTTCTGTCTCAGTTTTGGGAAACAAGTAGAAAGAGTTTTTGTAAGATGGCAGAAAAGGAGTAGGGCCTACTGGGATTCTCTACAGATGTGCTGAGGGCATTTTGTGAAGATAAACTTCGAACAACTGTTGAGTAAAATTGTTGAGAATATTTGCAACCTCAGATGGCTCTTCGACCACAATGCCATTCAACAATAAAACAGATATTCTTCTGTAACTTCATCGTTAAACCTACTATCACCAAGAGATTGTTTTGACAGCAAAAAGGTAATCTAAACCTAACCTATATTAGTTCATTCAGATGATACACCTTTCCATTATGTTACTCTTTTATTTTTTCAACTTCAACCAAACTTAGTATTTCTGAAAAAAATGCAACTTAAGAAGCGACAGGAAATTCAAATTTTACAATTTGATAGTATGGCCAAACTAGGCCTAGGCTAGACGTAGCCTACACGACCTAGGTCCTAGGAATTAAGTTTGATTGATTAGTGCAAACTTAAAATTAACAAGCAGCCTAAATCAAATTATATTAGTGCGTGTATTCTAACTTGAGACTGAGCATTCATAGGCCTAGTTTTCACATTTAAAAACATTTAGGCCTAGGCTACTTAGCCTACAGAACTAAAAAAAAACTTACACTACTACTACAGTAGACGTTTTTTGGGTCCCTTTGTACGAAAATGGAACTCACTTCACTTGTTTATAAGATTGACTAAAAATACATACTTTAGTAGGCCTACACCAAAATTTTAGCTTATAAATAAAAAATAAATGCCATTTACCAAAAAGAGTCTGCCTCTGTCTGTGTGTGTGTGTGCTGCCAACCGAACTAACTAACTGAACTTCAACTTCACTAACTAGTAACTGAACTAGGCGGGCGTTGAACTTGAACTGAAACTGAACCACCGACCACACTGAGCTGAACGCTGAACTGAACTCTCTGAACTACCGACTGAATTAAGCCCCCCACACACTACCAGACCAGACCTCCAGACCACCGTCTGGCTGCAACCAGACCGTCTTGGACGGCTCTACACCACTGAGCTATAATAATATAACTGGAGTAACCACTCTGTGTTTTAAAAACGTACCACTGTTTTTGATGTTTTTGTTTCAGAGCTTCGTGTTGTTAGGTTGGCCTGGGGCCCTATTTTTGAAATGGTTGACTGTTGAGTTGAGTGTCGAGTCATTCCATTTCCAATCGTTTCGTATTTTTGAAACGGTTGACGGTGGACTTATACAACCAAAACTACTCAACACCTATCGAGCTGTTGTTGGAGGTTGACTGCACTTTCTTCTTCCTCTCTTTCGGCAAAAAATTACTCTTTTACTTTCTCCCCCTATACCATAGTATATGGAGAAAGTATTGTTTTCGTCAAAATTTTCGAGTTTGAGTTTTGAGTGGATATGTTCGTTTTGGGCCCCCCTGGACCCAAAAAAGTGGTTTTCGAAGTGATGTCTGTGTGTGTGTGTGTGTGTGTGTGTGTGTGTGTGTGTGTCTGTGTGTCTGGATGTGTACAGAGCTAGAGACTACACCTGTGGTCCGATTTCGATGAAATTTGGTATGTAGGTTCTAATCCATGGTATCTCCAGGCGTTTTTTTCATTTTTTTGAAATTTTGATTTTTAATGGGGATTTTCCCATAAAAACCCATAAAAAACCGGAAAAATCGGAATTTCTCAAAAATGGCCCAAACGATTTTGATTAAAATTTAGTATGTTGTAGCCCTTTAAGTTCTGAACAAAATGGTACAAATCCCATTTCTGTAAAAATTACGGTTCAAAAGTTATGGTAAATTATGTTATTTTCCCATAAAACCCCCATAAAATAACGAAAAATAGGATTTTAGAAATCCAGTTTTGATTTAACATAGTAGGTTATGGTCCTTACAATTTTGATAGCTTTTTTTCATTTTTTAGAAATTTTGATTTTAGATGGGGATTTCCCCATAAAACCCCATAAAATAACGGAAAAATTGGATTTTCCCAAAAATGGCCCAAACGATTTTGATAAAAATTTAGTATGTTATAGTCCTTTATATTCTGAACAAAATGGTACAAATCCCTTTTCTGTAAAAATTACGGTTCAAAAGTTATTGTAAATTATGTTATTTCCCCATAAAAACCCCATAAAATAACGGAAAAATCGGATTTCCCAAAATTGGCTCGAACAATTTTGATAAAAATTTAGTATGTTATAGTCCTTTAAATTCTGAACAAAATTGAACAAATCCCATTTCCGTATATTTACTCTCACCGCTTACACATGATAAAGGTTGTTGACAAACTTATGGGAGAAAGTATGTGTCAGAATGCTGATACCGTTTATTTGAGACGACGCCATATTGTTTTGTTATTGCTTTAATTTACTAATTGCGATTTAGAGGTTATGTATTTGTTGTCAATGTATTAGCACCCAATTATGCGATTGTTTTCTGTAGAATAATCGCATTTTAATTTTATTTACTGTGTCAATACTAGACTATTTAATCAAGGGTTTTATTCTTGTTGGAATGTTTGAAATAGACTAGGCATACTAATTGAACTTATTATAAGATAATTAATTGTTATTAGACCTATGATTTATTAAGGATTGTTTTATTTTATTTTATTTCCAACGGCAGCAGCCAATTTACAAAGATAAACATGATGGTTGAATACAACAAAATAGGTAAGTAAAATTTGATGATAAATATAAGTTAACAAAGATATAACAGGTTATAAATATCCAAAGCGTAACAACAACAAAAAAATAAGATTAACAAACAACAATAAATACTCTAACACAGCAACAACAGAAAATAAAGATTAACAAACAACAATAAATTAATTACTAGTCTTTCCCAGAAAGAAGAAGAGAGGAGGCCTGCCGACGAACCTGCTGAAGTCCATCGAAAAACAGGTCACACCCAGACGCAACTCGATTTCCCAGGCGAGTAAACCTTGCGAAAGGACTGTTGAAGTCGAAGTTGGTTGAGTGGTATCTTCGACCCAGCAGATCTCGAGATCTTGTGTTTGTAGGCACTCTGAGGTCGATTTCAGCTAGGAGATCTGGACAGTTCATGTGACCATTGACTATCTTCCAGAGAAGAATAACATCAGCCACGTCACGTCGCAGGGCAAGAGGTGACAAGTTCAGATTGCTGGACAGTTCCTCCACAGGCACATCAAGATAGGCAAAACCCAGCCGGACACCAACCAAACGAAGAAAACGCCTTTGTAGAGCCTCCAGTCTCGTCCTATTGCCAACAGTGTAAGGCGACCACACGGGACTTGCATATTCCACTAGCTGTCTCACAAGGGAACAATACAGAGAGCGAAGAGCAGAAGGGTTGTCGATGCCTCTGGAGAATCTTGCTATGAAACCAAGCATCTTGTTTGCTTTGTTACTGATGTGGTCTATATGCCCAGAAAATCCCATGTCGCTGGAAAAAATAACGCCTAGGTCTTTTATACACTGGGACCGTGGAATGGATGTACCAGAAATGGAGTATACGTACATGACTGGGGATTTGATGCGGTGATAGGTTATACAAGAGCACTTACTGGGATTTACAGACATGTTATTCCTGACACACCAATCCTCAATTTCAGAAAGGCTATTTTTAATTTCTTGAGAGTCTTCTGGTGTAGACACAGTAGTGAAAATCTTCAGGTCGTCAGCAAATTGTAAGGCCTTTACAGTTAAATTGTCTAGTAGGTCATTGACAAAAACATTGAAGAGGCAAGGTCCCAGCAAAGAACCTTGTGGAACTCCTGAAGAAGGTGAGAACTGAGTGGAAGTGGTAGAACCAATCCTCACGACAAGAGAACGTTTTTGAAGATAACTAGAAATCCATGACAAAAGAGGTTCAGCCACTCCGTAGCCCAGCAACTTAGACACAAGAATTGTATGGTCGACCTTGTCGAAGGCTTTTGCCATATCAATGTAGGCTGCATCAACTTGGTAGTTCTTGCGAAAGGCAGACAAGACATATTCTTGAAAGAGCAGGAGATTGGAGACAGTAGACTTGCCTTTCATAAAGCCATGTTGGGAAGGATGGATTATTTTGGATAGAAAAGGATTCAGTCTATCTACTACGATACTTTCAAAGACTTTGCCAATTGCCGGCAGAATAGTGATTGGACGGTAGTTCCGTATGTCGCTGGGATCATTTGCTTTATGTAAAGGAATGATAAAGCCCGACTTTAAAGAGCTAGGGAAGATTCCTTTGTTAAGTGATTCGTTGAACAACACTGTGAGGGGTTCAGCTAAGAGAGATCGGCAGTGATGAAGCATAGATGGCGGCATATTGTCAATTCCAGCTCCCTTTGTAGTGTCCAGATTCTTAAGCTTGCTGAGAACTTCTTCAGTTGAGGTTGTTATGACACAGAGAGAATCGAATACGGGATAGCTAAAGCTAGGTGAAACTCGTGACGATGGAGAGTAGACCGAGTTGAAATAACTGGAAAACAGCTGACATATGCTTGTTGTGTCACTGGCTACTTCGTCATCCAAATGCAGACTAGACGGCATGTCAGGAGTATTTCTTTGAGCCTTAACTAGTCCCCAGAAAGCTCGTGGATTAGAAGATATGTTTGATTGAACATTGGATAAATATCGAATGTGGCATTCACGAGACAGTGACCTACAATTATCTCTCAGCCTTGAGAATTCATAATAATGGACAAGATTGAAACTTCTCTTGAAACGTGCATGCGCAGCTTTCTTTTCAATAATGCATTTTTTTAGGTCATCATTAAACCACCTAGGGAAGCGTGAGATACCAAATTTCTTCATCGGACTTGCATTTTTGACGATTTTCTCTAAGGAACTTTCCAAAAGATCAAACTTTTCATCAGTTGAGATCGGCTGGTGAATAAATCCCATATCTGCTTCCTGAAGGGCTATAAAAGCAGCGGGGAGGTCACATTTCCCCAAGTTGTAGCCGCTGTAGCTGTTGTCACAAGTAGAAGGCATATAGCACTCAAGAGTAAGGGACAGAGGAGGGTGATGAATTTCAGGTTTAATCAACCAATCGTTGGCCCTGATAACTTGCACTTCACTATCAGAATGGAAGACCAAGTCCAATGTTACTCCTCTATGGTTTTGAACATGATTTATCTGGAAGAGAGAGTGCAGAGAAGACATGTCACGGAGGTATTCGCAGCAATGTTGAGGAAGGCCAGATACAGGTAAGTTGACATCGAAGTGAGGCAAGTTGAAGTCTCCAAAAATGAGTGTCTTCTTTGGGAAATTTGCCAATTCGACTGTCTCAGTAACCGCATCACAGAATTCACGGTAAACAGAAAGAGGACTTGAAGGAGGAATGTAGACACAAGCCAGAAGAAGATCAAAACCAGGTCCCAATTTCACAAGGGCAAAGACACTTTCAATGTTGAATCCAGAGTATAGTCGCTTAGACATAAGCTTCTTACGAACTGCAAGTAGGGTTCCTCCACCAGAACTTTTGTGACTTGTAGCAGCAGACCTATCACATCTATGAACAATGAAGTCAGTATCGCCAACGACTTCGGAGTCGGGGATATCAGGAGAGAGATTTGTTTCACATAGTAGAATAACATCATCAAGGCATGCAGATAAATTATTTTTTAACTCGATGAGCTTAACTCGATTGTGGTAGAGAGAAACAATATCATAGTTTGTTTGAATACCATTCGCCTAATAAAGGGATCAAATAAATTTAAGTTACGATATGCTTTCAGTGCAATGGCAAATAGCCGCTTTAACCTAAATAAAAAACAATTAAAAATATTATAAAACAACCAAATG